ATTAACAAATGAATAAGAACTTGAAAGAAATTTTCTTTTCTTCACTGGCATTTCAAATCCAGGTGAATGTATTTCATAGTGGAGGCCAAAATGAACACGAAATGTGTTTCACTAGAAAAATTTATTGGAAAATCTATCATGTGAAGCGAAAATTTTTCAAGAATTGTATAGAATTATACGTTAGAAAATTATTTTCCAAGAAATTTTCGTCTAACATCACGTCATCTAGTTTCTTGCATGGTTAAGTTTTCGATTAAACAACGAAAGTCTTTTATATGAAAAAGCGGAAGAGGTGGCAACCCTGTCTACATCTCAAATGAATTTTTTCCATTTCATCCATATTATTTATGTATTTGAATTTGGATAATGCGTAGTTTTCAATCAATGAAAATCTATTGCTTTTCAATGATTAATACCACTACTTGTGAATATGAGTGTGGGTGTGGTTGAGTTACGAATACAGTCACATCCACACACCCACACCCATACCCTCACAGCATAGCAATAATTTGAAACATTTTTTCGAATACTTTCTGGTATGCCTTTTTAATCATTTACTAGAAGAACTAGAAGTAGGATTTTTCCTTTCTTTATAATCTCTGAACACTTAGCTTGAAAATCAGCTATTTTCTTTTCTCGGGTTTTATTTTATTGTTGAGTTAATTAGACTTTATCAATGTCGTCGAAAATTCATATCAATGCGTTAAAACTGCTATCATTTATGGGCGCTTCTATCATCACCAGTTATCCTGATAACAAAATGATTTACAGATTTAGAATCAGCATATGAAACTACGTATAATCGAGTAGTTTTTCGAAAAACAAATCTTCAAAAAACAACCCTAGGGTGGGGGTACAGACAAAATTTTCGAAAAACTAATGATTTCACGTAGTTTCATACGCTTATTCTAAAATAAACGATAGCAGTTTTAACACATTTATATCGATTTTCGACAGCATCAAGAAAAGTTCAATTTTCTCAACGATAAAGCATAAACCGAAAAAAGTAAACAGCAGATTTTCAAGCTAAGAGTTCAGAGATTCTAAATAAAGTAAAATTCTTATTTCTAGATCTCTGACTTAATGATTAGATAGACATACCAGAAAGTACTCCAAAAACTTCTTCAAATTATTACTACGCTGTCGGCATTTTTTAGTCTAGATAACTTTGTATTTAATCAAATGGTCCTTTTATAGTCAACTTTTTGTACTGATCACGAATCTGAAATCATAGTTTTGATTCGAACAATCACATAAAATATAGTCAACTAATCTAGGATCCGATTGAATACAGAAAAATATTCCATGTCACCATTTGTAGTGTAGAGTAACTATTTTCGCTCAATTTTTATCTGAATAAACAATACTTGAGGGTGTGGGTGTGGGTGTGGGTGTGTTAAGAATACAGTCACACCCAGGCCCACACCCTATGACTAGACCTTCGATTTAAGGTAATTAAATCGAAAATCAACATTTCACCGGCGGCCGACTCCTAGTAAAGCTGCTAAGTGGTTCCACGGACTCTCTCTTAAGTTTCATTTAGAAAAATGGTCCATCTCTATTTGAGAAAATTTTGGAATAGCTAGAAATATATTGGAATGATTGCGAATGGATAGGAATGGTGGGAATGTCCGAATGAGTTTTTTCCCCCTTGGATATATCAGTCTGAATTAAAAGAGTTTGAATTCACATTTTCTTATCCAGCATCTAAACGTCCACTACTCTCATTGTAGACAACTACTCAACTATCTAACATTTGATTAACATATTAGTATGTCATAACTATTTTAGCACGTCGATTTTGAATCAAATATATTGCATGTCGTAGAACTGAATAAAATATAAACATCCCTTCAACGGAACGAAAGATAACTTAGCTTATGTAAGACAGAATAAGATTTAATACGCACTACACAACCTTTACTGCTACTACTACTACTACTGGTCTAGATAGAAGAATCAGTTATTATCAAGCACATAAAAATGATCATAGAGTTCTTCTAAAAAACGTTAGAATAAAACATAGTTAATTATGATTATTGACACTCACACCCACATCCAGAACGTTGGATAAATAAAATATTGTTTCTTACCATTTTGTTCGTAACTTCATTTAAGTATCAGATGTGTTTTCTAGCAATAGGAAAACAAGAAACGTTTATCAGCAATGATTTGTCACAAACCAGACGAAAGAGTAGCAGAGTCGAAATGAAAAACGAGCCGGTTATTGAAAAAGTATTTCATGAAAATTTACGTAGATCCGTTCGAACTGGCACATTAAACTTGTTTTTCTTTAAGCAGCTCTTTACAAGGTTATCATTGTTCCGAAAGGAAAGTTTTTTGAGCAATTAAAACGTAATGCGAAATAGATTATGGCAAGGGAAATAGTTTTTAGCGAAACAAGTTTCTTACTCTGAATTGGCGGAAATGGCAGAAAAGAAAAATTTTGAAAAGGTCTCAATTTTCGACGTTTTCCCTTTCTGTCTTTTCCCCCAAATCCTCTTACTCTATGGTTAATATGATTTGTTAATTACGTATTTGAGTGAAAGAAGATTTTTGTAATCATGACGATACTTGATCATAAAGACAAAGTCGCTAGAGATACTTTTCAAACATTTTACCTAGTTTAAGAAGCTTGCCTTACATGTCTTATGTCATACTAAATAGACTTTCTTCACACGCATACAGAGATGATGCTTTAATATATTATGAGACTTCATTGAAAACTATCCTTAGAAAAGTTTCATTTATCAGAGCGTCTTTCAGTCACACAGATTATGTTTTCTTCCGATAAATACATTGAAAGAAAAATAATGTGATGTGAAAACCGTGCAAAAACTTTCACCCACGACAGATACTCGTTATGAAAAATTTCATCTCAACAGGTCAATAGACAAATGAATGTTTAACTGAGTCATTTTCTTCGATGGAATAAATTACAAAAAAGAATAGGCATTCTTTTGATATAGTACTTTCATTTTGTTTTGATTTTTAATGCTCTTTGATATCAAATAAATATCAAGATAGGTTTTTTTTTCTTCATTTTTTTATATTAGACCTACTCATTTCTTTGTTGAATTTCATTTAAACAACAACAAAAGCGTATTAAATTAGAAGAAAACCAATTCTAATTATTTTATTTAAAAAAATAATTCTCCGATTCGTCTCTTTTATTTCAGTGAATACAACAACAACCGTGGTTGGTAAGTTGTTTTGGTTTAGTTTGATATTATTTGACATAAACTGTAATGTTTAGCGATTAAATTTTAGATTATTTGTTAATTTTAACGGTATAAAAAGTGTATAGAAGAGCTATTTTTCAGTTGTCACCGTATGAATATTCTTATTCAATTGTAATAATGAAAATGAGATTTTATTCTATATGCTTGCTTGTGTTGTGAATTTATCGCTTGTTTTTATACTACTTTCTTTAGTGGATACTGTTAGCGTTTCATGGGTATTAGCTCTACTGTATGGGCAGGCTTGGCAGTGCCCACCTGAAAATAAACAGTTGATTTAATAAAAGTAACGGGTGGCCCATAAAGAATGGTGGTCTCATTATTTATTCAATATCGTTTTTACTCTTCATTGATTTGATCTGTACATTTCTCCAAAAGATTGAGAATTCAATTCTCTACAAGCTCATATGTAAAAGATTTTTTAAAACTACAAAACGGCCAAGTACTAAAACGAAGAAAAAAGGTTAAAAAATCTTCAACTTTCAAGCTCAACATACATTAACATTTGGAGCAGGCTTAAGTTACGGGAGAACAATTTTCTGGTATTTTCAAGTACACTCTTTTCGATATCTTTGAAAAACATTTCTTTAAAAGTGGTCTTCACCTATTAAATCGATATTTTCTGAAAACTCGTCCATAACACCTTAATTTCGGTTTACAAGAAAGTCTACTGCAAACGAAATTTTGCATCACTCGAACAAGTGTACAGGGATGTAGTCGAGTATGTTGGCTTTCAAAGAAAAACAAATCGTCAAAAAATAACACTTTTTAAGTGAATGGCATGCGTTTTAGTGCAAGCATCAAAAACATGACATGACAGTTGTGTTTTTTAGAAGTTAGCCATTTTGTCAGGGGGGGAAAAGCGGATTCCGTCTATCCGGGATACATGACAATCCAGAGGATACGACGGCGATCCATGCGATCCGTACGATACGCACGATACATTACAGATACCGAGGATACGAGTTCATTTCATCGAAAAATTCAAAATATATAGGATAGATGTAATACTAGTACGATGAGTCACTGCTGGTGAAAAAGTTCATTCGATTTGAAGCAAATTTTTAATGGTTTTTTTTGTCATTTATTTTTGCCATGAGCATATTTTTTCATGCAGTGGAATGGATTAAGTGTAAGAGAAATAACAATTCGATTCGCACAGTGCCAGCTAGATCTACTAGTTTTATGTCTATTTAATCTGTGCAAAATTTTTTACCGAGTTAATGGATATAAAAGTCATCCGACATAAGTAAATACTGAGCTTGTTTCCAATCGAAATTGCTTGACTTTGCTAACTTTCATATACGTATAGGAAACTAATTTTAAGGATGACGGTACAAATCTTTTGAAAAAATGTCGTTCCGCTGTTAAAGTGTTTAAATGTTTTTAAAACCTAACTGCAAAAAGCTAGTCTTTTTTTTGAATATGCCTACATGCATTTCTCGACAACTATACATTTATTGACGTCGAAATTTTGAACATACACACATCTCAAGCTCATCAAGTTTTCGTATAAAAATATGGTCAAATGAATCAAATATGAATATATGGACCAGTATTGCCATGTATACAAGGAAATTGTCATCTATAGATGTTTTGTGGATAAATAAATCTCGTAACTCGATCATATTACAAAGTTGAAATTCTACTCATGAAAATATCTTGTTGAATAGTTTCTTTAGCAGAAGTCTTGGCTCTAGATAGTTTCTATGACCTATACAACTGTTCAAAAAAGTCAGGATTTTTATCAATGGCATCGCTTTGAAAAAGCCTAATCTCCTAAGATACCTGATCAGCAGATGCCTGGTGAATTTTTAAAAAGGAGCTTAGAATGAGATGAAATGATCCTGTCCTTTTCAATTCCATTAGATGAGATGGGGTAGTTTTCTTATATCATCGGATTATTTTCTTGTTTTGTAAAAAAAGGCCTGAGGTTTTATTTTCGTTAAGATGTTTTTAGCAAGTACTTTAAAGAAACGCTGACTAATAAAATTTATTATAACCACATTGCCCGTCTTTCTTCTTCAAAACAGACATGTTCGTTGCTAACTATTTTCTTCTAATTTTGAATAGAAATTTAAAAATCTGTTTTCAGAAGTTTAAATAATAATACTAACAACTGTTTTTGTGAATTTCTATATATTTTATAAGTGCTTATATTCTTAGCATTCTACTACACAGCTATTGATTTTAGGAATAAGAGACTTGGCTATGAAGAATTCTCAGTTTAAGTGAATGCTGAACAAGAATATTTTTTTTAACCTTCGATTGAAAACGAACTAATGCGTACATAGGAGATTCTGGTGATTATACATAGATTCTAAAGTAATTGAGTTCAAAACAATTCGCAGAGATCTGAAGAAACCGACTAAAACACACAAGTATAGTAAAAAATAGTCTAGTGGCTCTGAACACTAGAAAGTTATCAAAAATAGCAAGAAACAAAAACAGTTCATGATAAAAAAGATGCACTGAAGAGGGGGATATATTACTTTCTATTGTTTAACCATATGAAAATGAAATCCGCGTATATTTCTACGGAGATTTTCCAGAAAATTTCATTCTTTTTCTCTTTAGAGGAGTCTTTGGGAGAACCTATAGAAGGTTATATATTGAGTCTACTGAATATTTTTTATTTTACTTTATGAAATTTTTCTATTAATTTTCAAGTGAAGTCTAGTCTATTTTCAATGTAAAATGGGTCACCTGTGAGTTTCTTACAATAAGTCACCAAAACATATTCTAGGAGATTACATGTTAATTCTTACAGAACTTTACGGTATTCATTATGTTCCTGAAAATCACACTAACGGAACTTCTATTGATAAAGTATTTTGTGAAATCGGTCCTTGACAGCATAGTGTTTTCAATTATTTAGAGCATTAAATTTTTGTCACAGAAATTTCTCTATGAAATTCTACTACAGTCAAAATATCAGCTTTCTAGCACGATTTCTTCATGGAATGCCAATATTCATATAGTACTGCAAACATGATCATTTGAGCAGTCATTCAATTCCGCAATGTTGAACATTCCGGAACCAGTTCCGCCCCCGGAATCAGTTCCGTCGATTCCGGAATTAGGTGAAATATGAACACTGTCCGATTCCGGAACTGCTTCGCTCGATTCCGGCACTGCTTCGTTCGATTCCGGAATTAGTTCGTCCGATTCCCGGAATTCCACGGAATTCAGTCCAATTCCGGAATTAGCTCAATACGGAATCGGTGAGAATTAGACGGAATTCCAAGGAACTCCGTGTGATTCCGTTCAATTCCTGTTCGACCTAATTCCAGGAATTCCGTGTAATTCCGTTCAATTCCGTTCAATTCCTGTTCGACCTAATTCCCGGAATTCCGTGTAATTCTGTTCAATTCCGTTCAATTCCTGTTCGACCGAATTCCCGGAATTCCGTACCGGAATTGCATTCGTCACCGAGCTATAAGATATATCAAGTGTCCACTGATCACTCAATTCCGGAATCGCAAGGAATTCCGGAATTACAACTTGTATCACTCTTCTAGCTTGTCTTATCCATTTCGTGATGATCCGTTTCCGGTGCGGAATTCCGGAAGTAGGTCAATGGGTGTGGGTGTGGGTGTCTGTGTGGGTGTTAGCATAAGTGTGGGTGTGGATGTTGGTGTAAGTGCGCTGAATTCCGGAACCGTTGAGAATTAGGCGAAATCCGTTTGAATTCCGTGTAATTCCGGAATTGAATCGGAATTGATAAACGGAATTCCGGGAATTATATGGAATTGGTCGGCAGTGAATCCAGGAATTCCGGAATTGAATCGGAATGGATAAACGGAATTCCGGGAATTAGATGGAATTGATCGGCAGTGATTCCGGGAATTCCGGAATTGTGTTGGAAGTGATAAACGGAATTTCGGGAATTAGATGGAATTGGTTCCATGAGCGGAACTGGTTCCGGAATGTTCAACATTGCGGAATAGGATGTATTCTCGATCATTTTGCTGTGCATCTCTTAGTATTGATGAACTGCATTTTTACGATTATTATATCAAGTTAAAGCATGTAAACAATGAACAGTTCAATAAAAACGGATCTGTTTTCGCTGGAATATGTCTATAAGAAAAGACCAAACAAGTCTACTTTTTTGTGGGTAGCGTTCTCAGCAATATTTACGCACTTTCGTAACTGAACAGTATATTTTTAAGCAATTTAGGTCAACATTCTTTAAAACTGTTATTTTTAATGCATATTTCAAAATGAGAAAACTGTAACAACTTTGATTGAAGACAAATTCAGTGATACTGCATGAATATTGACTTATAGAACGGCATAAATGAACTTCTACCTGTGGTACTCAGTAATTTTTACATCACCGTTTTTATCCAAGAAAAAAATTCGGATTCGTGAATACGTCATTTCACTTTTTGATCCTTTCGATTTTCATGATATTGTCGTATCCGGGATACGGTGGCAATCCATGCGATCCATACAATCCCACAATCCCGCGATCCGCCTTTTCCCCCTTGCACTCGTTTCTTTTTATTTAGACGGCTTTTAACTTTCATAATAGCGGCTTTTGTACGGACCGTGCGTGGACAACCTGGAGGAGACGACAGCGTGATAGAACCAGTAAGGTTGATCATTTTTATCCATAATTTAATCGTGGGTAATGAAACAGCTCCGGCTAAATCACGATAGATTTTGGTCGGATCCTCACCATTTTCATATTTAATTTTTACAACTTTTTGTATATCTTTACTTTTCATATTTTTTCTTTTAAATGAAAGTGAAACACCTTTTAGTTTTAACCATTCACAGTTTTGTAGAGAATTTCAAGCGCCTTCTTTTAGTATAAAAAGATGTCCCTATCTAATGGACAACAGAAGAGCGATATTCAAAATACGAATGGTACAATTTATTCTGGCCCACCCGTTATTATCACAAGTACGTTTATAGATGTCTAGACCTTGAAATCTTTTGATCAAATTCGATTATGTCATTGAGCTGAAATATTATATCTGATTATGAAATATCATTAGAAAAAACACACAGATCTATAGCAGTTCTATATCATTGAAAAACAATTGTTAAAAGCTAATTATACAAAAGCTGTTATTCGAAAGTTCCATTAAAAGAAATAAATAAACCTTCGTGTTGTTTCTAACCATAATCAAATAAAAAATATACAGCAGCCTAAAAATCTTTCACTAACAAACTTGATTCACAGTTTAAAAAATTCCAAAAAAAGAATTTTTATTTTAATAATAAATACTTTTTATTCAAGTAATTCACGTAAATCATGTAGCTTCGGTAATTTTCCAGTTATTCAGCGATTAGCTCTTATATTATGAGTGTGAATATTACTATGTGTGAATGACTGTAGAAAATGATCGTATATCGACAACCGTCCTTTTGTGTATCCTATCATTGTATTCACTGGTATCATCATAAGAATCCAAATAACTGTATGGAAGTGTATGCCAACCATCATGTAAACGTCTCAAGGAGGAAAGGCGTAATTCTGGGCTTTTCTATACTTCTCTTTACTTCTTGGTACTTTTTCACTTGAGACGTACATGAATATGCTCCGCCTTGAAACACACTCACACTCTCACACAAATCTTCGCTCGTAGATTAAAAACAAAAACTCTACGTAAATAAAACCATACATGCGCACATCAATTTCGAAGCTCGTATTGAAATTCACGCACGTTGACTTACCATGCGCCTATAGGAACCTAATATGCAAGAGAAAATCTCGCTACTTGATTAATGTTAACATTCAGAGATACAGTCTCGTATAGTCTGATGTAATTGTTCGAAATCTCTTTCTTGATAACCAAAGCATGTAAAACTAGTTGAATGTGTTCTGTGGGTTCTATTTGTGCATGTCGAAATTCAGTTTCTTTTTTATTTTTATTTACAAGTATATGAGGTTTTGTAGCTGAAAGGGCACGAATTTGCATTAATAGGGGCTGACATCTGAAAACATGAATATGATGGATCATTATATTCTGCTATTATTTTTTCAATAATAGCAGAATATAATTAAAAAAATTCATAATAACATTTCTGCTACTCGCAAGTGAAAACCTAGAAAGTACCTCGTTGAAATAGATGAATAAAAATCCTGAAAAAGATTCATTCCAACGTTTCTTCACTGCCTAAACAGCGTAAATCAAGTCGTTGGATTAAATTCATACATGAAGTCGATACTTCGAAGTCATTGGGATGTCAAGTCAGAATCTACTAACCAGATAAACACTTCATGGACTAAGAAAAATGATGAACCAAATAAACAAGCGCCAGAGGGTGGCAAGCAAAATAAAAGGTGCGTTGCATGCCTATTAAACATGCTAGATTAAACTATTTGTTTCATTTTTTCTGAAGAATATACTTTTATTTAGTTCTGATAAAAGGTATCATCGCGCGGGTTTCTACTTCAAATCTTGCCTATATGGAGCTGTTCCTGGCATGCTTGTTGCAGGAATTGTATTAGCGATTGCTATCACATTTTGGATGAGCTCACCACAACAAACATCAACAGATGTATCGACAACAAGTACGAAAAAACATGTTTCTTCGTCTCTTAGAGTTTTGAAAATAATGTATCTTACTACATAGCTCTATCCCACCCTGTTTCGAATAATATAATCAAGATTAATTTAGATCTATTTCGCGTAGTAGATAATAGATTACAATGTTTTCTTTCTCTAACTATACTTCTAATCTAGTGATTATGAAAGATAGATTCTTTATCTCACTAATATTCATATTCTAATATAGATTGCATAATCTGGAGAGCCTTCAAGAATATCTAGACTATATGAACATGGAATTTTTGAGAATTATGAAACTCAAATACTAATATAAATTGAACTTTAGTAAGACCATCTCAGAAAAACTAGTGCCGTCGCTTCTCTCTCCACTGGTAGTATTTAAGGCACTTGATGAACCCATAATCATTGAATAGACACCTAAATGATAAATTTCATACCCTAAGTCAAACACCATAACGTTGACTTTCATCTCATGATACATTATGGGTACAAAATGTTGGCTTAAATTCACATGAATAGAACTACCAATACACCCGATCAAGCCGATGAAAGCATTCAACTAGATATTTTTAAATCAATTGTTTATCTTCAATATAAATAGATCCAACGAGAGCGCAACCCAGTACAACAGTACCGACAGTAGTAACAACAGTACCGACAGTGACTACAGTACCAACAGCAACAACAGTGCCGACAGTGACTACAGTACCAACAGCAACAACAGTGCCGACAGTAGCAACAACGTCCGCTACTGGCTCTGTATGCGGTAATTATAACTAATTACTTTTATCCTATCTGATTATCATGTTCTCATTTACAATAGGTGTCAATATGCAATGGAACGCTACTGGTGTTACCGTTGCCGGCGTCACCGGTACTAGTGGTAGTTCTCTCAATCAGCTGAATAGCCCAATGGGTGTTTCTGTCTTTCCAAACGACAGTACCTTGTATATTGCCGACATGGGAAATAATCGAATCATGCAGTGGCCGATGAGTGCAGTTAGTGGTTTCGCCATATCTGTTCCCAGGCCTTATGATGTTTTTGTGGATTCAGTGCGAAATCTGTACGTAGCTGCTTACAGCAGCTCTCAAATTAAATTTTTCCCTAATGCTAGCACCACAAGCAGTGTCGCTTTTACAGGCTGGGGATCATCACTGGATAAGCCTTCTTGTGTACACGTAAAGAATAAGTATATCTTTGTTTGTGACAATGGTCGTAATGCGATCATAAGAAATGGATCAGAGGTTGCAGGGAGTGGCAATGGACCTACAGGTGAAATTAAAGAGTCTTATGGACTAGTTGCTGATGATAATAACACTATGTATATTGCAAATACAGATCACCATGTTATCGTTAAATGGTTGGCAAGTTCTAGTGCTTCATCTGGGGGCACAGTGGTTGCTGGAAGTGCAGCAGGCACTGCAGGCTCAACTAGTACTTCGTTAAATATGCCTACTTCTGTAACACGCGATTCACAAGGGAACCTGTACGTTGTCGATCAAGGTAATCATCGTATTCAACTTTTCTGTCAATACCCAACGCCAACCACGATTGGAATAACAATCGCTGGCACCGGAAGTGCAGGATCCACTTCAACTACACTATCATCTCCAACAAACATTGCACTTGATTCTTCATTGAATGTATATGTAAGTGACACCGGTAATCATCGAGTACAAATGTTCCAACGCATTGCTTAAACTTTTCGCTGAACATTTAAAAAGAATGATTTATTCATTCATTCATTAAATTTTCTACAATTTTTTGTGCTGTTAACCAGTGAACTAATCGTGCTTGTTTCTGAAAATCATTCTAACTCATTACTTTTTCTTACTCGCTTAACACTAACACGTTCATTTACTCATTTCATATTTTACTGCGCGCGAAGAATATAAGCAATCTAATAATAAATAAATATTTACTACATCATCAATATTATCGTCGCGTACCAATGATTTTGAAGTGGCATAAGCAAATATTAGAATATTTAAAAATATTGATATTGAATCGGTCAAGGCCAAAAACTACGTTAGTAATATAGTTAAATATTTAAATGATAATAGAACTGAAATACTGGTTCACCTCCAGTTAGCTTTAATTCAAATATCCTTGCTATTACTTGGATAATTGAGTATCTGCTGAGGAATCTAAACTGATCATATTTGAGCAGAAAAATCTCGAATTTTCTTTCGCTTATTCAATAGAATGATGCTATTTTTATTTTCTTTTGAGTGTTAAAGGCGCTGGTTTCAACACATCAACATAATGACTATTTTTCTCTTGAGAATCACAAGAAAGTTTTTTTATCTTTTCTGAATTACATTAAAAAAAATATTTGTTCGATGGCGTGTGCCTCACTGAGATCATTTGTGCAATTCAAAGTCTTCTGTAGTTTTTTTTTGTATTTGTTCTCACCATGGTATTTTTGCAAAAGAATAGCATAAGTAAATTGCATACTAAAATAAATGAATATTTCGTCATTACATTTCAGATTTTACAGAGCTAAAAGTAAACGAAAGATAGACTTAGATCTAGGTTCATACTCAATCATCAGTAGTGTTGTGTTAATTCTCAAAGATTGAATCATTAGCATAGATGAACAATATGTACTAGTGTTCTTCTATGTGTATATTCACAAAATTCTTTGGTGTGACCAAAAGTTCTGCAATTTAAAAAAAAACTAAAGAAAAAGAGAAAGAGAAAGTTCGAGTTTTATTTTATTAAATCTTGATGATTGTTGCCATGATTATATATATCAAGTTAAATCCTTTCTAAAAATTTGTTAAAACTTTTTTTAAACTCTTTTTCGAAAAAACATTTTAGGTACCTTGGATACCACATGGGCTAATCATATTTCATTGTTTTAAAAATTTTGTGAAATTTTGTTCGATCATGGCAGTTGCGTTCTAGCACTACTACTGATGGGATATGGATATATTTTAGAGAGGTTAGTCATCAGTCATCTGATGCTAGCTGGCTTATTGAAAATGAATCGTCAAATACTATTTGTTCATGAAGACAGATTTTAACAAAAACTTTGTTTAGTGTATATTCTTTAAGTCAAATAGTCCTCAGTGTAGATAAAGGCAAGACTGTAGGTCACAAGTATTATATTGAAAATTGACCTAAGCCTTTTGTGAATGAAATTTGGAAACAAACAGAGATATCAGGGCCAAAATGTGCAAAATTGCTTGACGATCATCGTTGACTCCATACTGATCCAATGTTATTAATTAGGTGGCAGAAAAAAGAATCAATATAATGTCATATCCATCATATTCGCCAGGCCTGATACTATGTAATTTTTGGCTAACCAATTCTATTGAACGTAGTTTAACTAATTAAATAAATGAAATATGATTAGTTCATGTGGTAACCAAAGTACCTAAACTCTTTTTCGAAAAAGAGTTTAAAAAACTTTTAACAAATTGTTAGAAAGGGTTCAACTTCATACATATATATATATATATAATCATGGTAACTATCATCAAGAATTAATAAAATTAGACTCGAACTTTCTCTTTCTCTTTTTCTTTAATTATTTTTTTAAATTGTAGAGCTTTTGATTAGACCTAAGTATAAGCGAACTTTACTATCAATTACTCTCTTTATTTTTATCCTAGCTGAAAATAGGGAGTTTTTCTTCGTTCAAAAATCATGTCTATTCTCTTTATATACAGTTTCAACAAGATCAAAGCTTTTCGAACATATTCTACTGTGTAAGCAAGACGGTGATACTTTAATCTATCCCTAACACCGTTGGCATGACGGCCAGGCAGCTATCAGTAAGCATGAATGTCACACATGACGAAATCCTCATTTTTCTTCGTTTGTGGTTAGTAAATATCTCTATAAAAGATTTAAGTAACATCTGATTATCACACTTAATTCATACATTGAGCGCAAACAGAACACAATAAAAACTTGATGGAAAGACACGTTGAAAGCATTATAACTTTTTCGTGTGTGTTCATTTTAAACGAAAATTTATTGCTCCGATTTACTCTTATCATGACGTTACCAATTTTTTAGTTTACGTTAAAAGACCTTTATACAACCTAAAAATCAGATTTGTAGAAGACGTTAGATCACAGAGATAAATATTGTATCTTCGTTTTACTAATGATTATAATTTTGAGACAAACTTGCAGATCAGATTTAGATTTGTTTATTCAACCTAAATTATACTGACATCAGCTGTCCATTGTTAAATTTGAATCTACGTTAATAAGAATAATCACTGTGCTCAACATTCTAATGCTAATTTCTAGGATCGAATTATCAAATAGTTAGGCAAATTTCATGTTCGTTATTTTCATAATTACTATCAGCATAATTTTTAAGATTTTCACAAAATCAATAACATTGGAAGCAGAATTGTATCGTTGTCAGAGGTAAAGAAGCTGTTGTTAAAAGAAACAAAAAACAAACGGATCATTAAGTAAACTATACCAACTTGATAAAGAAAACACGTAAGACTCGGCATCAGAATACCAATGAATGCATGCAATCAACAAAGAGCGATTGTGCATCGTTTAAAAATGAAAAAAAAAGAGTTTGAACAGAATAGAGCCAAAAGTTTTAATTTTTTGAGTATACATTTATTTATACAGTTTTAATCTTTATTAGGCGTATTAGAACGATAGAAATTATTTCTCATAGCAACATAGAGTATACATTATATTCTCCTTCAATAGTCAGATACTTTTCTTTTTGTTTGAAGGGCACAGAAAAAGCAAACAAAAATCTCTTCGGCAAATAACGAGAGAAAAAAAATGAATGGATTCAGCCAATACTGTTTTTAAAAAGCGTTAAAACAAATCGAGCACTCCCGAATGGAGGCAAATTAGTAAAATAAAAATTGCACTTGCCAATAAAATTTGAAGAACAACAGAACGCCGATCGACTTCTATAGTTAGGTGCAAAACGATGACGACAGTATCGTTGTTTACATGAACTCAAGGTAAATTTGCTTAATGGTTCGAACAATGTAATGATGACTGCGCCTTTTTTTCTGGCAGTTTACAGTTCTTGTCATAAAATGAATATGGTTTCAGTACAAATGTTTTGTATTATATTTATCATTGTTAGCCAAAGATAAAATAGAGAGTAGATTTCAAACTGAAATTTTGTTGTATATGACCTCTAATCAACTTATACATGATTTGTCTAAAATGTTGACAAAAAATTTGTCGCAATAAAAATCAATCTTATTTTCTTAAATGTTACAAAATGAAAGATGAGCTTTTATCAATAATGTTTTACTATATTTTCTATCCTTAGTAGTTCTCTTGATAATAATGAACTCAAAAGAAATGCTACTTGTAACGGTTGAATGCGAACAAGGCTGTTTATTCATTAATAAATCAGGAGAAAAACAATCGTCATGATTTGTGTTCAGTATTATATTTGTTGAAAAAAAATGTAGACGCCTGGAGAAGTCAAAAGGACGGCGATTCTACAAGGTGAGATTCCTTAAGGAAAAATAAAATATCTGCAAAAGCAAAAAAATAGACATATGAAATTCAGAAAAGAAAAGGTTTCAATTTCATGATAAAATCGAAGTTCTTTTAAACTCCATTTTCTTCGTCATTTCCATTCATTATTAATTTATATTCATCGATGGGTTCATCATCGTCAATTTGATTATGGTTCCATTTCATTGGCGATGATACAAACATATGAATTAATAAATAACCAACGATGAGTAAAAACGCATTTCCAGCCAAATGATAAGCATAACACATTGTTAATATTGAAACAGATCTATGCGAATTTTGATCCCAAACAAAATATGGATTTGTTGTTTGAGGCCAAATAACATATGCTGCTTGAAGAAACCATGTACCTTGAGTTAAGGCAAAGAAGCTTCGTGCAACAATAAACCAAAAGTTATTTGGGTCAAAACATTCTGCTAGAGCTCCGATCATTGAACAAGCTATTGTTAAAGCAAGTAATACATGAATATGACCGTCAACCATACTTCGTGCGTGCAAATGAAACGCCATCATAAGACATTCCATCGCAAATGCTAAAAATCCCATAGCCTGTGTGATGCGTGTAGGTAATGGTGCTTTACAGTGAACTAAAATTTCAACCCAAGCGCCAAGAAAAAAGCCAAAAAGCATCGCTGTATGATGAGCATTTTCTTCACCAATATGAGGCGTTGGCTCACTGTAATAACCACCAATAAGTTCAATTGAAAAATGTATCGACGTAATAAGAATTTTCATAATACTTTCAATAGGCAAACGAGGAACGATTTTTCCCGGTATACAGTAACAAGGATAGGTTGTTGAACCTTGAAATTTATTCTTTGTTCGTTTTGTTTTTTCATCAGTTTCGTTCGCAAGTGACTTTATGTAGCGTGCACAATTATGAATATGCCACCAGAAAGCAAAGAAAATAAAAAAGACACCTAAAGCAATCAAAGCGAAGAAGGAGCCAATACTCTTTATTCTTCATCGTTTTGAACATACCTGGTGCTATGTGTCCGATGAACGTTCCCATTAGACTTCTTCTATCAAACGCAAAAAAAATTTACTTTTATTTTGTTAAATAATTCAACGCACACAACTGTATTTTAGTATGTCTAAAATGTAATGCCAACGAATACTTTATTAACTTCAATGCGCAATTTAGTATGTATATATATATGCGCGCGCCTTAAATAAGTTTCCCAGTTGCTACTATCGAGAAAAAAACAGAACAAAGTTGCTTAGAGACTATTAAAGCTACATTTTTTTATGGGTCAATATGGTAGCAACGACAGTGATCTATTTTTTTTTGGTGGATTTCTCTTTCTTTCTGCCGGTATATCTTAATAAGGGACACTAAAAACGAAGCATAAACTTTTTTTTTCTTCTAGTATTTCTTTTCTTTTCATCGCAATATTTTATATGATCTACGCACATTGAATCACTCAGTTTTTCTTTTTCAATCGTTGAAGTTGAATTCTCTTTTCATTAAATAGAACTATTCAATTTTTTTCTATTCTGGATAACCCTACAATAAAGTGGTCTACTAATAAGCCATTTAGAGAAGTCATAAGAGTACGCACACTCCGAACGAGTTTGAACGTGCATTATTTATCGGCATCCATTTTTTTTCTTTATCACGCAAGCATGAAATAAAAGTAGGCGGCCAGATTCATGGCACGCCAAGTATTTTGTTTTGCAAAAATAAAAGTTTACCTTGTAGCTATAAGCCTACATGTCACACTATGCACATATGTCAACGATATTGAAGTACTATATCGAAACTAAAGTTCGGTTATCGCTGTAAATTTGATGATTCAGTGATTTTATGAAGACATTCAGTTTTTTTCCATTACGTTTATTAAAATAATTACTGAGCTTTTTTAATGACTCACGTTTTTATTAACGAATAAAAGCAAAACTTTAAAATAAACAATTGAATCCGAAAATAAAAATTTTCTTTCTGTCCAAACTTCACAAGCAGCCATAGTGACATGATTCTATGTTATTGAATTCATCTAGAAATAATATTTTATAGTTTATTTTGGAAGTAAACACATTCCATTCACATGCAAGACTAAAAGATGTTTACATGTAATAAAATGCATATAGCATGCTCGTGTCAATATCACATAGAGCTACAAAAATAAGTTCCGATATGTAAAAAGAAAAAAAATATGACACTAGATGGCATTACAATTTCACGCGATTAAGCAATTGTGCACATAGGTTCGTACTGCAAATACTTGTTTCTTCTTGTGCTCGAATACGAAGTTTTAGCTTTGAATTAATTGGCTCTACGAAATTGGAAGCGAAAGTGTAATGTAAACATGACGAAATTCCTTACTAAGCGTACTGAAGTTGTACGTAGCAACATGCTTTTTTTAAATGCAGACTATGAGGAGAGAGAATGGCTATTAATTCTTATTACTAGCTTCATTCCTATAAGAAAATAAATGAAGTCTTATCGATTACTTAACGACCGGTGGCGCTTTAATCATTGAGTTTTATCGCTGGATTTAAAAGAATTTGATTTTTAAGTTTCCTCTCACGAGATCATTGCGACAGAAAACAGCAATAACAAATTTTTATGTCTATAATGAGAACGTAAAAGAAAAAGAAAAAGAAATCTCTCGCTACGAAATCAAATTGACGTTGTGCTTAGTTTCACATCTACAAGAGAGAAAAATCTCGTAGAGACTTAGATAGATTCTCTGCATTCCAGTACATTGCACGTAGAAAAGTAGAGATTGTCTAATTGAATTATATTGTATTAATGACGAAGCGGTCTATAATTAGAAGCATTAACTTAAAGTATTAGACAACTAACTATTTTTGAACACGGGAACACTTACTAAAAGTAGAAGAACGGCCAACATGCTAAGAAGTCAACATTTCAAGATTTAATGGACCATACAATTGAGATAAAAATACTTGAAAATATTTTATGCCGGTCAGTGATGAAAATTTTTATGATGGAAATTACGGAACAAGAGACCCTGCTGTTGAGAATTGTTTTTTCTCTTTTATCGGAAAAATACGAAATAAAAGAAATATTATAGTGTACTAATGCTATATTTATTCCAGTAGGCATAAAACTCCTGAAGGCTATGCAAAATATTTCTATGGCTTTTAGATAAAATCTATTTGCCTATTTCTCTCTTGTATGAAATGTGCATATGATTAATTTGTCTTCTTTTTTTAAGAAGAATTGTTTTCATTTATGTGTTAAAAAAATTGAAACTCTACTAAACATGATTGCCATATAGAAAAATGAAATACAATCTCTAGATAAATTATTTTGCTATATAATATATTTAGAAAATAAACTATGATTTGTTTTGTGAAACGTGATCTTAATTGAGTATTCAGGCCTAGAGATAGAAATCTACTCTCGCTTTTCATAAAACATCATCATGGAAACATCATATAGAAAAAAACAATGATCATGCCCGTGCGAGTCACAATTTGCTAAAAATTTTACCATGCAACCAAAGTCATCTGTGTAATTATTTTGAAATAAAGAAGACTAATTTAAAGATGCTTGTATTTTGTGGAACTCACATATATTTTGGAAGAAAATAGTAAATGTAAGTTTTAAAACGAGATTTTTGCGGCTCCCTACTCCTCACTCCCCATTACAGATATTAATGAGTTTTAAATTGTGCTAATTAGGAGCTTGGCTAATTAGGCTGCTATTTCTTCCTTTTTTAATTGCAGAATACACGAAAAAGAGCAATGCTTGCCTATTACAGGCCATAGAAACTAGTCTCTGGCATTGTTAAATGTACGAGCTAACAATCAATACTTCATTGCAGACATAAGCAAATAGGCAATGACCTAATTATAGGCTTTGGAAATCAGGGTAGACTTTTCCGGTGAACTAGTTTGAATTATTTTAGTAAACCAAAGGGATATATGTGAGTTCCACATTTTAGCCCCAAAGGGGCTGCGCTAACAAGCTTTTTCACTTGTCGTCAACTTATCATGACAAAGTTATAAATAAATAATTTTTTTTTGTAAACTTCATTATTGATATATACATGCATTGCGTAGATTTCTGTTTGAAATATATATATATATATAGATTTCTGTTTGAAATATATATATATATATATATTTCACAATCGTTTAATTCACAGTAGATGCATATTAGTTCTTTTTATGTACTCAAAAAGTGAGTACACTCTAGAATCGGTCAGTGTGTCCGTCCGTTCACGCGATAACTTTCGAAAGAAGAGTTAGATCATGATGAAATTTTCTACACAGTTCAGCCTCATCAATGTCTCAGTCGAGTTCGAAGATGAGAAGGATCCGTCAAGAAATGGCTGAGTTATCGATAAAAATTGTCACTATTGGCCAGACCATCCCTGAGGGGGAGGGAGTACAGGGATTTTTCAAAAAACCTTTTTTTTCTCAGAATTATCCACAACATATATAAATCGACTCAGTTTTTAACGCTGATTTTGAATCTGATATTAGTTTTGAACTAAATCGTAGCTTTCTAACGAAACATTGACTGAGAAAGGTCTCAAAATACACAAAAGCTGCATCTAGAAACCAAATTACCTAGATATGTCTCAGATGACCAGCAGTTTGAGGGTTTCTCAAATGCCTGGTTTTGTAGCTAGTCAAAAAGACTATCGAAAGGTAAAAATCCGAACTCGATAGCTATTACTATTGATGATTTATTATGAAAATACTGATGCCTGTATCTATCATGTATCTCTTATAAATTCATGAGGTTGCTTACGATCGTAATCCTACTAGATACAAACACAAAACCATTCAAAAATAACTGTTCTTATCCAGTTTTCGAAGTTGAACACGAATCTGCGCTCAATTTCTGTGATCTCTAAAGATATTATATCATGCTGAGAGTAGAGTCAGTGATCACTGGAGAGAGTTGCATACAGTGTGGTCCATGCTAACTTAGCATGCCTGTATTTTCTCCTTGTAATTGAGTGAGAAGGGATGTATCTTGATGAGATCTATGCCTTACAGGAAAAAAATGGATGTACATTTTCGCTTTTTGAAGTACACATAATAATCGGATGCAAATCCGATGTTTCCGCATTTATTTGCAGCTTAATTTCGATTTTTTCGAATTCAGGATCAGTTTAAGTTTTGTCAAAATTATTAACCTTCATCATTCATTCTCTTTGACATGAAACTTCCTTGAATAGCGTTGAATCAATCAATTATTTTGTTTTAGCTGAAAGCTATTCCTAATCGAATTTCTCTCCAGGTTTCGTGGATTTCGAAATAGCCTTTTCTGAACATTTTAGAGCAAATTCTATGTTGAGTCAAGAACAAAGCTACATCAAATTACAGAAGCAGAAGTAACATTTAAAAAAAAAACTAATCTAGCGAACAAGGATGAACATGAAACATTTTCATCATTCTTACATTATATAGTGGTTCATTCGAGTCAACAAGTAAGAACAAACAGAAGTTAAAGAAAAGATTATTGATGGATGCTATGATTATGTTAGACAATAGCTCAATGACTTCAATAAAAGCAAACATACAAAACTTTGACCATGAATATCGAACGAACACGTTTTGTTTAACAATTTGTGAATTTTTCATCGAAGAAATTTTCTTTAGGAATTTTCTAAAATATCTTTCGAGCTACCAAAGAATAGATTAAGATGTGAGAGTAAATCATCGTGTATGGTATTCTCGATTCATTGTTTTTTATGCATGAAATTTTGGTTGATATCTTTGATCGTTTGATTCATGTAATTGCTGATATTTTGTTTTGTTGGCGAGGTAAATGCAAGCGTACTTAACAGAATAAATTTTAACATCTTCGTATCTATTGAATCTCTGTTTATTCACGATTTTGATAGCAACCCCAATTCTCTACTCGTATGCTATGCTTGCAGCCGTTACTCATATTTTGTTTTGTCTTTCTCTTGTAATTCTATGATAAATATATAATGCGTTTATTTCATGTTGAGATAGGTGAACTCGGCATTATCATTTCTTTTACTTTTATAGCCACATTATTGGGTATGTATCACAAGTTTTTTTTGCAGTCTATTTCAGCAGTGAAAAGTGTAGGTGTAGGGTGGATAATTAAAACAATGAGTAACAAAACAACGTTCTAGAGCTCCTGAAGTTCTATGTGTTTCCGGGAAGTTTGAGAGTTGCACGCAGGAGCATCATATAAGTCTATTTTCTATAAATCAGAAGTTTGAATTCCGTCAGAGCTCAGAATTCATGAGACCCAGATAGGTCTCTATCGGAAGGATAACTGACACTTAAGTTTTCTTTTTTTCATTGCACGAAACTTTTGAGTAAAACACATGACTATATGAATCTATCTCTAGTCGAATCCTAATTTTCTCCCGGCAAAATCAGGATTCCAATGCTGCCTGAAAAAATCCTGGTCTGTACTGGAATTCTAGGTCTGACCAGGCAAAAGTATAGTTAGAATTTTGATCTACATACGTATGTTTATCTATTCAACCAAGTCCAGCCATTTCATTTTAGTAATTTTGTATTTTTTTCCACTTATTTATTTGTGTTAACAGTACTAATATGAGATATAAAGAAATAAAAGATACTAGTTATTGTAGGTGGCTGAGAAGCTACCTGAAAAGATCTTTCTCTAAGATAGATACTAGACGAGACGCGGCAACGATATACAACGCACCAGCATGACGAAGCGGTGACTTGTCGTGTTTTTGACTGACTCATGGACCTGTGCATTTAGGCTATGATTGTCAACAGAATAAATTTCGTAGTTAATAAATATTTTTATACAAAATTTTGAACATGAATAATGACTACAATAATTGTTAGGAGGTTCTTGTAAAATAAATCTATAATGACATGTAGCTATTTTACATCAGAAACAATATTTGCTTTTATTGAAGATTTATTGTTTCTGCTTTTCCTTGCTTCTTTTTATCTTTACAATACGAAAAGTCGTATCTCCTTTTCTCATACTTTCATTGAAAAGTGGAAGACCTTTTCCTGCTTTATGGCCAAGTCCCATCGATAAAGCACCATCTTCAACCTTCATCTGGATCTTTTTTAATGCTTCAATTAGTTCTGTGGGCGCGCAAAACTCTACGATTGTTGTTGGATGCGTCGCAACATACTTCGGCCCAGTTAAATATTTGTTCGAATATAATCTACCATTTTCATCTTCGATGATCGCTTGATAGGATTGAGTAGCCGGAAGTTCACCATGCTCTACTAAATATATGACTTCAGTATCTCCCATTGGTCGATACACCAATGTTTTCTCTGGCTGTGGCAAAGAAGAAGGCGCTTCTAACCAAATTGACGATGAACCATGGTGTGTTATATTTTGTAGTTGACCTGATTCGTACAGCTCTCGTTCATGTGGAAGTAATCGCTTCAACCAACCATTAATCGGAACGGCTTTGGTTAAAGCATTTTGAAAATTTGATTCTGCCATCTACAGTAAATTACTGCAACTAAATAAAATATCTGAAGTAAAACAATATCAAAACATTTGAAAACTACGATATCGCTATGGCAAATCATCGCCTGGATGCACTAAACAGAACTGCATTACATCTGTCTGTTTCATAGTTCTTAAACATGTGACATGCATGACTCAAATGTAATTGCGTAAATGTAGCATGCTCTTAGACAATCGATAACAGCGTATTGCAGGCAACGAAATTTCGCAATATCTGTAGAATCTAGGCAGTTACTTTAATTCTCAACGGATTGATTGTGAGAGTAACTACTATTAGTAGTCCTATTTTTTTAATTAAATACATTTCTTCTAACATATGACAATATTATTATCATCAGTGATGTCACGTCTGACAGAAATAAAGCTTTTTTGTTTTAAAACAAACTCATATTTCGTGGGAGGAATATTTATTTTAATGCAATTCTTTAATTTATTTTTTGAACTTGTTATATCATTGGAAAGAAAAACAGTCAGGAGGAAAAAACGAATCCTAGCATCCATGAGGAACCAGATTAAAAACGTGCAAGTGTGATATACAATCGTTCGATAGTAAAAACAACGTATAAGACTACATTTTGTATACGATGGCTGATCGGAAAACGATTGACTGAATCATGCATCTACGTTTGTACGAGTAGCTTCAGATATACTTGATCTAATTTTGGTTTTATCATTTACATCATCAATTAAATCTTTTTTCTTAAATTGATCTAGAAAACAAAAAAATACAGAATAACGATTTCCAATAGCATTTTCTCGTCGAAATAAAGTATGTAAAATTTTTATACTAGACCACATAGAACATAAGTTCAACATACTATTTCTTTTTCGCCATATAAAATAGCCAACAGCTACAGCAGCACCAATCAACACAATAGCTATTAGAATACTAATGATAATAATAATTAATCGTTTTTGTTTTGCTTTCTTTTCATTTTCTTCCATTGCAAGTACAGCATTAAATGCATCATCAGTATTTTCAATGATAGTATCTACCATTCCATTCAGCGCAGCGTTATCAAAACTGCTACTTAGTAAATCATCTGCATTATCTGTGCTCGTTTCATCTAGTACTTTGACTTGCATGTTACCAATAAGCGCAAATTCTTTTTTCACCGGTTTCTTCCATATAATTTTACGATCGAACACCCATTTATCAAGTTTCCCACCGAGATCTGTAATATGTTTAACGATATCACTTCGACTACCTAATGTAGCAACCAAGGCTTTAGCATCCTGTGGTTTAAGAGCTATTCGTGTCGCATTATCAACTATATTGGCTATTAAACCGTTGATATCAACAATATTTTCTACAAATGTTTGGCACATATTATTATTGCCAGCATCGTATGTATAAAAATGTTTGTCTATATTCGATGCTGTCGTAATTAATCGGTTGAGCGTAAATATTTTATTACGTGTAAGTGGAATATCGTATAAATCGACGAATTCAGTTGGAAAGACAGGTTTCATGAGTCGTACACGATGAGCTTTTTCAAGTTTGTAAACGGTGCTGGGAATAGTGTCTTTCGAATTATGAACCATTGTCTGTAACACATTCGTTTTCTTATTGTTCTGAATAGTAATAAGTAAATAGTTATGATAGATTTCGTCGTAGCCAAGTTCAAGTTGTTTATCAGAAAACTTCCAAGAACTGGCGAGATTAAGAAAAAGAATCAAGACAGCTAGAACCGATGTACGACCAAGTTGAATTTTGAGTACAGGATTATCGCCGACTTCTTCCAAGAGTTCTCGTATACGTTGCGGCATTTCAGGGTGGTATTTTGCAGCGATGAAATCATGATCATTTCGTTTTGGCTACAAAACAAAGGAGATTCCAAGCGTCTTTTTTTGACCTATAATACGTAGACTGAGGTTATGAAGAAAAATGATGTTTTGTCGTTCTCAAATCAATTCTTTTTGAAGGCTCTTAAAGCTGTCTCTTGTTATTTTTTTTCAAAATAAACATATGAATGAATAATCATTACTTTTCCAAAGAATAAACCACTTGCTAGTATTGGTATCAATAATAATTGAAAAATTCTAATGAATAATTTCATAACTGAGACAGTACGGAAGAGTAAAATTATTGATGAGATGTATAAACTCAAGTTATTAAATTATATAAATGACAATACTTGTCAAAATCAACAAGGCGCAATATCATTTGCAAATAAAGTAAATATTTTCCCATTAATTAGCACAGATATTCATCTTTTTTTTAATTTGCAATTACCTGACGATCATGAAGGTCCTTTCAGTACGAAATTTACAAATGTGAAGAACAAAAGAACAGTGAAAATGGAGAAGAAGAAAACATGAAAGAAACATCATTAAGGTTAACATAGCGAGGAAAAAAATGTAACAATAATAAAAATATATGTCTTAGTACCCGTACAGTTGCGCAACACGATGAACTAAAGAGCAAGAGGAGAAAGAAAGAAGAAACGAACCGCTAACTTAAGCCGAAATTCATATGCTTGCGTCAAAAGTTTCTGGAAACTCCGCCAGGGTCATCACTTCCTCTATGTTATAGTTTACAATGGATTCGTTCGAGGCTATACTTGCGCATCAGTTCACGATTTTCTCTAGTGCCGGCTTATGTTCAAAATATCTCTTCGATCTAACGACTCCAGCTATACTATTTTCCTTAAGCAACCAAACTTCTCTGAATGCATTGAAATTCATCTGCTCGAACATTAACTCTCCATCTTTCGTGCTCGTCAGATATTTATCTTTCGTGTTAAGCTCTTCAGATGCATTGATATTTTGATTTGATTCAAAATAATTCAGTATCTATGCGCGATATACATCTAGTCATGCTGTACACATTGTTGATCGTCTCCTTATCTTATTAAGTTTATATATATATTGTTTATTTAAAAAAAACTTTTAATGGCTTTTTTCTCATGTTTCTATTTTAATTACTTTCATAAGGATAAAAATCGGCATATTTGCCAAAATATGAAGCACCTGCATTATTTTTTTAGATTTTTGTTTTTCATTAAATTTTCTCATCTAGAATATCCTCATATAAGCCGATCTACGGTTTAAGGTTATTTTTACATAAAAAAAAGACTGATGCATCATATCTCGTATATTATTCTGTAAAATTATATAGAATTTCTGTTTTCAAAACCCTTCCCTACTTATATCCCACAGTGAGGTCGCTACAAAGGCTGGTAATGAGTAAAGACAAGGTATCACTATTCCAAAGTGTAAGATCAGTATCGAAAAAATCCTGTACAGAATAAGAAAAATAGCTTCTTTATTCAGTCTCAATCTCTCGAGTGTATTTTACTAATTGTGTAAGTTTAGATTCCATGAAAGTGTAACTATATTGTAAATTAAGTAGATAAAACGATCGATGTTATGCTGAGCCATTTATTTTGTTGGTAGAAGATTGGTACAAGCTCTTCTAGCTCGTACAACTGCCACGTTCCAAAAATAGATATAGTTGAAAATGCGAATTTCAGTGTAAAGTGAAACTATTTCAGTTATCGGTAGAGTTTTTGTAGAATGATATTGTCGATGTAGCGCTCATAGTACAGTTATATTCGGCAGCAACATGTACACAAAATAGAACAAAAGCGACGGTATGTATATGAACCTATTGAATTTTTAATATACTGTAAATTCGCTGATCGTTAATTAAATGAATTCTCAAATTTTCAACAGCTCAGAACACTTGGTATGGATATCATCTTTTAATGAATATTTTCCAACCACTGAAACTAATACAGCGGAAATCAAGACAATGAGTTTATTTTTGTTTTCGGCGTAGACGACTTTAAATTATAACCAGTATCTCGTTTGAATTAAATTCAAGGCTTGTGAAGCCACTAGAAGACTTCAGTAAGCATTACTCGTAGTATCGAAAATGTTTAAAAACGGAACAGACCAAAAAATTTTATATTCACAAGAATTTATTTGTTTCTGTTATAACCTCAAATAGATGAGTAAAATCGTTATAGATTATATTAGATTATTTTGAAGCGTTTTCTACTAAAGCGAGGCTTTTGGAAAGGAGGTGAGTGTGTCACTCGTAAATCAATCACTGAGAGGCATATGATTAATCACGAACATATCATTGTCTATTCTAGGTCGCTGCGATCCGTATACAATTGATTGTAGTTCGAAAGAAAGCTTCTTTAAAACATAAAAATAAAAATAAAAACCATGATATTTTAATAAAAAGCGCTTCTTTTGTTCTACTCGAGCATTAGAACGCCACGTGGCAAGTAAATATTTTCACTTATGTGGGCAAAAAACATCTGGTATCTCGAATAATATGAGAACAAGTAGAAATCAGAAAAAAATGCCCATCTTAAATCCTTTGTTTTCATCCTTTGCGTTTTTTATATTATGTACTAGCACTTTAAAAAATGCATTGAATTAAAACGGCATGTTTGTTTTTGTTGATTCTTATCTGATAATAACGTAGAATCAGTCTATGTGTGTGTGTGTGTCATTCTTGTTTATGAATACGAAGCGTCGTTAAAGGAACTAAGTTTTTTTTCTTTTTACTTTGTCTTGTCTATAATGTTGTCCAGTTTTTACACGTATGAAAACGAAACTGAAATCAGTAGTGAAGTTAAATGTCCCATATGTCTTGATCCTTTTCAATTACCTTTACGTGATATTTATTGTGGCCATAGTTTTTGTTTTCAATGCATCAAAACGTGGCTGAAACGAAAGCAATCCTGTCCAATATGTCGACAGCATTTCAGTAAATTTGTGCGTATAAACGATGAAAGAATACTGAAAGAACTCGATCAATTACATGTTAAATGCATACATTGTAATCAAACAAATATTAAACGAAATAATTTCAATGATCATATGTCATCTGAATGTTCGAGTCGAACGCTTATCGACCACGAGAGAACGAAACAAAGTACGCGAGAATATTTAAATATTGAATATTTATTGAAACGAATAAACGAATCCATGGATAATAGTAGAACGCAAGATGATTATCGCGAACAAATCAATTCAATGTCATTGCCGGTGTTGATTTTCATAATCTCAGGTGTTCATTTGCTTGTTTATATATCTGTATTCATTCCGGTAGCTGTTATATTGAATATTACTGATATTTTCTTCTATCTTCTTCGTCATGCTATTACGTTGCTTACTCGTTTGATGAAGTTGCTTATATACAGAATTTGAAAGTTAAAACAAAACAAAAGAATTCTGTTCCTCATGACTGATTTAGTTTTATTTCTTTATAAAATAAAGTAGTCGCAGATTCGAACACAACACGATTAGTTCATTGATTTGGTGCTAGATGAAAACATGTAAAATAAGAACAAAGTGAAAGACAACAATTTACTTTGCAAGTAGGAAGATAGCAGGAATCTGCAGAAGTAATTATTCTTTCACACAATATCAACTTTCATTATAAATCAAGTCTAATATTCAGAATTAAAAAGGGATTATCATCTATTTTATTGTTCAAAAGCTTTTAGAAAAAAGCTCGAGTTCGGAGGAAGAAGAAATTGAAAATCACTTTCAAAATGTATATCTACCGAAAATCTTTTGAAAACAAAGATGATTTGTTCAAATGAATTAAACCTATAGAGAGAGAAATAACATCTCTACGACAGACAAGTGATGCGTATATCAATCGAAAAGTAAACAAAATCAAAACAATGTTGACATAAAATATTAGCTGTTAGTCAATGCATACAATTGCAAATAGCACTTAAGAAAAGAAATGACAGTAGCAGCAACACCTTGCATCTTCACGTTCAGCTAAGACTCCCATATCAAAAATTTATGATCGATACACGCTTTGAACGACTTGTTCTATTTCTATATTCAGTCGGTTCCATATTCTTCTTAGATCCGCTACTTCAGGCGGATATTTCCAGATCGAAATGCAAAGATTATAAAACTATATCAGTTGACAGCTTCGTCTGTTATTTCTCTCTATTCTTTGTAATAAGTCGATTACAACAAACGCGCGCGTCCTATTATCCAATAACCAATCAATATTACCTCAACCAACTGAACGCAATCATTTCATTCGTTGATGGTATTTTTTTTCAAAGGAAAGAAAAGAAAAGACATCTGCGTGTGTATTAGAAAAAAAAAGACGAGAAGTTTTCTTTTTCTCCTCTTATTCCGGTCGCATGATACGCACGCTCTTCTCATCTCATTGAATAAATGGACAACAAGGCGAAGAAAAAAAAAAAGTTGAATACATATCCATTGTATGCGAGCGAACGCGTCTGTACAGCAAGTTCATCGTCCTTCTCTTTTTCTCTCCTTCATTTTTTTTTCTTCTCTTTTTCTTTACCCTCATTTGATGACTGACTGACCGTCCAAAGCATTCGTCAGATACACTTATATATATACATAAAATATACGTACGTAAGCTTTTGTTCAGAATATTTTCTAGATAATGATACCATCAAAAAAGCAAACTCTCGATCTCATAAACGAACATTTAACATGCCGTCTATGTTCGGGTTATTTAATCGATGCTTGGACAATCAACGAATGTTTACATTCATTTTGTCGTTCATGTATATTCTCATATTTTAACGGCAATGACGAAAATACAGCATGTCCTGTATGTTCAACAGTTCCACATCCAGCCAATCCATTGCTTGGCGTAACAAAAGATTGTTGGCTACAACAGATTGTTTATAAATTAGTTCCATCGTTATTTAAACGTGAAATGTGTCAAAGACGTACATATTACGATTCGAATCCCGATAGTAAAGTGAAACTACTCGAACAATATTCCAAAACTCTTCCATCACAAATGGGCTGTCGTGAAGAAGAATTAGGTGAATTAAGTGAACGTTGTTTATTTCAACAGAAGAATAAATTGAACAATAAAGAAAATATTTATGTTACATTAGAATATAATGAAAGTGATTTAAAAGATTTTCAAGCCAAATTACATTTATTTTTTATTGAATGCTCTTCGAATATGCCAATTAATATATTAAAACAATATTTAAAAAAAGTTTTACCTCTATCAAAACGAACACGTTATCAAATCGATGTATTATACGAGCAAAAGGTGCTATTAGATAGTTTAACATTGAATCATATTTATTCATGGAAACAAAGTAAACAGCCAAAATGTAAACAATTACATCTATTCTATAGAGTTATTATTATTGAACGTGAACAAAATGAATCGTTAATCAAAGTTGAACAAGAAAATGATACAACTCTTGAACCTGTTACAAGCAGTATTTTTAATCTAGCAACATCCTTTGATGACAATAATCTTCCTACTAAAGTAAGTTCGAAAAATGCAAAAAATTTGTTAAATCGTTTTTCTTTTCGCTCTGACTATTTTAGGTCTTACCGAAGCCTGCACCTTTTATACGTGCGACTACTAATATTTATAGTAATCCAAATTCGTTTGTTCATACAACACCTTTCAGTCCAGCTGAAGCAAGAACAATTAGTTTAAATAATTCGATTACTGAACAATTTCATGGCAATGAAACCAAACAATTAATTAAACCAAAAGAATGTACGCTGCTTGATTGTAAAACATTTGCTATAACAACACCGATAAATTATTCGATGAATTCTATTGGTGACATTTCGAAATCGAAAAAAAGACCAAAAAAGTAGCATTTAAATCTTTTGATTATTTTATGATTTATTGTTTTTAATCTTTATAGATCAAATTTAAATGATCAACCTTTAACAAAAAAGCCGAAACCAGAGAGAAAAAAGAAAATCAAAGAAGAGAAAACAATTCGTCCATTATTACCAGCGAATACTTCAATGATTCCATTAAATTCGTCTCCATCGGAAAATGAAAATCCAAATGAAATTGTCGTGCAAAAACAACTTTCCTATTCGGAAGTTATTCAAGAAGCTAATAAACTTTTAGCAGCTGATGAACCATCAACGCCAACAAATAATTCATCATCATCATCATCATCAATATCTTTAGCAAATCCAGTAACATCACGTTTAACAAAACCCATTGCAACAGTTTCACCTCTTCATACATCAAAAACAAATCAAAATAAATCCGACGACGATCAATTAATCGATTTATCAAAATCAAATGTAACATTGTATGTAGACTATTTCTATTCTTGCTTTTTTTTTATAATAAATATATTCTCCTTGTAGAACTGATGCTCCATTAAAATTAGAAACTCAGACTGAGGGAACAAAAAAACGTTCAAGGCGTACATCTTCTTCAACAACACGAACTAAAATCTCTCGTCATTCGCATAAATCAACCAGCGACGAAGGAAATGATGTAACGAAATCATTGAAGAAAACCCATTCAAATATGAATCCGACTCAATTTTTACCTCCGCCGCCAGCAACGCAACAACAAATGTTTCAAAATTTATTTCATTCATTTCAAAATCAAGCTAACTATTGGCCAATGACTCCATGGCCTGTACCTCCGTCATTAGCACTCATGGCTGATCCAAGAAATTATTATACGCAACCATGGTCTCATCAATCGTCCGTTGCTCATGCTCCGAAAGATCTTAGTTCAGCAAGTTTAAATGATTTTATCGGTGAAACGTCCAATCCTAATTTTACTTTACCGCCAGCATCAGCATTATTAAATTCTGCATCAAATTTTTCGCGTACATCATCATCCAGTTCTCTACATCTTCATCATGCAACCAGTCGACATCGACCGACAACATTGAATGGTACATTGTCTTGAAAAGAATAGTTTGTGCTCGAGCAATATTCATTTATTTGTATATGTATTTGTGTAAAATTATTTTTCTTCTAAAAAACGCAACCCTAGTCAAACATGCTTGTATAAATCATACTCGTTAATATTCGGTGAATCAAAGAAAAAAAAACATAATAAATATATATATATATAAATATATATATAGAGGTATATGTATAATTAAACTTTTCACTAATAGAATTCGGAAAAGAAAAACCAGCAAAAAAGAAAAAATTTGAATAATATTGAATCGTGCAAACGAATTCCTAAACATTTGACTTGCTTAGCAAGTAAACATTTTTGATGTGGAACAGAATAACGATAACCATGTTCACATGCTGTATAATTGAATGTACGACTTTCAAGACATGTATAATGAAATTGACAATTGGGCCGATATTCGTCTACATAGTTACCATTCGGTCTATCTCGGCAAACAGGTTTAAATGGACATAATGGAGAGTTATCATAATCACCTAAGCAAACTCAAGGGTAGGTAAAATTAAGAAATAAATGAAGATTTTTTTCCCAAGAAAAAAAATCATTAATTGATAAAGTACCTTTCAGTAGAGATAGCTTTTAATATCCTAAAAACAGTTCAGCTCCATAGCGCGTATTACTGAAGAATCCGTACTCTTTCATGGAATTTTTTGAATAAGTCTCATGGTTCTCAGACGCCCACGATATGTCGAAGGAATGACAAGATGAGAAAATTTCAAACGGTATTATTATCGTTGAGGCTCGTTTTTGTGCAGAATTCTAATAAAAAACCATAGTTTTTAGTGCTTCTGAGGCGAAGGATACGACTTTTATTTAAAAACCGAAACCATATCAGTATAATACCTTCGCAATAATTACCCTAAGAGAAAAAAAATCCTTTTCAAGGTACATAGTCTCAACTCAATTTCGTAGGATTTCTCACATTAGTCAAGGTCGGAAAAAATCTTTTCATGAACAACTCTAATGAAAAATGAGACAACAGCTCTTACATGGATCGATACAATTTTTTCTTGAGCCACAAGCAACCACTTGAAAATTTTCACAACTTTTCGTTTCAACCGAATAAAGCTTATGTAGTGGACAAACTTGTTCTTTCAAATGACCATTGATACATTCTTGATAATGACAACAACTATGAGTAGCTACAAAACGTAAGCGTTGTCCATTAGCTGGACATTTATGTGTTATGCCTTCACAAAAAGAAACAAAAACATATATGCGAACATAATACAAAATCTCTTACACTCAGGAACATCTTTAGGCCATTGACAACCGTGTTCTGAAAAAAGAAAATACATAGAACAATAACGAACCGTATGCAACTTACTTTTATTCCAGAAAAGACCAGCATCACAATACGAAGGTCTATCAATACCACCTAAGAAATCAAAATACAATATAAGATTAAAGAAATCAATATTTTATTTACCATTGCAATAATGAAATACTGAGCAATCATATGGATCAGGAAAATGTCCTTGAACGTTCTTTGGACATTCAATAGGCAAATAGACAGTATTTGGTGGAGAATGTCGAGGAGTTGTTATAGGATTTCCATCACCATCAAGGGTATTGGTTGCTGTAGTTGATGATGGTGGTAAAGAAGCGGCTTTGCCTACAGAATTTTCAAATAGAACGAAATATTGTAACACAAAAAAAAAACTTACAATCTGATTTCTCTGGCCATTCACATCCTTGTGTTTCTGTTGAAAACCAAAGATTATTCGAACATTGCAGTACTGTATGTGCACCAATACCACAAAAATGATAGATATGACAATATTTTGTATCTAAAAAATAGATAAGTTGCTAAATACTTGTAGAAAAGAAGATTTTTTGCAACATAAAATTACCCGGAAAATATCCTTCAGCATCATATTCACACGTAAAATTAGAATCAACTTTAATTGGTTGACGAGTTGTTGTTGTTTTTTTTTTCATTCGCCAAGCATTTGCCGGATCAGTAGCAAAAAGAGTTACTAAAAAAAGAATGAATAGTGTGCAGGCAATTATCCGGACGTGAACGTTTCTTTTACCGCCTCGAATATCTGTGATTTGATCCCATTTACGAAGACCTTTTTTACATTCAACAGTATTTTCCCAATTACAATTTTTCTTGACCGGATCCCATGCTGTACCTTCACCACAAACAGAAGCTGTATCAACACCTGATGTACATATGTGATAGATTCGACAATTTTGTCGATCAGGAAAATAACCATCAGCTTAAAATATGAAACATAAAATAAGAATTACAACAATAACAACAACAACTTTACTTTTACAAACAAATGGAGTTGCATCTCGTTTCATTCGTCCTGATAGAATGTCCTCATCTTCGTCCGGATTATAAAGATAAGAATTAGGTTTTGTTATCGGATATTGAGCGACGATAGTCGAATTCTGTAACGACGTCGAAAAAGTCGATTGATAATGAAAGATATTATCATTCGAATTCGTTGATGTACGGTTTTGTTTTTGTATATTCCATCGTAGATTTGATGCCGAAGAATCTGTTAAAACGCTTAAAATAACTAAAATAAATCAATTTGATTTCTAGAAACTCAAAAAAGCCAAGCCCATCATACGTATTATAGAAACAATAAGACACCGTGATGTTGCCCTATACATTGCTCATCCATTTCTTACGCATATATTCATTGGCAAGTATGATATATGCTTTAAAATTCTAACGTGTCATTTGTTGTGTTGTTCATCTAACCTTTTTCTTTAATAGGGAATGTATGTACATGTATTTGTTTAATTGGACTCGCACATACATCCAAACAATAAACTATGCGAATGTAATCGCTACAATGCTATACTATGTTTGTTTGAGGTTTTAGATCTCCTTTTTTTCTTCGTTCATCGATATGTCGCCTCACCTTACCGAAAGCACAACAAACGGACGCATGTGCAGGGCTGCCGACAATGATGTAACTGCACATATCTTTGTTGTTTGGTAAATAATCATTGACATAAGACAAGCAAATGATGAACTGAAAGTTTTTTGGGGCCTCAGATGATTTAATCTTATTCTTTTGAATGGCTTACTAAGATTAGATGATTTCGTTTAAAAAAGAAATGTAACGATTTAAATGATATTCTTTTTATTGAACAAAAAACTACCGCAATAGTAGGCACACACATACAATGATAGTAGAAAAGGAAGCATTTAGAATAGAAAAAAAAACACGAGAAGAAAAGTTTCATTGGAAATTCAATTTAACGGCGAGAACCATCGTTAAAAAGATTGGAATGAAAGTTCCACTATTCCAATGATCTATAAAAACAAGAACAAAAAGTCAATTTAGTAGATGAATATGAGGAAAAGCTTACTTTTCGCTGCAGCACTCCCAGGAATAAAGGAACCACATGGTATTGGAGCAGCACTTGCTGGACCACATCTTCCAGTATAACTACTAAATTTTTGATCGCCTGGACATCTAGCTTCACGCATTTTATTTTGTGCTAGACATTGATAGTAGAAATGACAGTCACGTTCTGGATCCGGATGAATGCCATCGCGTTTATTCACGCCTATTTTATTTTACGTTCTTAAATTCAATTTAAAAGATTTCAATAAACACTTACATTGATTTTTATCAGATAGATTAATAGCTCGCGCTCCGCATGTTACTCGCTCGTGGTCATTACATTCACGTTTTTCTGTATCGAATAATTTTCTTTCTGGACAACTTAATTTTGTTCGTGTGCCTTTATCACATTGATAATAGGAATTACATTCAGTTGGATCGGATATTGAATAAATGCCCGTTGGTTGACATTCAATAGCTAGTGAATTGCCGCTATTATCTTTTCCATTCGTTGATCCTGCATTTGTATCGGATAGAACCGATTCTGTATCAGATTTTTTACGTGTTGTTGTTGTATCTATTGAAACACACGGAATAAGAAAATGATTTTTTGAAAATCAAGATTTTTCGAAGAATTTTTCATGCCTTCACTAGGAGTGCTCGTCGAATAGCCTAGCTTTTTTTGATCACAATTAACTTGATCAACCCATGCACACGATTTGGATTCATCATTCCATGCAGTACCTCGTGGGCATTCAAAGGTTTCATCCGTTCCGTGCGAACATCGATAATATCTCGTGCAATATTCTGGATCACTGATGAATAAATAAAAATCATGCATAGGATTTTCTTTTTCTTAGAACTTTCTTATTTAGAGAATATCTTACGCAAAAAAACCGTCGCCTCCAGTACAAGGAACAGATGAATATGAATTTGTTTGAGAAATAATTAGAAGAAAAACTGGAAAAGAAGTTCAATAAATAGAGAGAGATAAATATAGAAATTCGAATAAATACAAGCATTCATGCACTACCCGATGATAAGATGTTTATGATACAAAATAAATCTCATAATCTTTGCCTTCATTCTCATCAGCATCAAGTTTTCGTAATTTTGTTTCGATTTTTTTTTGTTTCTTTTTTTTCTTTTTAGTCTTTTTAACAACAACAATCGGTGGTTCATCATCATCTTCATTATTATGATTATGATTATTTTCTTCTGCTAGTTCTTGTTCATCATCATAATCAGCTATGGGTTTAGCTGTTGTTTTCTCAGCACGTGAACAATCAACACTATCAAGCCAATTACAACGATTCTCATGATGATCCCATGCTGTACCACTGGCACATTCGAACTCTTCCGATGCGCCATGTATGCATCGCCAATAGATGTGACAAAATTCGGGATCATAATACCAGCCATCGTCTTTTGCTGAACAATCATATTCAGCTAATATGTTTTCGAAAAGAAAACTCGTAAGAATGACGATGGTAAAACCGAAACTAAAGGCTGAAAGAAAACAAAAGAAGAAGCTTCCTAATAATAATTCTATAAGCAATAGATAAATGCCTGTAAAATCCTAGATTTAGTTTCTTACCATTGAAAAAATAGAAATCCTTAAGAATCATAATCATTTGTTATGTAGAGAAAAAGATTATCAAATGATTAGGATCTATCTTCTTTTACTTTCTTATTATTTAATATTTTTTTCGATTGTCTTTTTTCTTGTTAAATATTAGCTAGATGTGACATGGTTATATTCAACGTTTACTTACTTTTCCAGGGTCGTTGATTATGATTTAACAGTTGCATATTTCCAATATTTTCATTCTTGAGGTCCTTTATTGTTCTCGACAATCAACAAGAAAAAGATAAGAATGTCAAAAGATGAAGTAAAAAAAAACGATGTGCAAGACATCGCGTAATCCTTGTTTAAAGAATGAACCGATCGGTTTATGTTGAACTGCACCGTTCGAAAGATAGATTTCTCTTTAAAAAAAAAGGTCACATTCATTTCGTGCTTTTCTTTTCTTTCCTATGTCATACAATAACTGTTTATTAAACCAACGACACAGAGAGACAACAAACATTTCTAAACATAGATCGAACATCAATGTTGTTTTAATAGTTTATCAATAAGTCTAAGACCACAAACAGACCAAACAAGATAAAACTGAATTAACCAATGAGATGATTAAAAACGATAAAACATAAATAAGTCATCTCGAAAGAAAGAGATGACTTAACGTTCATGCGCCAATCATATATTATATCGCTTCACCAATAAAAGAAACATGTGTGGCGTCTCATATATATACATTTTTTCAGACAGGCATGTCTATCTGAACAGTGCCGGCCATGATATTCCTCGACGTCAAAGATAAATATCGACTGCTTCATACAACTTCAGTCGTATTTTGCACAGAAAAACAACTTATTCATGTTTTAAAAATGATTTGATATATCTTTTCGCTTCATTAGAATAAATTATTCGTGCTCTGATTTGGTTTTTGTAATAAATATTATTTATTTTTTAAAAAAGACCTCTAGAAATAATATTTTGTTGATAAACAATATAGTTAGTATTAAAAAATCCTGATTAACTTCTCATCTTTACTGACCCAACAAATTCTAAGTTTGTGACGAATCTTTTTAAGATAATCTGTTATTAACTGGAGCACATACGATAGCGACGCCTGTCAATGCAGTAACATTTTCTACGATGCAGTTCGCATCCACGAAAGAGGCTTGTCTCATACTCTATTGGTGATTTAATGCTTTAGTGTGGACCGCTGTTGACTTAAAACAAAATTAAATTTTATGAATTTTTGGTCTGTTTGGGGTCTTAGACCCCAAACAGACCAAAAAGATAAAACAGAATTAACCACTAAATCGTCTCAAAAAGATGACTTAAGTGTGAATTAACCAATCACGTTGCTTAATTCTGTTTTATTTTTTTGGTCTGTTTGGGGTCTAACATGACTAATTGTAACATGTAGCCAATAACAATTGCAATCAATCGAAAGAATACAAAACTTAAACAACATTTAAATAGAAAATTTATCGCAGAATAAAATCGTTTCACTCATTCAGCATTTGTCTTGTAGCCAATCCTATACATATTCTTTACTTGATTCGAATCGAAGCAACACCGGAAAGGATTTATACAAGACGACCCGCCACTAATTAGTCACTTGTGTTACGAGACTATTTGCCGAGATGAGCTGTGAATACCCTGAAAAGAGTTCGTTCTCTTAACTGACTGTTATGAAGATATTGTAGGTAGAAATTCTTCTTCTTGTTTTGAGATGACGTGACTCACTTCAGTCACATAAAAGCAACAGGCTTTGCAATTTCCACTGAAAAATTAACTTAGAAAGCATACTGTAATAAAACTCGTACTAATAACGCATTTGAAAATTTTATCTACGGCTTTGATTACATTACGATTCATTTTAAACACGAATGTTTTTCTTCCGATACAATCAAAAAAAACTAATTGATTATTCATATGTGATACACAGACCGTACCTTCTTAATTGCGGACACTTTTCAAAACAATTAGTGAAAACTGGCCGCATCTTGGAATGATTGAATATGAGCTATTCCATTTTTATCGTGTTTCCAAAAAGCGGACACTCTTTTAATTATTGTATCATTTTGTAAAGTAACACTTCGAGTACAAGATTTATTTGTACAAACGTATAAAGATGCACCTTTTTGAGTTTCACGTTTCATTCGATATAAGTAATTATTGTACAATATTGCTTTTTCACCTTTTTGGGTTGTTCAGAAAGTAAAATTTGTAGCTATTGTATCAAATGAAATGTCCTGTTATTTCTCATCGTTTTATAAGTTCATCAATCATACATATCTCATGATCTTATTTCACAATAACTAATTAATTAAAAAAGTCTCCGCTTTTTGGAAACGCGATAAAAATGAGATAACCTATATTCAACATTCCAAAATGCGGCTACTTTTCACTATTTGGTGTGAAAAGTGTCCGCAATTAAGACGTAGCCCGTCGATATAGATACTTTTTGTTTTGTTTTGTTTTGTTTTATTGATTGAATCTCTAAAGCTTGCTGAAACTCTTTAGCACATTGTTATTTCTCATTGTCATGAACATCAGAGTGCGCCAGCATCATCTCTTCAACACTTTTTTTTTTGTTGTTGTTGTCTACATTTGCTCCTCTTTTATTGGTTAACAGTTTAACCAACTAAATATAGTCATCACGACTAAACTCTTTTTGCAAAACAATTTTTCACACATCATCACCATATAAAAAAAGAAGAGTGACACTACTTTATCTCGATAATTTGTCTTTTCTATTTATACTCGTCATTATTTTCTTGTCATGTACTACTAGTATATTAGTTTTCTTTTAGTTCGATTATTTTGTTTGCATAGAGTCTACAATGACTCACTTAACTCAAGAAAAGGATGCGGTAGTTCGACGTCTTAGTGATGATATTAATCAATTTAAAACAAGTCACCATTTACCTGATGATCTTGAATCAAGTATAAATTTTCATTTTCATTATAAAGATCTTTTGAATTCATTTTTCTGTCTTTTAGTGTCTGACGCAATTGGTCATCTTCAAAAGCAAGCACAGGAAGTAATGAGTCAAAAACCTAAATGGCCATCATATTTCCAAGGGCAAATGATAACCAAAGATGATTTTGACTTTATCTCTAATTTTGATGTATTAAATGCAGAAGGAAGAACTAAACTTTTATCGGATCCAAACACAAGAAATCAAGTAAATAAAAAATGTTCATTATGAATAACTATTTTATTTTCTTATTCAAGTGTGCGAAAACGTTCTTAACATTAATGGCAAAATTATTTAAACAACAAACACTAAGATATTTACTTACATTAATGGATCAATTTCTTCGAGTAAGTTTTAATCGAAACGACAGAAATTTAAACGCTCTAGTCAATTGCTTTTTTTCCTGTCTATAGGAAGACAAAAGTCGAGTAGAAATATTTAATACATACGCTAAAATGAAAAAAGAACAATTGTGGTCGTATTTTTTTAATATGTTTGCCAATCAAGATCAATTTGTTGTTTATCAAGTAAAAAACAAAAATCAATCTTATTTTCGTTAACTAACTTACTCTATTTAAATAGACAAGTCGAATTCTAGCAAAACTTGCTTGTTGGAGTGCTGAACGAATGCCAACATCCGATTTATCCTATTATTTAGCTTGGCTAAAAGAACAACTCAAACCACAAGTGAGTGTTGTTGGTTTTTCCGTCATTGTCTATAATAATAAAAATTTCTCATGATAGGGTAACGAATATTTACAAAGTGTATGTCGATGTTTACAAATGATGTTACGCATTGAACCATATCGAGAAGCATTTGTTGCTATTGATGGCATTCCAAGGTAAATTTACTTATGTCCAACACCATCAAAAATGGGTATTGAAGAAGAACGATAAAAAAATTAGGCCTCCGGCAGACTCTAGTCAAAAACGATAACAGATCTAATAAATGGAGTATAACTAAAAGAACTAATTTGTTCCGAAATAGATAAAATCTCTACGATATCATATTTCTCATCTCAACCGGGTACAGATTGTTTTGATGTTGTTTATTTAATACTTTTAGTATTATGCACGTATTGAATAATGGTTCTGTTGGTTTTCAAGTACAATATCAATTGATATTTTGCTTATGGGTACTAACATTTAACCGTAATATTGCTACGATAATGACCAAGTAAGTTTTGAACAAAAAACAAAAATAGAATTCTATTTATTCCCTTTGAAGATATACTGTCATTCCACGTCTCAGTGAAATTCTTGCAGAAACTCAAAAAGAAAAAGTCACACGCATGATTGTAGCATTTTTAAGAGTAAGTTTTAATTCGTAGTTTTTTTCTTGTCGAATTTTTGATTGTGCTATTTTGTACTTATAGAATCTACTTGAAAAGCCCGAAAGTGACAAAATAATTCGTGATAATGCTATGACAATGATTGCATGTCGACTTGTTAAACCATTAGAATTACTTAGTAATCGAAAATTTGATGATGATGATATCAACGATAATGTTCAATTAATTAAAGAAAAACTTGAAGGAAATCTGGCAGATGTTACGTACGTTAGCAAAGCGAATAAATTAAATTGTCAAAATGTTCTTTTTTTAAATTTTAGTTCGTTTGATGAATATGCAGTTGAAATTCGTTCAGGTCGTCTTTCGTGGACACCAGTTCATCAATCAGAGAAATTTTGGATTGAAAATGCTGCGAAATTAAACGAAACAAATTTTGAATTATTGAGGTAATTACACATAGAAAATGAAAACGTATAATTAAAAGTGATTGAATAATAACACTGAACAGAGTAGAGAAATTTAATGGGCGATCACCTGAATAGAAATGTAACTGTAACAATTAATTATCATTCTCAAATTGAATAATATATTTTCTACGTTCTACATGTAAAATGTCAATCTTTATCTTATGTTTCATTGAAGACAAATTGACTTTCTTCATTCCCGTAAGCAGTCCCGCTTTCTATAAGTAGCAAGAAAATTCGACATATTTACAGTAAAGTGCAAAAAAAATGCCGTTGCACTTACGCATTTTCTCGAGTCATGCATGTGAAGCGCATGAACGGATTCTTCGGAAACTTTTATCAGTAATTAAGGATGTGCTATAGATTTTAATCAGAGCGGGACTCCTCAAAAATTGTCGTCCAGTAGCGCGCGAGACATCACGATTCGAGTATCTACCGTTTTTCTAGAATATCAAACAGTCCTATTACACTACTACGACTAGGGCAATCGTAGTGCTACGAAAATCGTCTTCTTGAAGAAACTCTAGGTCCATAGTATCTAACGAAATACAAATGGCGTCCAACGATACAGCATCGTAAAAACAAACGGAGGATCACAGTGTGTAGAATTGCCAGGAAAAATAGCGATCGGACCAAATTGTCTAACTATCCCGACAATGACTTGTCTGACCGACTTGAAATTTCGATAGTAGACAGACATCGGCTAGTAGATAAAATTTTGTCCCACGTGAACAAATTCTCAAAATTCATCTTTAGCGTCAAATGGAGGTCAAAATTTGAGAAGGTTGTGTTGCATTTTTTTCCCGATTGAAAACCGAGAAGACATCGTATCGAGCTGAAACTCCAGCTACTGGATCTTGATCCAAAAGGTGGTTCATAGCTTCTTCCACTCTTCTCCAAACATACATTTTAGGCTAGCACATAAGCCATGTACATAGGCAAAAACGATCTTAAACTATTTAAGTGTATCGATGAAGCTACAGTGTTTACTGCTTTTTTTGGCTGAAGGAAAAAAGCTAACTATCGATTATTATATTTGTGTACTCTTGTGTATGTATAATCTATTTATAAAAAAAAACCCTTTTAATATTCATCATGTTCAGTAGAGTAGCTTTACCAAATACTAACGGCAATTATTTTTGCACACCACTGTATATATATACGTATATTCTAGAATGCTTCTTCGTTTACTTGAACAAAGTAAAGACCCATTAGTTCTGTGTGTTGCTGCACACGATATTGGTGAATATGTTCGACATTATCCACATGGCAAAAGGTATGTCAATTGATTATATGCACAAAAATAGAATTCCTTTTAACAAAAATACTTTAGAGCCATTGATAAACTCGAAGGCAAAGTTATTATCATGCGTCTATTAGAAAATCCAGATTCCAATGTTCGATATCAAGGTTTACTTTGTGTTCAAAAATTAATGGTTCACAATTGGTAAGCAAAAAAAAGAATAACCTAACGATAGTTATTCGTCATTTAATTGAGTAAAAATAAATAATTATGTATGTCGTCGAATTCATAGGCAATTGGCAGATCTTTTAATGAGAAACACATAATGACGGTGTAGGGATGCACGTTTTCAACTAATATCTTGATTTATTTTATTTTACTATTTTATTTTTGCATTTTCATTTGACATATAATGCACTTTTATCCTTCTTCTTGCGTTTGCCCGATTTTTATTTTAATGAATGAAAAACTAATATTAGTTTTTTGTTTCTGTTTTATTTCAGGGACTATCTCGGTAAACAAGCGGATATGAGTGCGGGAAGTAATAACAATTTACCAAGTAATGGATTAGGGCAACGACCAGTGGAATCAAAAGCTTGATTTTAAAGCACACAATAAATAACATTTATATTTATGAACTTCCAGATTATGTGCAATTTTATCCTTGTCTTTTATGTATAAGTATACGTGATTGTCATTTTTCCAGTGTATCATTAAAAATTTAATTATATTCATTTATGTATTCTTTAATAAAAATATAGATAGATTTCATGGTCGAATGCTCTTCATTTAATACTGTTTCTTGTTGATGCATTAGCTTGTGTGCGTTGTTAGCAAAAAAAAGTAGAAACGGACTTTCCATTATATATGCATGAGAGTGCTCATTAGTGTTTATATCTGATGGCAAAAAAGAAAAGCTAATTATACTTTTCTTAAGTTCAGAACAAACTGAATTGAATACGAAAGATAATAGCTTTTCTTCAATAAATGATCTATTAATATGATTGCATTGAATTTTTTCGAATAGTAACACGAGAGTGGATTCAGAAAGTGGGGTATAGATAGCACTACAATAACAAGTGAATCAGCAGAATGAGGTCAGTTTTTAAAACGCATCTGCTCAAATATACAATTACGAATCTGCGAGTACAAGGCCACGTCATATTTAGCACAGTCAAGATTTGTCACACTTGAATTCGCTGGCATAATATCTATGGTTTCTGAATCGTCTTCAGCACTTCCGTTTAGTTGATTTTTGAAATCAGTGTTTACTATCAATGAACGTCACTCATGAAACTTCTTTTGGTTTCTTATTTATCCTACTTGAAAACAAGTCACGAACGATAAAAGTGCGATTCATGTTTACTTGTAACAAAAGAATTTGAAGCATTTTATAGGTCGCCGTGCATATTATCAACAAATGCTTTTTGTGAGATGCGAAAAAAATGGAGGCAGTGGGGATTGAACTCACGGCCTATCGCATGCGAAGCGATCGCTCTACCACTGAGCTATGCCCCCATATGTTTATGCCAAAATTTGACAATTTATTTATATGATTTTTGTTTTGATCTTTAAGATATAATAATCTTTATTTCTGATGATCATTTATGGCATAGATATTTGATCCAAAACAGTTTCTTTTTTCTATTTCATTACGAAATGATGTTTGTTTTTTAATAGAAGGCCAAACTAAAGAAAAACAACGATAAACACATGAAAAAACGAAGACAGTGAGTTGGTATTGGAGAGCTTAATAATTGCAAAATTGCCTATTTATTTTGTTGTTCTTGTTTGCTCTTATCGTCTTCCGATGACGCTTGTTCGGATGATGATGAAGATGAACTACTGGATGAAGATTGTGAACTTTCACGGTCCGATTGCATCTAAAATTAAGCAATAAGCACAACAAAAATAAAGTAGCCGATTCATACCTTCTTATAAGCAGTTTCGAATAATTTCAAACTTTGACGTTGAAATTCATCAGCTGCTTCTTTTAGACTTTCAACTGATTCGTTATCTTTATTGGATAATTTTTCGCGTAATTTAGTAGCGCCTTCTTTGAGTTTTGCGTACTAACAAAATAAAATAAATTCGATTATTATTGATTTCTACAAGAAATTTCAAGCTCGTACTTCATCGGCTGGTAATTGATCTTTATATTCTTCCATTTTTGATTCTGTATCATGCAAAATTGATTCAACACGATTGACTTCTTCAACCATTCCACGTCGTTTCTTATCATCAGCTGAGTATTTTTCTGCGGCACGCACCATATTCTCAATTTCATCTTTGCTTAAACCGCCGCTAGATTGAATGACAACTATAAGGAAAAACGTTCCTCAATTAGTGATTTTTCATTATGTTTCAATAGATCTTACTTTGTTGTTCTTTTCCGGTACCACGATCACGAGCAGAAACATGAACAATACCATTAGCATCAATATCAAACGTTACTTCAATTTGTGGGACACTATAGAATAGAATGAAAACTTTGGCTTTTATTTTCATGAAATTTAATTCACTTACCCACGTGGGGCAGGTGGAATGCCGATCTACAAGCAAAACAAAAATTAATTTTTAATAAATAAAATTTTAACATACTAAATTAAATCTTCCGAGCATTTTATTGTCGGAGGCCATTTCACGTTCACCTTGATGTACTTTAATTTCGACTTGGGTTTGTCCGTCAGCAGCTGTTGAAAAGACCTATTAGAACAGAATCGAAATGCATTCAGTCTACAATATGAATAAAAACTTACTTGACTCTTCTTTGTTGGGATAGTTGTATTGCGGTTAATAAGTTTTGTAAACACTCCGCCTAATGTTTCAATACCCAATGAAAGTGGAGTAACATCAAGAAGAAGAAGATCAGTTACATCACCGCCAAGTACACCACCCTACGCAGATAATTATTGAAAAATATAACAGGAAAACTTCTATTAAAATCTTACTTGAATAGCCGCACCCATAGCAACAGCTTCATCGGGATTAACAGATTTGTTTGGTGCTTTACCAAAAAGTTCTTGTACAGTTTGTTGAACCTTAAAAGAGTAAAGTATTATTTAAAAAAAGTCCAACTCAAAGATGAAAATCTACGGAACAATGTTTTCTTCTTATAATGCCTTATTCAAATTTCCGGTAGCTAACGTATAAAGTCTTTTATCAATTTTCTGGAGCTGACATAAGACATCACGCAATTATCTTCATCTTTAATTCTGATGTAACGCAACTCATCTGGAGTTGATTCACTTAAAAACATAAGACATATAATTAAAATCTGTATTTTGTGTTCGGAGAATTTCTCTCTCTCGTAGTGTCGATCTCAAGAAATTTTGATTTCAATTAACGTAGATTAATATTTTTTACCTTGGGCATACGACTCATACCACCGACAAGAATAACTTCATTAATATCTGTTAGTTTAACATCAGCATCTTTGATAGCTTTTTTACATGGTTCTAAATAAAGGAAATATATAAGATTATTGTATAACTAAAATAGATCAATTCGCACCAACGGTTCGTTTAATTAAATTAGCGACAAGACTTTCGAATTGAGACCGAGTAACTTTACAATTCATATGTTTTGGTCCTGATGCGTCCATAGTTAAATAGGGTAAATTAATATCAGTCTTAATAGACGAACAAAAAAAAACACAATTATTTATTTTTTTCTTATAAAAGAATTCTTTTTCTGCGTACTTGTGCAGCCGATGATAATTCGCATTTAGCTTTTTCAGCTGCTTCTCTTAAACGTTGCATAGCTTGTGGATCTTTTGTTATATCGAGACCACTCTAATAGAAAATGATTTATTTTTATATAAGAAAATTCTATGCCAAGCACTGATACGTACTTCTTTTTTAAATTCAGCAACAAGATGTTTAAGTAATGTATTATCAAAATCTTCACCACCTAAAAATGTGTCACCATTGGTTGAACGTACTTCAAATACATTTGATTGCATTTCAAGAATTGAGATATCAAATGTACCACCACCGAGATCATATACAGCGATACTAAATAAGATTATATCTATACATGATTAATAAATAATCTTCTTATTTTACATTTTATCATTGGTTTTTTCAAGGCCATAAGCAAGAGCAGCAGCTGTTGGTTCATTAACTACTCGAAGGACATTCAAACCAGCTATTTGACCAGCATCTTTTGTTGCCTATAGGAATGCATTATTTTAATACGAAAAGTAAGTTCGAAGCGATATCTGATTATATTCCCTGGAGTAAATTTTCACTCTTTTTTTTCTACTTGATGAACAATGTAGATGTCCAAACGTTGCCGTACAAGAGTCGAAAAATTCAATTGATAAATCTCGCAAAAGAAACTCATTATGTTAATCCTTTCATTCAGCTTACCTGTCGTTGGGAATCGTTAAAGTAAGCGGGTACAGTAACAACAGCATTTTTAACTGGTGAACCATAGTAACTTTCAGCTGTTTCTTTCATTTTCACTAAAACAAAAGCGCCAATTTGACTTGGAGAATACATTTTCCCATTGGCTTCAACCCATGCATCACCATTTGTTGCACGAACAATTTTAAATGATACGCTTTGCCTATTTATACGAATAGCAACCTTTTAGCATTTGGTGCAACAACAACAAAAAGAGGTTTTTACATTTCTTTTTTAACTTCGTCATCATTGAATTTTCTTCCGATAAGACGTTTTGTTGCATAGAATGTATTTTGTGGATTTGTTACTGCTTGACGTTTAGCAGGCATACCAACAAGACGATCATTATCTTTTGAAAAAGCAACAACTGAGGGTGTTGTTCTCATACCTAAAGTCAAAACGAATTTTCCATATTAAATCAAAATTTTTTTCTTTAGCAAACCTTCGGCATTTTCTAATACTTTTGGTGTTTTGCCTTCCATTATAGCAACACATGAGTTGGTTGTACCTAAATCAATACCGATGATATGGCCTTTGACTTTTCCTCCGGTATTTTTTGATACATCTTGTGAGTCTCTATACACATATGGAAATATAATAATTTCAAATTCAATGGAAAACATACGTTTTATGGCGAACACTTTGCACTTGAATTGTTGCCTAAACGGGAAGAATTAATACAAAAGATTTAAAGCAAAAAAACAAGTTACTCGAACTATTGATGATTGCTCATGACTAATTCGAGGTGTTAAATGTTTTAGACAAGCATTGAATACTCGCTTTTGAACGAACATTTCTTTTGTTTTTAATGATCAAGAATGTGAATAGATCTGAAAAGAAGATACGAATCAATGCAGTGTTTTTCTGTTTTATATCCTCAAGTTCAGGCTGATGAAATATGCACTCAGCGAACTGGTTATATAATCAATATTTTACCGTGAAGTTTTCTATGGAATATTCTGGAACCGATAGGAATTTACGAATAAATACAATATTAGAATAAGAAGGAATTTTAAAAAATTACGATTCAAACGCCGCACAGATAAATTAGAAGTGTAATTAGTTAAATGGAAAAACGAAAGAACGTAAACGAATGAAATGATGATGATTCCTCCTTCGTCCTCTATCGGAACAGTTAGTTTATAGTTCACGATGTACTTTGGCCCTTGTGAAGATGTCGTTCGAGTCTGGCTAATAAAAAAGGCATTTCTTATTTTGAAGGATTTTATATGAATCACATTGTAGACAAGCAGATGGATGCAAGCTGACTTCTTTTTTTAAAGGAAACCAATTGAAAGTCTTGAATAATTTCATTTTACTTCATCCTTCTTCATTCATATACGATCCAAGGGCACAATCACTATCTTATCATAAGAAAACCTGTTCTTAATCTGTTAGACAACTTTGATTACGACGTGTACTACTTGAATAATCTTAAGTCAGATACCGTAGCACCGAAAGTTTATTCCATGAGGAAAACAATATTTAAAAAAATCATGAAACATAAACTGATCTCCCCATAGTAATTACAGAGTTATCTTTGTGATACGCATTACGAACAGTTTGTTCAAAACATTGGTATGTACACAGGAAAACATTTGTGAGTTGCGATAATCAACAAACGATCGTTTCTAATTAGTTGCGTGTTTAGTGGTATCGATGCTCAAAATAATCGTTTGCATTAGTCGCTATAAATTTCATGAGTAGTCAACATTATCTTTTTGTTTTACAAAACTCAGTATCGCTACTAATGCATCCATAACAATCATCTCCAACTTGCATACTGTCGTTCTTTTTAAGTATTTTATTTTTATTATGGCGAGTCAATTATTGACATCTGTTTTTTCGAAAATCGTTTCTACCATCAAATTAATACATACAAAAGACATTGTTCTTAGAAATTCTTAGTAATTTGAAGATATTTAAATACGAAAAAAAAATATATGTACTATTCAAAAAAACGTAGATATGCATAATATCATTCATTCTTTATTTTTCAAATTTCACATATGCATTTAACATCATTCTCTATGTAAAACTCGAAGGAGTAGCACTGGCACCAACATATTCCCAATGCCATGGTTCTGATTGAACAGTACGTTTAAATCCATACTTGTGTCCATTATTTTTCAACCATTGATAAACACTACTTCCACCGCAGTTTGGTTTAGCACCCGTTTGGGAACCACAGTTAGTGTTCAAGTCGAGAGCAACACCACGGCCATGTTTTGAGGTACCTGGTCTTGCAGCTAGATTACCATTATTGCATGCCTTTGTTTGATAACAATTCCAGAAGTATTCTTGACGAGCAACTGTTCGGAAACCAGACGTAACAGTAACTCTAGCACCCGCTTGTTTAGCAGCTGACGCCATCTTATCGAAAGCACAAGCTGTTGATGTTGTCATGGTATTATCTGCTGCTGTTGGTGCCGATGAATATATGCCTGGATTAGTCAGATGTTCTTGTCTTATTTTTACTACGGAATACATCACATTATTATTGCCTTTAATTGAGCTAACAGCAGCACCAACGTAACTTCCACAAAGTCCACTAGAAGAACCTGATGTACCGCCAGCAGCAACACAACATNGCCATCTTATCGAAAGCACAAGCTGTTGATGTTGTCATGGTATTATCTGCTGCTGTTGGTGCCGATGAATATATGCCTGGATTAGTCAGATGTTCTTGTCTTATTTTTACTACGGAATACATCACATTATTATTGCCTTTAATTGAGCTAACAGCAGCACCAACGTAACTTCCACAAAGTCCACTAGAAGAACCTGATGTACCGCCAGCAGCAACACAACATTGAATATTAGCGGCACCGGGACAAAGTCCAGCTACAGACGTACCAGCACAGGATGACGTAGCAATACAACTTCCACTTTTGCCATTGGCGGTGCATGCCGTACCTTTTGGAATGCAACATTGAATGTTTGCAGCACCAGGACAGAGACCTGCCACTGATGTACCACTACAAGAACTGGTTGCAATACAAGTTCCTTTTGCATTTTTTGCTGTGCATGCCGTTTGTGCTAATGCAAAGGATGGCCCAAAAACAAGTAGATAAGTGAGTGTTAATATCATGGCTTCCAAACTGATTCTAGCAAAAATTGAGTATCCTGTTGTTGTGAAAAAATAGGATGGGTTTAAATAGATTCTATAATAATCTTGTTTTTTTTTTGTTTTCACCATATCAAATTTCATACCAATTAAAATCAAAAGAAAAGCGAAGAAAGATACAAATCTAAAGTTAGAAATTAAACAGATCAGAGATTGAATTGAATGAAATTTAGACTAGTTACTATCGGCAAAAATACTACAAAATTCGTAATGAACGCGCTACGTGATACACATTAGAGATTGCTACAGTATTTTGCCGACATGAAAGGATACCCTATGAAATGTAACTAATAATAACACTAAATGAAAAGAGAGATTCATTAAAATTTGTAAAAGCTATACGTAACTTTATCCGTAAATTATATCGAGAGCAGTGATTTAGCAGTGCGTATATTTTTAATTTTTAGCACACGCACTCAGTGAGATCGATCATTTTTCATTAAACTCATATATACTAACTAGTGATTTATTAGATTTTTTTTCACACATTGAAATACAGTTCAAAAACTTTTGCACTGTTAAAAAGATGTACTTCATAATTTACGTCTACATCAGCAAATTATAATTCATTACAACAATTGAATTATTAATATATTAGAATCGACACTACTGTTATCACGCAGTCGAAATCTCTTCTTATAATAGAATTGAGAGTATGCAAAATAGATATGTTGTTAACACCTATTTAAAGTAGCTATAAGCATGAACCAATCATTCTAACAAATATGGATACTGCATACTTTTCATATATTGATGTTAACTATGAAAGTGTAGTATTCAGATCTACAAACCGGCTGGCAAAACACGTATAAATAAAAAAATATTCTCATTCAATTGTGTGTCATGAACACAAGACGAGAAACTTCAGATAATATAAGCAGAAATGACGTTCGTTGAGAGAAAGTACCTTGAGATAGACCAATTGAATTTAATATTCTAGATTCTGCAACCTTTTTTGACATCGAATTTCCCATAAGATGGTACTTATACACGATGAGACCCAACCGTTGATACACAATCCTTGGCTTACAATAATATTCCTTAAAATGCTTCAATATAAATCAATTCATGAAAAAAACAAACACAGCTGTTACATGTTTCAATCGATTTGAAGTGAAGAGAAAAATATTGGCTAGAGTATTAGAAAGTATGGTGATATACACGCCCACTCGCACACACCCTTTCAAACGAACATCGTAGGGTGAAAGTTAGCATATATGCATCTTACAGAAGCACTACTATTGCTTTACAGAAGTCATCATTTAGCACTCATAAAAGTAACACTACTAATTGGATGATGATCATTTTTCTTCAATATTAATAATATGTATAAGAAAGAAAAACAATTTAAATCTGTCCCTAGTTTCACACGACACGTGGAAAGCTTATTTCATGAATAATCGATTTTTGTCTTAATGAAGTATTGTGAAATTTATCTAAAGAATCGAACAGTATCATTTTTTACCGTTATGACTTTGATACAGAAGTGGATTGATTTTGTTCTTAAGTTCTATCCGTTCATATAAAAATTTGCTAGAATAATTATGATATTCAAGTGACATACATCAATAATAAATATTTATGATTAAAATGTCGAACGAAAACGACATCAGAAAATCGTATTTGGAAGTAAATCCTTTTGAGATGCTTGCTTTGATTGATTTTCCCAGTGTTTAGAAATTCATTTTAAGATAAAAGGTACAATTAAGAACAGAACTATATACCATTCAAGCAACTGTAGTTTCAATTTTCGACTACGTATTGCACTAGTCGTGCAATGTCCAAAGACTGCTTATAACCACTTTTTAATGGTTGAATCAAGCTCTCTGTTCTTAGAAAATAGTTATTTCTTCGAGCAGCTACGCAAAAACATTAATGAAACAAAATATAGGACAATATTTGCTTGACCGAAACAGATGTACATCTTTTATTTTTTAAATAGTAAACGTCAAATAGATTGCATTAATTGTACATCCGCTAAGTGTCATTGCATATTATGAGAAACTAGCAGGGGAGGCACCAGCACCAACATATTCCCAATGCCATGGTTCTGATTGAACAGTACGAGTAAAGCCATAATTGTGACCGTTAGCTTTCAACCATTGGTAGACACCACTTCCAGCACAGTTTGGTTTAGCACCCGTTTGGGAACCACAGTTAGTGTTTAAGTCAAGAGCAGCACCTCGGCCATGATTTGAGGTACCTGGTCTTGCAGCTAGATTACCATTATTGCATGCCTTTGTTTGATAACAATTCCAGAAGTATTCTTGACGAGCAACTGTACGAAAACCTGATGCAATTGTAATTGTAACACCAGCTTGTTTGGCAGCTGACGCCATCTTGTCGAAAGCACAAGCTGTCGATGTTGTCATAGTGTTATCTGATGCTGTTGGTGCAGCTGAGTACATGCTTGGAGTTGAAAGATGTTCTTGTTTTATTTTTACTACTGAATAAATGACACCACCGTTACCAGCAATTGAGCTGACAGTAGCACCAACATAACCTCCACAAAGTCCACTAGATGAACCTGAAGAGGCGCCAACACAACATTGGATGTTAGCAGCACCGGGACAAAGTCCAGCTACAGATGTACCAGTACAAGATGAAGTAGCTATACATACTCCACTTTTGCCATTGCTGGTACATGCTGTTTGCGCTAATGCAGCTGCTGGTCCGAAGACAAGCAAACAAGTAAGTGCTAATATCATTGCTTTGATACTAATTTGAAACGAAAAGGATTGTATCTTTGTCGCATCGAAACACAGATTTATATAGGCTGCCCATTTTTTCCCGTTATATCAATTTTCACTCGTTTGATAATAGAAGAACGGAAGAAGATTAAAAATCTCATATGAGCTATAGATAGATGCCGGTCTGATGAAATATGGATTACAAAAGTAAATATTTATTCCCAACATGATTGATCATTTGATTAGTTTCTCGAATAAAATAGATTCCATTTTTACATACACCTGAAGTCTGAAACGAATGCTCTCAACTTACACAGTCAGATATGTTTTTTTATTCATGCTTGCAACTTGTTTTCTTATTAGTCGATTGTGAGACGATATGGAATCACAGATGAGAAATGAAGAAATTTAATCAGATATGAAGAATTCGATGAAATACAATGGTGTATGATTAATTGAGCATAAAAACATCTTTACTCAAAACATGATAAAATGGACGAAAGAGCAATTCAATCACTGACTTTTAAAATTGAAAAGAATTTTGCTTTCGATTATTTTTATTTTTATCTATCTTTCAAATTAGTTACGATTTTTTCAATTGAAATAAAAACATTTATCATTGAGAAATTGATTGTACCTTTTTTGCGACGGAAGATTGATCAAATAACCTCTATGCAAGCCTGTATGTTACAAGAGACAACAATTGTAAAAGGAACTGTATTCACAAACTAATTATTTCACTATCTTGTTATAATTCATTACAAAATATTTTCTATTATTTATTTATACGACGAGGAATAAAATGAAAGTGAACTTTGAGATCATCTTTTTATCATTGTATCATACGAGTTGATTGAAATCATTTATCGTATAAGGGCTTTCGCAATTCAAAATTAGCTTCTATAGTTCTGACATTTATATCATACTTCAATCAAATACATTATGAAAAGCTAGTACGACAGACACCGACTCCGCGAAATTCCCAGTGCCATTGTTCTGATCGAACAGTACGTTTAAATCCATACTGGTGTCCATTATTTTTCAACCATTGATAAACACTACTTCCACTGCAGTTTGGTTCAGCATCGTTTTGTGAACCACAATTAGTGTTCAAGTCGAGAGCAACACCACGGCCATGGTTTGAGGTACCTGGTCTTGCAGCTAAATTACTATTGTTGCATGTCTTTTTTTATAGCAACTGTTCAGAAAGCAGAAGTAACGGTAATTGTAACACCACCATGTTCAGCAACTGACGCCATCTTATCGAAAGCACAAGCTGTTGATGTTGTCATGGTATTGTCTGCTGCTGTTGGTGCCGATGAATATATGCCTGGATTAGTCAGATGTTCTTGTCTTATTTTTACTACGGAATACATCACATTATTATTGCCTTTAATTGAGCTAACAGCAGCACCAACGTAACTTCCACAAAGTCCACTAGAAGAACCTGATGTACCGCCAGCAGCAACACAACATTGAATATTAGCGGCACCGGGACAAAGTCCAGCTACAGACGTACCAGCACAGGATGACGTAGCAATACAACTTCCACTTTTGCCATTGGCGGTGCATGCCGTACCTTTTGGAATGCAACATTGAATGTTTGCAGCACCAGGACAGAGACCTGCCACTGATGTACCACTACAAGAACTGGTTGCAATACAAGTTCCTTTTGCATTTTGTGCTGTACATGCCGTTTGTGCTAATCCAAAGGCTGGCCCAAAAACAAGTAGATAAGTGAGTGTTAACATCATGGCTTCCAAACTGATTCTAGCAAAAATTGAGTATCCTATTGTTGTGAAAAAATAGGATGGGTTTAAATAGATTCTATAATAATCTTGTTTTTTTTTTGTTTTCACTATATGAACTTTCATACCATTTAAAATTTAAAAAAAGAAGAAATATACAAATCTAAAGTTGGAAATTGAAGAGATAAAAATTTAATTGAATGTGTTAGAAGATTCGACAACGTATTGAGTTTTACATGCCTTTAAAAAAATTCTCATTCATATAAATCAAGAATGAGTACACGTGGGCAGAACCAATTTTAGCTGGAGTCGTTCATCCTTAGAATTAATAAGTGTTTTTACCTTTATACTAATGAAATGTTGACTATTTAGAAGAATAGTCTGTAGAGTTTTCTATCTTTATAGTTTAGATATTGAAATAGTCTCACCTGTGTTTCTGCGGTGACATCGTAACATTAATTCTTCTCTTTCTTCTTCTACATCGGCCAATGGATTTTCGTCTAAATCAACTTCTCCCAGAATTACTTGCTCTTTTTGTTGTACTGCATATAAATCTACAGTTGATGGATCAGGGAATTCGTCGGCACCTCTTCCTCTTCTGCAAAATCTTCAGTATTATATAATTCTAAATCATCTAATTCTTCTTCGTCAATTTCTTCATCCGGAATCTCTGAACACATCCATCTCTTAGGACAATCTGGTCGACATTGAGAATACCATTGGGAACGTGACTCACAAGGCTAATCAGCACACGAAGTTGCTCCATTCCAACCTTCTCCACCGCATTGTTCTCAATTGTTTGCTTCATCGTCGGTCAAATTTTTTCCTGTGTTTTTTTCAGGTAAAGCACATTCCCAGGCTGGATCTGCATGATGAAAACCAGCGAGATCGTCAAAAGCATTGCCATGGCAAATCACACTCCGTAGCTCCTGTATATCCTTCACCGTCGCATTGTTTATAGATCTCAACTGAATAAACAATAGGCACAAAAGCAATAAGTAAAATAAAAGTTCAATACATTGTTCTAGAACGAATGTAAATGGGCAGAGTGTCTGATTTACACACATTCCATGTAATTTAGTAAATTAATATGCACCATCAAATTGTTTTCAATCTAATATTAAATTTCATCACAGAGAAAAGGCCTTAAAGGCTTTATGCTATTTTTCTTTTTTATATTCTTGGTATTTGAGTTTGTGCAGTAGACGAAGATATTTTTTATTTGCCATATTCACCAAAGATGAATACATCGAAACTTTCTACGTTTATAGGTGCACTATTAATTTCGCTGTGATATTCGAGTGAAATGATAACATTAAACTCTTGTTTTCTGGTTGTTCATCTTGGTATATTTATTGAAAATGTTTGAAACTATTTTTAATACTATGAAAACTTGACAGTATGTTGTGTTGGCCTTAGGAATGAATTATATATTCTAGATTTTTATTTTACGATGGTATCAGAAGCGTGTGTATCGCTCCATAATAAGAAAATTAGAGTTGAGATTAACTTCAATAATCGATTTGTAGTTGTCAATCCCATCAAATTAAAAACACATTTATTTGTCGTTGAAATGAATAAAAAGCCGATTTCAATAGACTTAGCTTTCGATTCTATGCTACTTTCTAGTTTTTATTGCAAATGATTTATTCTTTCAAAACAACCAAAGATCGAAAACATCTGACAGTTGCAAACCATTGAACAGCAATTATATTTCTATTTCAACTAAAACCTTTTTTCCAGTAGATATTGATAAGATCGGGGAGAATATTTTATTGGCCAATTCAATTCACTAAAGTCAATGAAAGAAATCAGTTCCATCACAATAGTCTAGGAATTGATTCTACATATTTTCTGTTACTAATTTTATATGAAACAAAATCAAATATTGCATGTGAATAACATCTCGATCTAGCTTATCAACTACTTCTGTATGATGTCTCTGGAGAATTCAGCTAGAGAATATTGAAAAAATATGTACGAAAATTGATAGAGAAAAAAAATAATCTATTCGTGATTAGTAAGTGCAACTACAATATGTTGTACATTTCAATTCCACAGAGACTATGCTAACAGTTCTTTTATACGATATTTCAAAAAAAAAAAACTAGAAGTTTCTTAGCCACTGTAAATTATATCAACACCTTCGATACTGAACTAAAATTCTATCGGTGTTTGAAATATTACATTCATTAAAATCATCGAGCTGTTTTCATTATGCTATAAAAAAGAATTATTCTTGATCATATGACGTCCGAATACCACAGGAATTTCCTTAATCAGTTAGAAACAATTTTATGCGTAGTGAATACAGACGGGGAAAAAAAAAGAAAGACCAGTTTCCTTCAAGTTCAATGAACTCTAATGGTTTGTTTACTATAATAATGCTATTAACATTAATGCAGCAGTCTCAACGAAAGATGAAATGCACGGAACCGAAAGAAATAGAAAAGACAATGGTAAACTTTCATATTAATGAAACCAGATATATCATCAAGTGAAATTCATGATTAGAACAGTATCGTTATTGATTGATGAGCTTTTCTTATCTCTATGTCCAACATGTGGCAAGTGCTCATTTCCTTTTTACTCTCGATGTGATTCAGTTTGGACATTCTATTTCTCTTCTTTGTTTCCTATGTGGTTCAACTAAACACAAGGAAAAAATAGCAACAGATCATTGATTATTTTACTTGTCCGCAACGGGAGAGCGAACATAAGCAAAAGCGACGAGACTAATAATCGGAAATAAATTGTCGATTCCGCCGCTGTTGTATGTAGCGAGCACGAGATCAAACAAATCTGAACGCAAAAAAAAATGAATAGCACATGTGTTGCAACTTTACTGTCTGATTGTAATTAACCGTTGACCACCTCGAAATAAATATACAGGCATTCACGTCAAGCAAGAATAAGAAGAAGATGCGCTTGCGCCTGGGGGTAATCTTTCATTGCCTATAGATTCTAATCAATCACTACTGTATTGTCTTATCCATCGGAGAGATCTTTTTTGTGACATGCACTAAAACAATCCAAACGACTATAAAGCGAGAATATGTCAGCCGGAAAGGTGTAAATGGATAAAAAGTATGTCAGCTGGACTGGTCGATGAGTAATGACTATAGTGTAGAACTAGTTGCTAAGTGTCGATCCACTCGACTTGATGTGAAATGATGAGAAAGTAAGACACATGGAGCGTTTAAATTAGATGAAAAAAAATCAATTTCCTTTTGTTGTGGTCATACACTGGTACAGCCCATTCGCATAGAGCCTGAAGCTTTAATCAGAATAAGGAAGGAAAGTTCTTTTTTTTTGTTTCTATATACTATTCTTTAAATTGAACTATTTTCCTAAAGCGAGCAAGCTGACTCCTATTCAGGCTTCTATCCTAGAGGTATAGACAGCGAGCGATGGAGAGAGTAACAAAACAAAAATGAAATAGCATCTCGTGGTCTTTTTGCCAATACGCACATTGCTGTGCTCATCAGCATCATTATCTTCTAATTAGACAATATTGAGTTCAACCGTATCCTTCTTTTTTTTTCGTGCATCAGATGTATAACTTCAACACTTGACCGACAAGCACTGTTCTGTATGTACAATATGATACATCTATTAATCACTCAAGCAAGGTTCTTTTTTTCACTTTTTTTCTTCTACATATAAAGGATCAATGAGGCGAAACGTCGACAAGAGAAAATAAACAGCGCTTACATATATATATACATATGTATATATGTATGTGCATCACCTTCATTCAATCTTAGACTAACATCATCACGTTTCTCGACAATTTGATTGAGGTATGCTTGTGCACACTAACAGTCTAAATCAAATATTTGAGCCTATACGTCCAACACATCGAAGATCAATACGACCGATAAAAAAAAAGAGAGAGCGAGAAAGCATTGTGAGGGTTAAGTTTTGTATGAGTTAGACAACGATATATCATGCATCAGCGTCAACAAGACGAGTAAATATGAATATTGAAGGTGCATACAAGGATCAACTATTCGATTAACTTTGATGCGTCGATGTTAGTGTGAGCATCACCCCCATTTGTTGTTTTTTTGCATGTGCCGATTAGTCACTTCATATCTATATTGTATTGAGTCGAGTAGGACGAGCGAGAATGCAGCAGATGAAGACAAAAAGTACGAGGAAATTCAGCGGCTTTTTTCTCTTCGTTTATTATCGTTTCTGAGAAGGAAAAAAACGTCTAGTGCCAGAGAAAGAAGGAGAAAAAATAGTAACGACCAATAGGAAAATTTTTCTCTCATTTATCTATGTGCGTCGTACAATAATCATAGCTAGAAAAAAAAAACGCCAATGATTGTTTCAGATTTTCTTTAGATTTAGTCAAATATGGGTAATGATAATCAATTTGTTGAACAACCCGTTGCCGCATTTGTCAATCCGAACACTGCTCATCCAACGACAACATCCGTAACTGCTAAAGATGGTATTATTGCTATTCAAACGCCGGTAGAACCTATTGATAGTCGTCGAACTCTTCTTGATGAACAAAAATATTCTCCGAAAAATCGTCGCTTCCCTTCGACATCGTGTATATCAGCCGATAAAATGTTTGGACTGGCTCTTTTTATTTTATTAGTTATTCTTATATCATATATATTATTTCATGGGAAAATAACTGACGTTAAACTAAACCGTTTAACGAATAGTGCTGATCTAAAATCGAACGATATTCAATCATTACTCGAAGAAATGAATCGTACACTTAAGTCCATTGAAACTCTACTCACTGAACAAACAAAAAGAACAAACATTAATCTTCAATTAAACGGGCAAGACATACGAGAGTTTTATTCGAATCAAACAGTACTATCAGAATTTCTGCGTCGATATAGAGAACGTTTATAATTCTACTGTCTCGTCTCTTCGTTTTTTAAACAAATACAATCAATATTGTTTTATTCCTCTAACCCGGCTTTAATTAAAAATCTTGTCAAACATTTTCACGTGTACTGCTTGTGAATTTGTTCTAAAAGTATGCATAACAAAGATCTTTATATGTATTTTAGTTTTGTTTTTCTTCTGGAAAAAAATATACGCGTTCCTGTGAGTCATATACTAAAGGGGTTCAACTGGTAGCGTGTGACTAAAACGAAGCCTATATGCAAATGATGACTCATTCAGCCTACAGCAATATGTGTAAGAAATATTTCTCTGTCGTGTTTCACTTAGTTAGCATAGTACAGTCACGCACGTATTGTTACAACAACAAAAAAAGGAAAGTGATAGGAGTGGCACAACATCTGTTTTAATCTTGAGGAAGAAAAGAATTAATTTCCGTTTGTATGAAGAGTGACAGTCACTCAGACACATTGACTTTCTTTTACAGGAGTTGAATAGGAAGAATCGAACAAATTCAACAATAGCTAAGTCGAGACATATCGAATAAATGCTAGTTATACTTCTGATGCGATCTTTGAAACAAGAAATCCTTTCAAACGATCGAATGAATATTTTAGACTTGTGTTGATTGTTAACGGCGAATTTATATTGTTGTGGAAAAGCACCTTATTGTGAACAATGGGTTTATTCTTATATCACATTATAGTACGAGAACGAATCTGTGACTTATTCTAAAAAGTGCCTTTTTTCTATTATCCTCATTTTAAAAAGTATCATTCAATAAAATCTTGTTGATGTGAAGAAAAATTATTTGTCTATTCATCCATCAAGGAGGCAAATCATTCTTGTATTTTTCATTATTTTATACAGTAAAAATAAATTAGAACTCCTACTCATGAGACTGATTCGTGTCTTTGACATGAAAAATTAATAATTCTGACGCCGATTGGTGCATATTTTACAGACAGTCAAGTAGAAAGTTTCACAAGAATATTTTCTACAGAATTAAACTAATTATTTTTACGTTATTGACTATTTGCGATTCTAGTTTTACGCGATTTTATTCAGCATTCTACTGAAAATGATTCCGTTTTATTTCGTCATGTTTCTTTCTTTGATTCAGTCCTTCATCGAAGCAGGTGGCATTATTCTATTTTTTGACTTGTTAGAAATACATTAACGTATTAGTTTTTGTTCCTCGCACGAAAATGACTATTTGATATACTTTTCATCTAACATTCGTATGAAAAAGATTCGTTATTCGTCTTTGAACGCAAGTATAATAGATATTTTGTTGCGCATTCAAGCTGAATCTATTTTTTTCCATCTTCGTTATCTACGATGTGCTGCAGAGGCTTCCACGTTGTTGAAGTTCTTCTGAAAATCTTGCGAACCTTCCATTTTATCATCTGTGAGATTAAGAAAATAGTCAAATTCATTCTATTGTCCTATTCTATTTTGTTATTCTTGATGAATTCATTGAGCAAGCCATTTTGTATTCTGAACACAATCTTAGTATTAAAATACTATCATTTTCAAACAGGAAAATTACACACTTGTTAATAACTAAATTATTTTTTTTGATATTATTGATTAGCGCTACTGCTGCCGGCCGTGAGATCTATCTGTTTCATGAATGAATAGTTTATCGCATATCGAAATCGGAGGGTTTATCTATGCCTGCAGAAAAGGAATATTCTTTTTGAGATTTGATTTCAAAAAAGTAGAATTTATTGAAAACATAAAAATGTTTATTTTTTTTAAACCAAATTTTAAATACAGTAAAAAACCTGACCATTGACCTAGAATACATAGAAAAAAAACAATAACCTAATTCTAGTTCTGACGAGCAGATTATCGTGCACGACCCTCGACATGCTCTTGATCATTATTAACTGTGTCAATCATTTTTACTTCTTCTTGATTTTGTGTATCACCTGCAGTTAAAAGTCCTGTAATTACAGCAGTTTCATAGTCAACACCTTCGACTAAACAGTCCGGCACATTTTCTTCAAAGATCATGGTTGCTACTTCTTTACCGGCGAACGGAGGCAGATTGTAGAGACGAAGTCTTTTTAATGACCTGACAAAAGAGTAACAATAATAGAAGTCTTCAGATAAAATAACAGCAACGTTCATACTTAAGACGACAGAGAGCAAGTATTCCAGTAATACCAACCGATGGACATTCACTTATATCAAGAAATAATAATTGATCTTGGAAGTCATCAGCAAGTCTAGATAGAAACCAATCATCTACATGATGACATTTAGCCAAATACATAGCTTTAATATTTGCACAACCAACTAAAACGATAAAATAAAACATTGAGTTAGAAAATTCATAAGCGAAGTATTTTAAACTCTATCTTTTGTTTCTTAACGATAAACGATAAAAACAATCAGAGATTTAGTAAATTTATAAAAATAATTGTCCTTAGGATCACTTTTCCTATCAAATGGTTCTAATAGAATCCGAGAATTTCGTTTGAAAAGTATTGATTCTCTAGAAGTGTATGTATGTTGTTTTCATTCGATGAATATACATTACAATAAATCACAATCCTACCTCAATATTCACCTACCATAATGATCTAATCCGTCGACATTTATCATTGATTGCGAGAGATCCACAGCTTCTAATTGAAAGTTTAAATTAAGTGATAATGTACCCTTTGGTTTTTCAAATTTAGTAACCCATTTCAGACGACCATTCATCCGAAATCTTCCGCCATACTCTATGGTGCGAGATGCTGCATAAACGTCCGGCCCTTGTTCAAAAAAGTCTTTCTCCGCAAACCTATATTTAAATATATTTAATCATGAATCAACAAGTAAAAAATCATTGACACACTTGTTTCGTTGTTGATAATTACGCGTTAAAATCGTTCTTTTTAAAAATCCCGGTTCATTAGCACGAGCTTTGTATGATTGAATAATATCCACAAGGGCGCGAGATTTATGGGGAATTTCTAAATTTGATTTTGTTAACCAATAAGGTTTCTGTTTTGGTAGTCTCTCTAGAATCATAAATAAAAATGAAACAAGAATTCTCTTTTCTTTTTTCTTAAATAGTCTTACCTTCTGTAATATTCTTAAAATTTCTTAATATAAATGAAAACCTCATTTGTATTACTTTTTATAGCATCTAGAATACATTAAACAAATTTTATGAGCTCATTTTCGGCCAGGTTTCTCATCTCAAACAAAAAGAGTATAATCAACAAACAAACAAATGCTGTACAATATACACTATACATAACGAAAATATAAATAAATTTCTTCTTCCATTGGTTCACTAGAGTGTTTCTTTCATCGACCTTGGACTTATATTATCCCAGTCTTGATTCACTACGGTTAACCATGGTGTTGTATTTGCTGGTAATGGCTTTTCAATGCCTTGAAAATTTTGACAATCTGAATCGTGACATTTTTGCCGATAAGTTCCTTTACGCATATCGACTACAAAGCTAAATACAAAAGACTCGATTCTATTTGTTAACTAAGAAAGCAAAACAAATTTGAATTTACTAGATGTTATTATTTTTATGATGCCGTTGAATACGTTCACAATATTTGTAACTGCCAGCATATAAGAAACCGATCTCCCATCGAAAATCATTTTGAATATGTTTAGCTTTATATAGACGACTCATACGTTGATCACCTGCAGCATCGTTTTTATTTTGTGCAACATTATCCATGAAATTGGCAAGTTCAGGATAATCTAATCGCACCTTGTCGAGATCGTCTATTACGTATGATGATTGTTGTGAACGTGGATTTACAGATTTCGTATTACTAGTTGTGCATACATCATCGACGTGAATAAAACGTCGAATGGGCCTACAAATTAAGAATTTATTATTCAGATGGAATTACTATGCAAAATGAAAGTAGTCTTCTGAACAACATGTTTGCGCATTGCAGGAGTTAGTTGAAGATTTTTGAAGTCGTTAAATAAAATCAGAAACTCTTTTGAAAGTCTCGATAATAAATACTGAATAGGGTTTGTTAAGCGAGAAGACCAACGGATATGGATGTGAAGGTTTCGATTAATGAAAAGATTTATAGTAAAATTCAAATTACTAATTTAGAGATTTCTCGTCAGACATTATTTTTCCACTCTATGAACCTCACGAAGAATTCTCACTGGATCTTTCTAACGGATCAACAAATGTTGCCTTGATGAAATTTTCGATCACTCATTTATTTATTTACCCATTAAAATAAACTAACGAAGCCATGAATATTTGTCGTTCAGCTTCAGTTGGTGGCCCTGATAAATGTGGATCAGGACGTTGTGTATGTGGTTTCCATTGACTTTCAGGTGCAACAGTAAAATATTCTAGTTTATCAAATTTACTAGATCGTAATAATCGAAATGCACGATTTTTGGTGTAAACACCTACGAAATGAAAAACAACATAATGTTTGAAATAGACTTACAAAAATATTTCAATGTGGAAGAATTACCTATATCACAAAACCATGTTATTCCATTGTTACCATTTTTGTTTAAAACAAATTCAATAATATCTCTAAAACGTAGTTGTGAATCGTCATCAACACATGTACAATGTTCAAATCGAGATAGATATGGCTGGAGTGAAACTAGAAGATTCTTCGCGAAAACCGTCGAATCCAACGTTAATGATGTTTGTTGATTTTCGAATGGTGAAACATTTTCAGTTGCTGCACATTGATGATTGATTAAGCAGCCGTGAATATCTTCGAGGATGAGATCCACAAACTTTCCGACAGCTTGATTATCTAAGAATGGATCTTTAGTTTGAAAGATTAGATGGCGACTAAATTTTCTTGATGATCTATTGCATGAAAAAAAACAATTTGTTTTTGCTTTTACTATTCAAAATTTCAATCACTTACGTTGAGTCTAGAACGAGTACATCTTTAGCAGAATAATTCAGTTCGTCACTTCTTATACGCATAAAACTAAGTACAAACTAGAAAAAGCTAATAGATCATTATTCTGTTGACTATACATTAAGAATGTCCAGACTTTAGGATTGAAGAAGAACTCAGATAATTTACATTCTACGTATAAATCTTTCTCTTTAAGGTATATACTCAAATAATAAAACTTGAAGTGAATTCTTCTAAGTAATCAACTGTAGAGTATGGACATCCTTCATGTATATGTAATATGAATAGTTATGGATATATAAAACTAATGATATGGATTCACACCTGGATGAAATTGTTTGTTAGCTTAGGTCCATCAATCGTTGGGTTAGCAGTAATATCGTATTCAAGATCAAAATAAAGTTTCGATGGTTTTTCTACAAGAAAAAAAGGAGCTTAATCCATCAACATTAATCGAAAAGTTCTTTATACTATCAACGATGATTTCATAACAGTGTCGTTGATTCGCCGGCAATTGACTACATTATTGTTTTAAAATAATTATTATGACAATAAACAACACTCACTAATATTCATGAATAAAAACATCAATATCGGCGACTTGGTATCGTCGTGTTCCGCCTGGCTGTGATTCAAAGTTGAACAAATATAAAATTTCATCCTAACAAAAAAATAAAGCAAAGAAAAATATTTTTTCAAATTCATTTCTCATATTTCCTGTGTAACTATTCTTTTCATTTTTTTGTTGTTGTTCATTCATATATTCGAGTGCTTCGGCTTGCGTCCGAAACGTTCTTGTTGGATGTGCCATTTTCTTAACTGTTAGACCATTATTATGATTCGGACGTTTTCTTGGCAATCTTTCATTAATATTAGCAAGTGGCACACGTTTTCTATTATCCGGAAAAAAAAGAAACAATGAAATCGAAGAACAACTTTTTGCTCTAAATCTTGCTTTGTCGGATTGTAAAATGTATTCGTTGTCATGTTTAGTAATTAGAGGGAAAAGCACTAAAAACAAGAATCTGCAAGTATAATTATAGCCAAATCAATAAAGTATCTTTCAATGTTTTTATATGATTTTTTTCCGTTTTTGCTTTATGTATATACAAATGCCATAATTCACAGCTCACTCTTTTACAGCAATGAAGGAAAAAAAAAGAAGAAGATTCACCACACAAACATCAAATAACACTTGTACATGACAAAAAAAAAAGAAAGATGTTGTGTTTATTATTTATTTCAGTGTGATCATGTTTCTTGTGTTTTTTGATTCGTGTATGTGAGATTGAAGTGGGAGAATAAGCAAACAAAAAAAGAAAACAAGAGAGAATCAAAGATAAACCAGAAGAAAAAAATCTATCTCTATGATACAGAGCACTGTTTAAGTAATATATGTATATGTATAATAATAATAATAATAATAATAATAATAATAAGAGAGAGAAAAATCAAAAGGAAAAAAAACTGTAGTGTGACAACAACAAAAGAAAAAACGAAACTTGTGTATGATTTGTTTCAATCTCAGGAGAAGTAGAACAAAACAAAACTGAACAAAACAAAACACACTTAGAAAAGAGAGTGAACAAAAAATTATTGATTTCTTTCTAAATCATCTTGGTCTCTCTTGTACAATTAAATGGAAAAACGAAAAATATTGTTCTATTGATAGACCAGATAATTACGCAGAGAAGTAGGCAATGTCAAATGATTAATTAAATGTAAATTGGTTCGACCTAATCTTTTACGTATAACTCGTCGACAAGTATCCATTAATTGCAGTGGTTCAGCTAGAAGAGAGAGAGAGAGAGAGAAAAATTACTTTAGACGAACTCTATTTTACTTTGTAACTTACGCTCTAATCCGTTGATATAACGCATTGTTATTTCACAATGACCCCATACTGATGAAACCATTGGATAAAGTGCACCCTTATCTTTAAGATCATTAAATGCTACACCTAAGTATTGCCCGTCAACAATATAAGCTAATGTTCCTTCTTCAAGGTCAAGAACAACATAAAATTTATCGGGTACTACAAAACAATCATCAGATTTCGATGGATACGAGATACCATTGTTATTTAGAGCATCAGCTGGATCAGTCAATGTCGACGTTGTTGTGGTTGTCGGAGATAAAGAACTGGACGATGGATACTGTGTTGAAGCATAAACACTGTTCACACCTTTATGGTAAAGTTTATTACGACCTAAATCCCATCCCCAAGAATCTTGATTCATTCCAACAAGTGCTTGATAGCCTGGACAATGAAGTGGAGCTTTGATTGTTCCAACTCCTACTACAGCATGTGTACCACGTTGTCTTGTATTCCTAAGATATGTACATGTTATGTATAGAATTTAAATTATCTATATATTTACCATTCGATTTCCCACACGTGAATGCCCGTAGTAAAGCCTTTTTTACATCGAACAGCATCTGTACTTTGTGCCACAGGCTAAAATAAATACGACAAGAAAAACGAAATCCTTGTTTTTTCTGCTTAGATTAAATTTTATCTATTTACATGTCGATGAAAAGTGCAAGGATCATTATGTTTAACAAAGATATTCATTGAGCGATCATCATGATTCCATCCGTATTCAACTTGTTTTTCGCGTGACACAGGCGGCCGATCAAGAAGAATATCAAGTCGAATTGGAAAATGTTTATTTGAATCTAACGATGGATGATTTGTAATATTTGAATAATGATATTGACACACGACATTGGAATCGTTATTATTATTGTTATTATTATAGTATGAATTTGTTGACGAATCCGATGTTGATAATGTTGAATTATGTGGTTGATGTTGACGTGGCACTGGATTGAACGCAATTAATGGAAGAGTCGGATTTGCGAGATCTTCACTTGTTTGTGATGATGGACCTGATATGGTTGAACGTAAATTAACTATTTTACCATTACGGAGACCCATCGATGATAATGATTTGGATATTAATTCTTGTTGTTTTGATATACGTGAACGACGATTTGCTGTTGCTACTGTTGTAATTTGATTATTACTTGTTAATGATGCACGCCGTACACGTGATCGTAATGGATAATTTTTTTTAATAGGATTTAAATTCGTCGGAATAGGAGGATTCGAAGTAAGAATTGATGTAGAGGCTGATTCACTAGGTATATTTGATAACTGTTTCTTTCTATTAGTTAAACGTCGACTTCGACGTAAAGTTATTGTGTTGGCTGATGGATCGTTCAAATCCACACGCTAAAATGAAAATCGGTCATATGAGTTATTTTGAAGAGAAACATTTTCTTTCTGTAATTTATATTACTTTCGTTAATTTTTTTCGTTTCGTATGAAGCGATTTTTGTTTACTGTTCGTTGCTATCGCCTTAGATTTTTTTATACTATTATTTAATTCGTGCCGAATCCCAGTTGATTTTGTTTTTCGGGGTAACACCATTTGTACTGTAATTTGTTATGATTAAAATGATTAACAACAAAAAGATATGGCTGTTTTTTATGTACTGATAAAATGGTATTTAACAAATGAATATTGAAATCGTTGTATGTGTTCATCGACGACTGAAACAAACTAGTGGAGAATGTAGAGGTAAGATAAATAGATGAACCATTGAGGGTTGTACAATAGCAACAACAAGGGATGATTAATAAAATAAATAAGGATCTACAAGAAAAAGATGATGAAACATTATTAATTTGTTAACACGACATGGGAAAAAAACGACCTAATAATCTACAACAGAGTGGTACATCTAAGGTACAAGTAAATAAACAACAATATATCAAAAACAAGATGACATTATTAGGTAGACAGACGTAAATGTAATACACACAATCGATCAATCGACATTAGTAAATTAGTGACATTGGAGGAAGTATATAAAAAGTAGAAATCTCATAATTAGATGAAAATAGATGAAAATTTATAATGAAAATGAAAAATTTGCATATATTTTACTCGAAATATCTATTACATAGATGTCACAAGTTTACAATAGGAATCAGATTGCTTCAGAGGGTCTTATCATAATTAGCACATGAGGAAATTGAACATGACATGCAATGTCGAGAATATACGAAATTACTAACGCCAACGTAACTGTATTACAATACAAAATTAATCATTATCAGGAAAAATTCTTTCCTTTTTCTCGTCGTCATTTATTAGTGAAAATAATAAATTATAAAATCTAGTTTTAGCATGAACAGATCTTCGATGAATAAATCGTATTTTTTGCAACTGTGGACATGAAACAAGAGTCTTATCTTCACGTACGATCACGTCCTCACTTTTCCCATGTTTGATCAGTTGATAATGAAAGTGCTTTCGTTCGTGACCTAGATAGACGACATGGGAGACAGCGTGGGTATGTTACTAGTTGTAGTGAAAAGTCTTATTCGTGTCTCACCAATATAATAGATTATGTTCAATATCGCATCATTGAAAGAGTACGTCCCTTCTTATTTTTCTTCTTCTACATATGCCAAACGATGACTGCATAAAACTTACTTTGGTCAAGTATCTATTAGTGGTGAAGTTTTGTATAAACATAACATTAGTATTACATATAGTAGTGAATGTTACCGTACTCGGGATATTTTGAGTTTATGATTTCTCGAATGGAATGAAAATATAATCTCGATTTCTTCATGATCCAATTGAAATTCGTACTGTTTTCAGTCAACGACTGCATTACTAATCTTTCATTGGTGTTTTTCTTTCCGAGTAATCTTAAAATAATACAGAATGGCTTTTTAATATCCCATATTTCGACAATACATAACAACTTCTATTTTAAGCCTATAAACGCTTTGCATAAATAAAGCATGCTTGATAACATTTATGCGTCTATGGTTTTTCGGCTACATCGAAGTTTATTATAATACTAATAATAAAAATCTGTGAATAGAAAAAACAACGCAAAAAAGAGAGGACTCGTGGCGTGTGTCTTATGTCCGTTCTGTAAAGTTTCTTTTTATAGTGGTTCACAATAGTTCAGTTTGAAAACTTAGATAGAAGTAAAACTTGTTTGACAACCCTAATCCACTCTCCCCCGACGACTCTCCGGGGAATCTCCGCAAAATAACGAAATCCCTGGGGAGTCCCTGTCGTGAGTCCCCGGGGACTTGTCTGGGGAGAATTGATGAGATGTCTAAATAAAAAAACGAAGGGTGTCCAAGGACTGCAGATTAAGAATTGCTCATCAGTTCTCCTACAGTTCCTTGCATACTAAAGGTAACAAGATGGAATATTCACGATAATTTTTGCTCTTACACTCATTTTCACTTGCAAATTTGTGAAAATCAATGATTTCATGCAAAAATTATTTTTAAAACAGTAACATCGCGACTTTCGTGAATGGTGGAACTGTGAGGGAACCTATAGTTGATTCCCATTTTCTCTAGGAATTATCAGAGCGACACTGACAATTCCTCGGCACATTAGGAATTCATATTTCTCAGTCCTTGGACACTGCTGTTTTCCCTTGGGCGTGGGCTGAATTGTATAAGTTCTGTTTTGACAGATTGAATTGACAATTTCCATGTAGCACATCGTTGACAAAAAGCTGTAGCTGCTTGTTCCCTCTACTGAAATGAGGGTATTACGAAAAACGAGTGAAATACGTTCATTCGCACAAAACGAAAATGTTTTTTTGACCCCACCCAGCTCGATCAAAACGGATATCATTTACGGTCCGTTTTCTGAAAGCAAACGGTAGGAAAACGACATCTTTACGGCAGTAAACTGTCCGTATTTTCCCGTAGTACTGGATGCAGTAATACGGCACTGTAAACGATACCGTATTTTCGCCGTATGCGGTCTGTTTAGATACAGTTTTTTCACCGTAAACGGTCGTATACTTACCGTATTTTCTGACGTGGGTTTCTATAACACGTTGACTCGAGTGTGGAATGTATATAGTAGATTGCTGTTGTTCGTTTTTATAGATCACCGATGGTAACTCGTTTAATAGATGATTGAATGATTTCACATCATTTGCATACAGTGCAAATGTGTTTGAACGATTTTGTTTTGGATATTTGAGACTTTAACGTCCGGAAGGTGATTCTTTATGAGATGATTGATTTTTATTTTAGTTAGTGAATCTGCTTCCAATATCAGTGGTGCAATCACTAATTCAGCTCTTGCTGCTTGAGTTGGTGGTACTTCATTTGGAGTAGCTGGTTGTTGAGGGGTTCCTACATTAGGTGTGCACATTCGTGCATTGTCTTGTCCACCTTTCCGCCGATCACGTAGGTCTCCACCTCTACGTGGTGACATCGCTATTGGCGTTTTGATTCAAGACTTCTTAAGAATATTGTAATTAGTATATTGGTTTTGTTTTTTTTTGACCTTTTTTGTCTTTGATTGAACTTTTAGTAAATAGCGGGCAATGTATAGATAACACAATATACGTCTTATCATCAGCGTGCAGAAAAGAGGACTGATGGATCTACGTAACAGTGTAAAGTCAAACAGTCTACGTATTATTTCATGTTTATTCTTTCAATATTTTCTGACAAGGAAAACAGCCTAAATGTGAATTTTCTGATTCATCCAATCGTCATGATTATCATTTAACAACCAGAGAATATTCTTCAGGTTTATCATTTCAATGTAAATATACATTAAATCAACTGCCATGATAACTATTTCTATGCATCAGATACATTCCTGAAAACCGATAAACATTAGAAGAAGCCAAAAAAATTCCCATGCCAAATGAGACAATCATTACTATTAATAGATAACATCATGGCACAAGCAAACTATTTTCTCCTCTTCTATACAACATATGATTCATTGTTAGAATCTTATACATGCGCGTCATTTGTATTCTATATTACATTTTATCGGACCAGCAATTAATTGAATCATTTTTCTATGACAGAAAACTAAAGCGAAGTTGACAAAGAATAATTAAGTAGTAATCTTCTGTCATCGGAAAACTATTTATTCTCACTTGATAGCAAGCAAAACAAAACGAACTTTGAGAAAACAAATACTTATTGCGTATTTTGAAAAAGTAAAAGAATCTTCTAGTCGATGTGTATCATATTATTTTATTTAAAAAAATAACACAATGTGAGTAAAAAACAATATTGAAATAGCTAATCACTACGTATATCCAAACAAATGCGGCAATATAATGATGGTTGTTTTGATGTTTAAATGCATTCGCTTTGACATTCTTATGAGATAAGTTTTTCAGAGAAAAATAAAGTAGGTGAACTATTTTGGTTGTGAGATAAAGACAATACAACGTTTAAAAAAAATAAAATTTTTATCATGTCAAATCACTGGGTTCAAACATTCGCGATCAAATAAATGCTAATCTTCATTCCCATTCAGTTGTAGCTAGAAGAAGAAAATTAGAACAAAAGAAAAAAATAATGTTTTTCGTTTTACCTGGAGGCTTTGATGTCAAATCGTACAGAATTCGACTTATACCTGGTACCTCGCTTTTAATTGTTTCACACATTTTATTCAGCATTGCAGCGGGAAATGTTTCGCCAGGTATAGCTGATGTTCCAGTCATGAAGTCTTTGGTTAGAAATGTACGTAAAACAACTGAATGTTGACTACTGTTATTGGATTGAACGTGTTCATTCAAATTTATTTCTCTATCAAATTCTATTGGTATCAATACAACAGGCATTTGACTAATTGAATTATAGGCACCGTATTGCTTCATAATTATCATAGCATGATAATCACAAGCACGAGCTTTATCGATAATATCTGGCGTTAATGTAGTACGTGTAACTTGTGTTATTTCGGAATCCAGAATTTTTTTACCCTAAAATAATGTCTCAAATAAGAGCAGCAAGATAAAATCTTTTAAAATAATTACAAGAATATAAACAATTCGATTAATTTCATGACAGGCTTTCGTTATCATTCGAGCAAGAATAAATAATTCATTCCAATTTGGATTTTCATCATTTGAACTGATGGCTGCAGCAAAACTATATGTACGAGCATCACCTTGCACACCGACACTTCGAATCTATAGAAAATCCTATTAAAAGAAATTCGAAGTTTTATTTGATCGAACTTACTGGAAGTAATACTGATGTATAATCATGTTTATCAGATGATGTAAAACTTTTCAGAAAGCCTTTTTCGTTCTCAGTAAAAACCTTATCTAATTTTGTTAATAAATCATCCTGTTTTTCAAACATCGTTGAATAATTAATTATTGTTTTTAATAATGACGATGTTTGTGGAAAAGATTCTACTGGCATATGAGGGTCATCAATGCATAAAATTCGTATGGCTAGACCAGGTCCAGGAAATGGATGCCGATAGATAACATCAGCATGAAGTCCTAACGTTAAACCAATTTGTCGTACTTCATCTTTATGAAATTCTTTTAATGGCTCTATAACACGATCTAATTTACGTAATTCGCGTACCATTGGTGAATCATTATGATGTGTTTTAATTGCATCGGCATGGCCACCTTGGCACGCTAGATGCGATGCACTTTCAATCAAATCAGGTCTTAAAGTGCCTTGCGCCAAAATAATATCATCAAATGTAAAATTATTATCACGTAGAAACTCTTGTACAACTCTAATAAATGTATCACCGATAATTTTTCGTTTATGTTCAGGATCGATTTCTTCGCTTAATGGTAAAGTTTCTTCAAGTAATAAATCAGCATCAAATAAACTTAAACAATTCGTTGCTATTGATGTGCGTCGTTGTGATGTTGACTTTTTTTCATTCGATAATAATTTTGGTTTTGCTCGAACATAAGTTTTTGCTTGAGAAAAACGTTGACTAGCATCGATATAATTAACAGTTGCAAATTGAGACAGTGTGGTTCGGATTTCATGACTTTCATTATGTCGTAAGAATCCATTGTCGATAGTGACGATTTTCACTTGTTCAACTGGCAAAGCACGAGTTAATAGAGCAGCACAAACAGAACTATCAACGCCACCACTACAAAGAACAAAAACTGGTTGATCTTTCACAAACGATCGAATATTATTGAAAGCTTCTTCAATTCGGCAACCCATGGTAAATGTTGCTCGGCAATGAGCGATGTCAAAAAGGAAATTTTTAAATACTTGTAGGCCATTTTCTGTTAGATCAACCTTAATTAAGGAAAAGAAAATTATGATACATGAAATCTTAGCAATCGTCTTCTGTGAAACATGAAAGTACTGTTTTAATTTTTATATTAATCGGTTTAATTTACCTCCGGATGAAATTGAACTCCATAAAGCGGCTTTTCTTTATCAGCACATGCAACAATAAATGATTCACTGGTACCAATAGATATTAAATTTTCACCGAGTTGTCCAATACTATCTCCATGTGTCAATAAAACATTTTCTAATTGTTTCATATCTTTAAAAAGCGGACATTCGTTTACATTAAGTTCAACTTGAAATTGACCATCTTCTCGTACAGATTGCCGTATAATCGTACCGCCACGTTGTTTATTTAACATGTGTAATCCATAACAAATACCCAATATTGGTAAATTACATTCGAATAGTTTTGGATCATAATATACCGGATTCAAATCGTTCACCGAACCTGGACTACCCGTAATGATAACTGCTTTATATTGATGTGCAAGTAATTCGCTGACTGATGTTTGTAATGGTAAAAGTTCAGAATGAACTGCTAGTTCACGTATTCGACGATCAATAACTTTAGCATATTGTGAACCAGCATCGAGTATAGCCACTTTATCATAGTCATCGAAATGTTGTTGACACTCGCTCATTATCATATACTTATCGATCGTCTAAAAACATCCGGAATATATATGATTCAAACGTTGAACTACACAATATTTTATTTCAAAAAGAAAAAAAAAACTTAAAAGAAAAGTATTCTTGACAATTGGATAAAAATAAAATAAAATATGTACGACTTTATAGGAAAAAATTATTTTCTGAAAGATTAGATGTCGACAAGATTCATATTAATTAAAATTAAAATTTTATGTCAAATCTTGATCATAAATAGACTAAAAAATGCCAGATTCTGTCTGTTAATCGGGACGTTCAATAAAATTTCAATCGGCTATTGTATGAATCACATCGATGCGTTATCTTCTAGAAAGCTATTTTCTGTACGATTTAGAACTTCAAGAAAAAAAAAATCTACTCTAGCCTACAACTTGCATAAATTCTGCATGCAGAAATACGAAAGAAAAAAATATATAGAAAGATTTTCGATCTGTGCTTTATGAGTCAATAAAGAAAGAGTACACGAACAAGACATGCAAAATAGAATAGGATTTCAAAAAGAAAGAAACTGTCCCATAATATTCCTAATAATAATAATTTTTGTTTTGTCTAAATACGCTCATATACAATTCCTATCATTAAATACTTTGCTCTTGTAATTCGAATACAAAAGAAATAATGTAAAATGAACAGCAATTTATATTCGACCCGTTTAGAAAAAAACAGTTACAGTTTTTACAGAAAGAAAACAATAAAATATATCTATCGTTTCCCTAGAAAAGGTGATGAGATGATACATCGAGTGACCATCCTTTTCGTTCTTCTTCCTCAATGGTTTGCCAATTTGGTGAATGAACACCTGGTAAAAGATGAGTGCAATCTAAAACATCATTCCAATAGTCTATAGTCCACACGAGACCGCTCTGAGCTATATCCGTTTGTTTTGATTGATATTCAACATTATACGGAGCAAATCTACAATGATGACAATCTTCAATAATTGGTTTTGCTGTGATATGAACATAGAAGTCGCATTCATCACTGGTATGAACATTTAATTGTTGACAAGCTATGGCGAACTCACATTGATGGCATTCATCGATTTCGACTGTTCTTGAACAAGGACCGGCAATTATAACACAACCATGAAGATTTTTAATATGCAGTGATGATGGAATACCTTTTACAAATATTTCACAATGTTCTAAATTTTCCATTGCAATATCTTTTCCGTTTACGTCATTGGACTCGAAATGAATGAGTTCATCATGTTTATTGATAACATTAACCATGTTGTCTGAAATTGAATGTAATTCTTCTGTTGCGGAAAGCTTACTAAACAAATCTTCAATTTGAGGTTTCATCGACAGATGGTCTTGCTCGTGTTGTTTCGTTTGAGGGCATGGCTCACTTTCATCAGTTGATTCCATGTTTGAAAAAAAATACTAGAGCAAAATAATAAAATTTTCCTTTATGAATAAAGTATAATGTTGACGTCGATGAACAGCGTGATTGGTTTCTGAGTCAAAATGGAGTAGGTGTATCGCTTAATAATTTGTTATGCGCGTCGGCGATGTTTTAGAGGAAACTATTACTTTCATCAGACTATTTATTGTCCTTGAATAATCAGATGATTGACTGAAGGGAAAAAAAGCATCGCCTCCTGATGATGTCATTTGAAAGACCTTTTTCAGTAGCAAACATTTCATTGGATAATTATTATAGCCAATTCGTTTGTTTCATGAGTCATAAAAAACGATTTCCTCTCAAAAAGTGTCATATCAGCGCATAAATTAAAGTAATACTTCTCGAAAATAATCTGTCGTTTTTGCGTAGTTCTGTTTTCATTTTCGATGAATATATGACCCCGAGTATCAAAGAGTATTCTGACGGATCGATGATTGTAAATCCTGTATATTGATGAAGGCGAAAGCAGGAACAAGAGTAATTCCAGTTGAATGACTATTACTAAACATCTCATTAAGCGACAATCACTTGCATTGACTCTTTGATTCATTCTGTCTCGCACTAACTAAAGAGTATATAAAAATAGTTTAGTTTTTGTGCAAGAAAAATTTCAATTAAAAGAAGCAACAAATTTGTTGTAATTTAAGACAAACAGAAACTTCTATGCTCATTTATTCTTTATAGTGAAGAATGTAAATTGATATTTAACAAAGCAAATGAGAAATAAAGACACATGATTCACTTATCATTTGATGCATTGATAAGAAATAGAAAAAGAAAGAAGAGAAAACCTAATACGAATTGTTCTAGCAACCATTCACCTGAAGTCATGGTTTAGATGATAAGAGTACTATGAAAGAAATATGAGTTTTAATTTTATACGAGCAATTGCATTAGAAAAGAGTTCTGAATGAAATAAAAATAGGATAGAAAAATTGTCCCTTACGATGACTCTTCGTATTCCGTTGTATAGAGTATTCAAAAAAACGTCCAGCGACAATCCATGTTCTTTACATTTTGTTTCTTTATTAGTAAACTTAGAATTCAACGGACTGCTTGAATCTAGTCAAATTCAAGCTTATGAATTTCGTTTTTTAATCTTTGCTGCATATACGCCAGCGAGTTCTGATTGAATTTCACTAATTAATCATTTTGAAGAGATTGAAAATAATCTATTTCTACATGAGATAGGTCAATCTAATCTGAGTAAAATGTAGCCAGAAGCTTGTTGTTTAAAGCGTAATTGAATTGGATTTATTTCAGAAGACTGGCTTTTTTTATGAATCATGGCTTATTTCACCAAATGGTAGGGTAATGATATTACCCTATTGCTTCTAATTTATATTCAGTATTTTTTTAATGATTTTCCTTTCGAAATTTATCGAGAGAAGCAGAGAGATAGCTACCAAAACCAATCAAGTTCGGGTACATCTGTAGATTGGCAAAATCATTCTCACAAGCGGGTCCCATTGACAGATCATATAAAAGAATGTAATCGGTAGATATGCTATTAAAAAAATAGGTACAAATTGATAGCATAAAACCACTATAGGCCATCAGGTTTATTTTCACTTGATGATTCTCCATTTGACTAAGAGATGAGTAATATTTTCGTGTACCATCTGTGTACATCTACTAAACGATTACTGTTTACACTCAAATGAAAGTTGTTCACAATAAAAATAAAAAAGTTTAGCAGAGATTAACGTAGTGCAAATTCATATTTAAGAACTTTTATTTAAAATCTAAATGAATCACAGAACGAGTTATCAATCTGGAACTAATATTTTACGTGTGTCAGAATTGCAACTTGAACTTACTCGAACAGTTTGGTTAGCTTCAGATCTTTGGATGTTGCTCTAGTAATCGAGACGGGGAATACGATCATATCCTGTTTGAAATCGATTCTTTTTCTACCAATAAAATTGTGATCATCGATATTTGCTTTTCAGAAAAATATTCATCAAGATACTTGTTGTCTAGAAATGTTTTCTTTTATATTCTAAACATTTTTCGATACATTCAAAAGATTGTGCTAACCTCAATTTTCAGTTCTGTCAAATATTTGCTTGTGGATTTCTAAGCATACATTAATTTACTGAAATTTTTTCTACATTTCTGCATCGGCAAAAGTTAAAATTCAATTGTTTTTCCACATTCTTCAACCCAGATTTTACAATTTAATAATTCACTATTTTATTTCAATCGAGAATGAAAATCCATCCAACCGACTAATACGATGAAGTTTCAATAGTTATGGATACACTATGTATCATCATGAACAGAGGAAAAGTAATCGAACTAGTGATATTTCTTTTGTTATGACTTATGGTAGAAAGAAAACAAAATCATCCTGAAAAAAAATCGGAGAAAAAGTAAACCTAGTATCTATCTCAGTGATACTCACATCGTCGAGAACATATAAAAATCAAACATAAATTAGGAAAAAATAGTAACCTGATGAATGATGCTGTTGAATGTGTTTTATTTCTAGTTTCTCACGCGTTTGTTTACCGATATCCAATCAAAGGAAGGGAAACACTTTGTACATAAAACGCCCCTAAATGAAAATCAGCTCTTCAATCGTTTCTAACTAGCATTTCGCATTGCATTATATGTTAGAATAGGCGATTCTGAACTTTTGAAGACCACTTTGAAGAGGTTTTAGTGTGCGCCTACAAACAGTATATCTCAATTATGCAACATATAATGTCATGAATGTTGTATCAGTAGTGATCAGCGGAGTCGCACTTTTTGATTCCTAAACCTGACCCGATTTCGAAAAACGTTTTTCGATTCTGCTTCCAACTCCTGAAAACCCGGACTTTTTTTGCAGCTTAGTAACATCTAATTCGTATCAAATGTTTGATATTCTGAAAGGATATATAAGTAAACGAATCAATTAGGAACGAACAGCATCAATGTCATCGACAACAACACTATCTTCTGAAGAATCGACCTGCACAGCTCCTGAACAATTATGTCTCGATGTCGACGATAGTTTCAATGATTCTAATGAAGAGAATTTTCTTGATTAGTATAATTTCATTTTTTCTTTATACTAATGGTTAATGTCAATATTTTTCTTGTACCATTATTTTTGCTTAAGATTTATTTATAAAATTAAAATTAGCATATCTTTGTTCATTGTATACAATATACTCATGAATAAACTTGTATCTAAGCGAAAGTCAGATGATGTGATTTTTGTAGTAATATAGTTCAAACGTTAACTCACAAAAAATTTATTTTATTTTCTACTACTTCAGCTTCGTCAGAGTAGAAATCGAATTCCGGTGCCATTTTTTACTCCGATTCCGACTCCGGAAAATATTTTTTCACGATTAGAAGTCCGATTCCGACTCCAATACGGTACACTATGTATCAGTGTCTTAAATCATTTAAGTGCATTTCAGGGAAGTGTCTCATGGACGTTAATGATTACTGTTCTCACAGAGATGATGAAAATAGCACATACATCAATAATGCTAATGTAATAAGACACTGAAAAAATCATTTTAAATGTGAAGTAACTAACACATACATTCATGCATCTCTCGTCAATAATGGAAATTGCGATTGCCAGCTTCAAGATCGCTACTGGTGTGAAGATGACGACCAGCTTGAATAATATATTAGAAACCGCGTTTCATTTCAAACTAGTTGTGATGGTTATACTACACTGTCACCCATACCTATTAATGAGTGTAATAAAACGGATGAGACCGAATGTGAACAGTGGCTATGCGGTAATATTTATACTCGTTGTGATGATTCGTAGGATTGTCCGAAATGAATTGCTATACGTCACAAATAATCAATTGTTCTTCCATCGGTCACATGTGTGTTTCACCTTTCACAAACCAGTTGATGTGTATCTCTACGTTGAAAATGAATGATAACACAGTTGATTGCCTCGGTGGCACTGATGAACCAATGCTGTGTAGAAATCAAGAGCAACAAACTGCAGCTTTGAATTTTCATTGCAGAAATGGCACAAACAAACGCTGTACTAGCTCTCTGACTCTATGTAGCCGTATCTCAAATTGTAGACATGGTGATGATGAACAAATTTGTGAATCAAGCCGAATAAATAGAACATCATCCATCGGTTGCCAATCAGCAATGCTATCCGTCGCCACCGAAGTCGAGAAGTTTTTATGCTACGAAACTAGATATTTAAAAAAACTGCGATTGAAATATTTTAAAATTAACAATATGGATTAATCTCTTACTGATCAAACGAACCCTTGGAAAAAACCAATCATTCCAACTTCATCCATCAATGTGCCATCTGGTCCACACGAATCATGTTGTCATCGTGGTGTTGGCTTACGTCTCTGGTTAAACAATAAAAAGAGCTCAACAGCCAGTATTTGTCTGTCCACCTAGTTTTTATGGCGCTACATGTCAATATCAAAATTCATGGTCGACATTATTTGCCATCATTGTTTTACTCGTTGATAACACTGAACAAAGAGTCATTCATTCATATGAACAATTCACGTATTTATCAACGAGAGATTGTAAAATCAAATTCAATGTTGACTTACTCTATTCAACTCGACCAAAAAATTCGGTAAAAAGCTATGCAATACAGATTGATATCTATGACAAAGTATCATTGACATATCGTGGAAATACATTACTTTCAATTAAATTTCCATTTTGACCGGTTTATCGCGCAGCACACACCATTGATGTTCCTCGAGACGATCACAGCGCCCGTATATGCTCGAAGTCTCGTTGTATTCATGGTAACTGCGTTAAATACTCTAATCATGTCCAGGAAAGTAATTTCTGCCAATGTGACAAAAGATAGTCAGGTAAATATTGTACTATTCCATACACTTGCAATTGCGCATCTGATTCGTTATGCATGGGAATCTTTGTTGACAATCGATCCATCTGTATTTGTCCTAATCATAAATTTGGTCGTCGATGTCTTCCTACTAATGCACTCGGTCACATTCATGATAATTCAACATGTCAACATGGTGGTCAATGTATTCCTGCAGATCAATACATTGTACCGGAACAACAATATCACTGTATCTGTCCACAAGGTTATATGAGAGATCGATGTGAAACAGTCGAAAATAAAATAGTACTGTCTTTTGGAAGCGATGTTGTTCTACCGCAATCAGTTTTGTTCATTTTATTCAAGTTATCAATAATGGCACACCTATCAGAGCAACTACTTTTCAAACAGTTCCTGTGACAGATGGTCCAATCAATATTTATTGGTTACGCCCATTTCATCTTGTTTTCCTTGAATTTACTAATAATAACTAACTACTATCTAGCTGTTGTACAAATTACTTACAAACCATTAACGACCATTGTCAAAATGATCAATCGCTCCGATCGATGTCAACACACAAGTGAATTATTCAATGCAACGTTCATTCAGTGCTATATTATTTGCCGTATCAAATATTATCATTTACACCATGTCAATTGTATTCATCGAATCTTTCTTGTTTCTATGATGATATTCATATGTGTCTATGCTACGATCATGAGCAACAGCGCTTATCGAATTGTTTTGAGTTTAATCATAATATGACTTTCCATTGTCTAGGCCAAAGTATATGTGAGAATGCGGGTCAGTGTTTTCAAGATACTCCTGATGGTCCACACAGATCCATATATATTTTTTCTTTATGTTATTATGGTACACGTTGTCAGTTTCGTACAAGTGGGCTTGGCTTATTGCTGGATGGCACCCTAGGTTATCACATGATACCGCGCGTTCGTCTGCTAGATCAACCAAGAATAGTCACAGTTAGTCTTGTGTTAACTTTAGTATTTAGGTTAATCGGATATATTGATGATATTCTTACTTTAATAACATTCACAAAGAAACCTACATGTGAAGTTGCTTGTGGTTTATACCCATTCGGTTCATCGATTATTACCATACTGACAACAATGGTCTTTGCATTGAAATTTTGGATAAAAGGCTTATATATCAAATCGAATATTTTTACAAATTCAATGTATAGCTCTCGATTTTTTTCTCACCATGGATCAATGGCTGAATGCATGTGTTGCTACTGAACGAACTGTTACTGTTATAGAAGCAACTTATTTTCACTAGGAAAAAAGTAAAAGAATAGCTAAAGTTGTTATTGGTAGTCTTTTGATTTTTATTATTGATATCTCTATTCATGATCCAGTTTACAGACGTATAATAGATGAAGACGATGGCGATGAAAAACGAACCTGGTGTATTGTCACGTATTCTCCTAGCTTAACAGTGTATAATTCTTTTGTACAAACGTTCCATTTTCTGGCTCCATTCATGATCAATTTGGTTGCAGCGGTTATTCTCATAACGAAAAATTCTCGACAACAAAAAGCTCTTCAGGCACAGCAATCCTAGAGAAAACTGTTACAAGCACAATTTCGGCAGCATCAGCATTTATTTACTGCTTCAATATCAGTAGTCATCCTTGGATCACAACGTTTAATCATGTCTTTTGTATTAAAATGTATGAAATCCAAAAATGATGCATGGCTCTTCTTGATTGGCTAGTTTATCTCACTTTTACCGCCGATGTTTACTTTTGCTGCATTCCTATTACCTTTCAAATTCTACAAAAGAGAACTTTATCAATCTGTCACTAGCTATCGAATGAGAACGCAAAGACACTTACGACTAACTAGATAAAACAAGCAATATAATTATGTACTGAAAATGTGTAGGAGACTAATGAAAATCATTTTTAGTAGTTATATTTTATTTTCAAATACATTCTCTTATGCATCTTAAGATAGCTTCTGTGTTTCGAACAAAGGGCACAGAACGAAGCTTCACTGTCAAAATAGACAAAGCACAGAAAAATGAGAAGAGGGTTGCTTAAGAAATAAATCTCTCAGAGATACATCTCAGTCTGGAGGACAGGTGAGATTGCATTTCTATGTACTATATCCTGGTATATTGTAGTCTACATCGCAAGCTATTAAGTTACGGTGAAAGTACTATACAAGTGCGGGGTATAAACGTATCGTTATGTAATTTTTCCACAAAAATGAATTGTTGTTGCAGTAATTAATATTTCTACATATATATATATATGCTTTTTTAGATCTCTCATTTGCATATCAACTAAATTTAATGTGAGCACGGAAAAGATTGAAATCTTTTTTCGTTGTGTCGTGCATATAAATATCATCATTAGTAATAGTCATCTTTCTGGCTTTCGTCTTCGCTGTGTATGTGTTAGTAGATGCAAATGAATCGTACGTTTTTCTTATTGTTTCAATGAATTTTTGTAAGAAGAAAATAAAAATAGATGTTTCTAGCCACGAGTTCATTTTTATGTTGAGTAAAATTTTAGTAAAACGTGATGAGTTGTTAAACGTTGTCATAGTTCATTTATTTGATATAGATATAGCTGCATCTTTGGATTATTAAATATTATATTACAGTGTTTTACCCGAGCCATAAAAAGTCATAAGACGATTGTCTTTGAATAAAAGAAACTTGAAATTGAGATTCTAAGTTCACCTGTTTTGAATTCGAGAAAAAAATCTTTTTTTATACTAGTTCAGAGGAAAACACAAATTTCGCGATTTCAAACTGATCTCAGCTAGAAGATTTCCTGATTTTCGTGAAAAAAAGGACAATTTTTTCAATAAGAAAAGATAGCATTCAATTTAAAATGCGACAAAGCAATCAGCTGCCACATAACAGATTAATTTTAATAAAAGAAAAGCATTTTATTTTATATATTACTTCAATAGTTCTAAAAAATATAATCTACCTAAGTAACGATTTTCAGTGACACCTAGCGGCATCCTATGTGAGACATCTATGTAGACTGAATCATAGGTTATTTCCAAGCATGGTCTATAGCAAATGAAACTAAGTTAAAAAAGAAATGATTAGTCATTGGAAAAGGAACTCCACAAAAAAGCAAGTCCGTAAATGATCATCTTACATTCATTCACAATTGCATGCAAGAACCTATAAGAAATAGCGTCATGCTGCAGACAATCTCAATTGATCAAGTCAAAGAATCACTTGATCAATTTAACAGGGTAACGTCTAATAGAAGTGTTCTGTTTTTAATATAATTAAAAATTAAATTTTCATTCTAGGGTCAACGATATTTGTATAACACTTTATCATCAACTATAAAAGAGAATCAAACCAATGTAAATGCACAAAAAGGCACATTTCTATATAGAAAATAATTCATTTAATTATTTAGGAAGCATGGTTTATTCATCTACTGGATGAATTACGTGATAACGTTGATTTATTTGAAAATATGAATGAACAATTTCTTGATTTTCTACAAGTTGGTTTAGCCTTAGGCTTTAAATTATATTGGAATATTATTTTTCTATTTAGTTACAAATAGATTGGATAAAATTGTCAAAGAATGTGCTCGATACATTTGGAGCGTTTCAAATTACTCTTATTTCGTGCAATACTAAACATGCACAACGTTGTTTAAGCTTTTTATTTACTATTTTTACCATACCCGGTAAATAAAAATTTCTTAACAATCAAAGATTTCAATTTTCTTATTCAAACTTCGCTTAGTGATAAAACTAATGAGACTTTTCTTTTCCCCCTTCAATGTTTCACATTGCATTGCTATTCACATCACAGGATAAGCCTACGATAATAGCATGTATTTTTAGATCATTCATATAAATCTATGGATTAGATTGTCTTATATCAGACTAGATTAGAAATATATCAAAAGGGTTGATATTTTGAAAACATTCTTTTCGTAAATCATTGCCGCTATGCAAGTTAATGAGACTGAGAATATACACATCATTGAGTTTGAAATCCAAGAGCAATTTTCTAGTAAAAACTCTTTGTTTATCAATTTACTCTTGACAATCGTACTCAAACATTGATTTAGGATATGTGTCTTGTATTTAAATTCTTTGTTCAGAGGCTTATTCATTGAATATCAATAAGTGTTCAATTATTTGATTGAGTGCTTTGGTATCTCATAGGATGTGCAAATACGACACTTGTACTAAGTAAATTTTGAATTCTTCATAAATTCTTGGCTTTACAGTTAAAAATTCTATGCATTTTCATATTTCAAACCTTTTTCTTGTTTAGAAATCTCTGCAAATCGTCTTCCACTTCATGATTTTGCTCATGAAACATTACAACATCTTGTCCTTATCGTTCCGCTGTATGTTTTTCGTTTTGATTTTGAAAAATGTTTACCAATCGATTCATTTCATTTTATCTTTCTCTACAGAGCTTCAACCCTACTGTGTCCAATCGCTGAACAACATTTTCCATTTATGACAAAAGAAATTAATACTCAAATAACTTATGTAAAAAATTTACTTCGATCATTATCCTATTTATCAATACAGCGGCTCCGTTTTCTTGAAATAATTCTTTCAAAATTACTGCGTTTAGATGTAAGTTTCTTTCCAGAAAAAGAAAAACAATGATTACACATGCGTTCATTTAAAAAATTTAAAGGTACACGCATCCCGACAAGATATTATTCGTGAAGAATCATCGAATATTGAAGCAGAACTTGTTTTTTCTCTGGAACAACTCGATACGAATGATAATAATACTAAAGGAATGAAGCATGATCAAGCTGATAGACTCGATTGTCTTATGTTTGTTATGTTTGAATATATAACAAGTACATGCATTGAAAATGGTAAGCAAACAAAAGGCTCAAATTTTACCTATCGTATATATAAATTATTAAAATAATTTAGGAACAGTGAATTATGAACAATCGAAATCTTTGTTTCGCGATTTACTAAGTGTATTTAATAAAATTTTATTACCCACACATGATTCATCTCATGTGCAGTTCCTACTGTTTTATATTTGCAGTTTTCATACGGTAACCGAATACTTTGTTATATTCATTAAAAAAAAATAAGAACTTCATTTTCTTCTAGGATTTTAGCGATGAATTTATGAATAATTGTTGGAGAACATTTGTATCACCATCCGTCTCAATGACATTTCGGCAAGCATCTATTTGTTATTTATGTAGTCTAATCGCTCGAGCAAAATATATTACCACTAGGTAAATATTTAACATTCTAATCATGAGAATTGTTCTTTTTTCTTCATGGTTGATTTATCGATTGCAATGTCGAATAAAATATTTTCATATTTAGATCTGTATTAAATATAACACAATTAATGGTTGATTGGCTACATGCTTATGTTAGTACAACAGAAACAACAAGTGGAAATTCGAATCCAAACCGTCATTTACCCTTTTATGCTATTTGTCAAGCAGTTCTATATATATTTATTTATCGACATCAAGAAATAGCTCGATTACATGATGGTACACAAAAATAAATCTTTATTTAAGCTTTTCATTTTGTTTTTGTGTTATAGGAATTGATATTGTATTAAGATGGAGAATCGGACGAATTGTATCGTCCGAATTAAATCCACTTAAATATAGTTTACCGGCTATTACACATCGATTTGCTCAATTATCAAGGTAGAAATAAGAATTTCCTGAATTTATTATTTAGTTTCTTCTGTTTCTGCGATTAGAAATTATCAAATTGCCTTTTGTTATTCAATTATTGAAACAAATAATCGTTATTCGTTACCTGAAACATTCGCAACAAATGATAATCAAAATGGATATTTGCCATCAAATATTCTCTATTCCTATTTTCCATTTGATCCTTATGTACTAAAACGATCGTTAATATATATCCAATCACTTTATAATGATTATAAAGACGAAAACGATGATTCAAATATCCCTAAAGATTCAGACGATAATGACGTAAGTGCTTATTAGTTAAACAATTGTAGATGTGAAAATCGTGAAGCAAAATGCATGCGATTTTTCTAAGCTAAGAATTTATCCCTAGCTTTGAACCGAAATTCGTAAAGCCTTTGCTGCATAGAAGCTATTCTTGATATTGAATAGCAATATGTTCAGCACGCACAAGAGAGACAGAATGAAGTAATAGGAATATATTGTAAAAAATGACTCCCAAAAGATTATTTCTAATTCATTTTTCAAGCAGCCAACGAACTCTAATGGTTACTGCAGATATGACTTTTGACTAGAATGCCTATGCGCATACTCTATGTAATATCCGTAACTGATGATGCTAAATAGCTACATCTCTAAAAATGCATTGAAATCTGTCGGGTTTAACTAACGTTACGAACGAATCTTGCCCTATGAGTGAAGATTTTATTCAGAATCAAATAGTTTATGTCAAAACTTAAATTCATTTCTATTCAAATAAAAAAAACAATCTAGGGACTGAAGTGTTTATCTACTCGATATGCTTTTTTTTGAGAGGTTCCCAGTCGAAAAAAAAATTCCAAGCACTTGCACTATAATTTATTTCAGCTGATAGCCTGAAAAAAGTTTCTCTTTTCTTTTCTAGCAACAAGACATTGATGATTCTGATGATGTCCTAACATCCATGATGATGAGCACAACACCGGGTAGTTCTGATTCACTCGATCATTTACCCATGACAACAATATCCACATCATTCAAAAATTCTCGAAATCCTCCGTCAATTTTACCATTCGGCCGTTCGCCTGGCTTTCGAAATGCAATCAACTGACGATTGTTTTCTATTCTTTTGATTACAACTAGTCACTCATTCCGAAATATTGCTTTGACGTAATGTTATTGTTTTTCTATATTCTTGTAAAAGAAAAAAAGGCAGCCGAGATATTGTTGGATATGTTTTTCAAATAAAGAAGCGTAAAACAAGAAATAATGGATGGATAAATATTCACAAATATAGAAAAATAACATTTGATACATACAATAAATAATGATCAATTACCACAAAAACGATTTTCATCGTGTATGAAATAAATTGTTTATATGCATATAAGTGAAAAAATAACCGAACGAACGGACGAAAAAAAAAGCCAAGACAAGAGCACCAACGAAAACATATGATAAACGAGCTGAAATCAAACGAGGAAAAAAGCATGCAGATTATTAAGAGTATCAGTTCATTATTGAATATCTTATTTTGTTCTATTTGAATGATAACGATGCATCACGCAATGAAGTTGAGACCTACAGAAAAAATAAAAGAAAATTTTAGATCAAATTTCCAGATGAGTGAAGTCGTTTACTTTTTCATAGAATTCAGTCTGTTTATCGACGAGTCCTTTCATGTATACTTTAAAATCAGTAACTTTTTCCTTTTGAAAAAAATTGACTTCGGCTAGAACAACATGGTTGAGTACAAGACCACGATGAATAGCATTGGTAAAATCAGATGATGCGGCACGTTGTTGAAGAGTTTTTATGAACTCTGATGCACTCTATTTTTTTACCGGAATCAATAATTTATGAACAAAACAAAATATTTTGTTTTTAAATTGTGACGTACTTTTTGTATACTTAGTATTGATGGAAAGCAAGCCAAAAGTCCAATATATTCTTGAATACGTTCAATAAAATCTCGTAGATCTGCAGTTGCCTAAATGAAATATTCTTTTAGTCATAGTTTAATACACGGAAGAAATCGATCGTGACTAGTGAAGCCTATCATTAACTCCATATACATAAGAATATGGATTAACTATTACTTCTCTAATTAATACGAAGTGCGTGACAATTAAAACTTTGTAATTTAGCTAAATTGATTGCTCTTGAAAATTTCCGACTAGTCACGTTAGTTTATATGAATTATGTGCTTCGATGTGAAGTCTATACAATGAGTAAAGTTGATGAAAAATTTGTTTATATCGTCGTGCTTAATAAAAATAATCATCAGATCACACAAACGGGTTTAAATAGAGAAAATATCATCACGATTTATTTATACTCAACTGTCGAACTGTGATTTTTTTTAATTTGATTTCTCAAAATCATACTTTAGTTTTGTATAAGTCAGCTATTTCACCATACGATCCACTTATTTTCGATATTGAACTTGAAAGTTCTTTATTGCCTGAAAGAATAGAGCACATAAAATAACATGAGAATCATTTTAAATAAGAACTTTACCAGCTGTAGTCGTGTCTACGTGAACAGCTCCATAAACTTTCGAAAAAAGGTCGCTCACTCGTAGAATATCTCGTTCGTAAACTTCCGTTTGTCTTTCGAGATATTTTATTAAACCTTGATTTAGACTTTTCAAGTGTGATTCAAGGCCTGGTTGTTGTTGGGCAAAAGTTTCGATTTGTGCAGCGCTAAATATTAAAAAGTAATTTTCTTCATAAACATTAAATGATAGAACAAAACGAATACATTTGTGACTCAGATAATCCTGTATTTGTCAGCGTAACACACTGAAGCCATGATGCTTCACGTAATTCATCCTTTTCAACTTTTCGTTTTCCTCCTTTCCAATCCTAATTATAGAAGAAAAAGTTGTTTTTTAAATCTATTTTCAATTTTTGTATAAAATACTTTTTTATTTTTATCATTGGCGTCACATGCAATAAAATGTTGAACAGCATACGAAGCACAGAGCACTGGGTGACGACATACACGATTAAGCCATAACTCAAGTTGTCGTCGACGTTCTTCAACAAATTCTTGATCGAATCGCCCTAAGAAATAGAAGAAGATGAGAAAACGAAAAGCGCAATCTTCTAGTTTTCTATTACCAGCTATTTGTTTTTCCGGCAATGGTGGAATGCAAATGAAACGAAATTTATTAACCAGTTGCTCATGTAACCAATCGAATTGTTTGTAACGTCTGAGAACGAAGTGACTTCCTGGAATCTGAATCAAAACAGATATTATTGATGATTTCTTTTTGAATTAAGAGTAATGCTTACATCTGTAATCACTTTATATTCCGTAAAAGCCTTCAATCCTCCTAATTTTGTTCCTTTCGATGGTTCTTCTACTCGACAGTTGAATGGTGGCAGCGTAAGATTACGTGCCCAACAAACACCACCATCGTTCTCATCGTACTGTAAAAAAAAAGAAATCATTATTAATTAATAATGAATACGCTAAAATAAATCAGCCTCCAAGTATTGTGAGAAAAAGAAATCCTTCAAAAATATAGATTATATCATCGAAAACGTCGTTTTTCTTGAAAGTATACAAAGAATTTGAGCTGGTACTTCAATCAATTATAGAGATATGAAATAAACTGTCTTATAGCTCATGAAAATGTTCTCTTTTCACTGAGACTCGTTTATTTCGGCGTATTTTTAAATGATAAAAATTTTTCTTACGGCTATTTCAACATGCTCCTCAGGTTTCGCTTTCGATCCATTTAATAAATAATTGTCCAAGCCATGTTTATCAAAAAATCTAAAAAAACACTACTTATAAATAATTAATAATCTTAGCCGAGAAATGATTTACCGAGCGCGTGGAGGAGGTTTATTAACCTCACCTCCAGTAAATGAACTTCTACTATTAGGATATGGTGATGTTGAATGCGGTGTTAACTAAAAACAAGTTTATGATTATTTAACATATATAATGAGACGAAACTGTCAATAAAAGCAGAACCGTAAAAGTGCATGCAATCAGGTCAAAACACACACACACAATAGGAATAAGAGATAGATAGAATTCAGTGTCGCGACTGACCGTTGCTGTGTTTTTAAATGAATTTTGTTTTGATAGCTGAAATATTATGATTGATTTATTTACTCATTAGACTACGAATTTCTATTGTTAATCAAATTCAAAAAGAAAAAGATATATATATATACTCTTACTGTATTCGAATTTGTTGCTTGTTGTGATGATGGTGGACATTCCGAATCACTAAAGCTATCATCAGAATCCGTATCTCTTCTTGACAATGGACGCATTGGCTAAATAAAAATAAAATTGATTTTATTTAAGGTAAAAAAAAAAAATTGATTTAGCCAAACATAATCAATAGGATTTATGATGAATGAACACGGCAATGATTTTGATTTAATTACTGTGTTGAGCTCGAATTTATATGCATCTATTGCTGACCTGCTCACTAGTTTCATAGTTTTTCCGTTTTCTTGATGCCACGAAACGTTTTAGAAAAGTTTTCTGCTTCTTCTTCGTCCGTAGTAAAACTGAAGATTTTGTGAACGCTACCGTTTTGCGCGTCACATTCCTACTAGTAGAAGAGAGACTATCTCTAGATATTGACCGTACTAAAGACATTGTTTTCGATTTATTATGTAGTATCTGCGAATGACTAATTCCGACATCATCTATTGTATTATATATATGTAGTTCTTCTGATGATGAGACTGGAATTAAATAATTGTTCGATATTGTCGATTGTTGTGGTAAAGGTAATGAAATATTTGGAAAGTAAAATGGGGATATATGATTTGACATTGACGGCATCGGTCTCGGAGTTTCAAGATATTCATAAATATCGTCTGATAAATTAGTTAGTTCTGGAGATTTTGAATATGTATTGGACATCAAAATAAGTCTCGGTGACAGATCTGCGACAGTGATGTATCCATTGTCTGTATCATCTGATATAAATACATTGTTGGCTAATTTTTTCTCAGATTCTGTACAAATTTTTAAAGGTTGACTAGAATTAGTTAGTGTTTGTTCAGCTACTTGCTATAAAAGTAGCAAGGAACAAGCGTTTTGACAAGAAAAGATAGATAAATAAATAAATCTTTAAAGATTCTACGAAAATATAACTTACATTAGACTGTGCTGTTATTGGTGGTGACCATGCTGGTGGATCTTGTGATTGCCAATTACTATACGTAGTCGGATTCATGTATTGCGGTGGATCAAATGTTGGTATTGATGTTTTCGAAGTATTAAAATTCGTATTTGTAAGATCTCTATTGAAATAAACATTAGCAGGATTTGAAAAGGATGATAATGGCGGTGGTGGTGGTTCATTGGGTTCTGGTAGATCACTTAATGCTTCAACATAATTTTGTGGGATCACACCAACTTTACCCGATGCACTTTTTGCATACCTATTTTTAGTCACGAATGAATCAGTCATAAGAAACAATCAAAGACAAACAAAATATTATCTTACCACCAGCCATGTCCAGCTGTATTTGATGTAATTGTAAGAATATCATTAGCATTGAAGCTGAGTTCATTGGGACCTTCAGCAGCAAACTCATAGAGTGCACGTGCTTTGAATTCACTATTAGACATTATCTCACGTATACAATATAGACATTTAATCTAAGTCAACAACAATCCGAGTTAAGGCCGCGAATGAGACAGGCGAATTGAAGGAGAGAAAGGAAGGTAGACAAATGTCCGTGAAGAGGAAAAAAACAGCAAATAGGAGCGATGATTCATAAAAGAATGCTGTTTTTCATTGGCTAAATTAAGCATCCAATCGATATCATGCCACTCAGAACAATGAGTAATTGAAATGGATAGTAGCTGTTTATTGATAAAAGATAACTTGCAACGTTTTGATCTAGTTGAATACAAGAGTCGAGGTTATTGAAGTTTTTCAAATGAGTATGGACCAAGCGAATGGCACTGAAGCTCATGTTCAAGTTGCTGTTCGAGCGAGACCATTGAATCAACGAGAAGTAAAAATAATATTACTTTCTATAATTCGATCTTATTTTAATATTATTTTTGAAAACTAGATCGATCTTAAATCTCCAATTATTGTTGATATTCATGGATCGCAAATTCTCGTCGATAAATCTCAAGACAAGTAAGCACACTTGTTCAATTATTAAATCTTTCTCAATACGTTTTTAATAGACATCATACACCCAAAACATTTTCATATGATTTTTGCTTTGATTCAACGCATTTAAATAATTCTAGTTATGCTAGTAAGTTATTATTTTTGTTGTAAATATTAATTCTGTTCTCCTTTGTTACTAGGCCAAGAATTCATATTTAATAAACTTGGCTTAGAAATTGTTAAACACGCATTTGAAGGCTATAATGCTTGTATTTTTGCTTATGGTCAAACCGGTAGGATTCAAATTGTTGTTTTTGATTACAAAGAAAAGCAACGAATTTGTGTTTGATTAGGCTCCGGAAAATCTTACACAATGATGGGATCACATCATGATCGAGGAATCATACCGCGCCTTTGTCAATCTATGTTTGATAGAATAGAAAATGAATTAAACCAAGATATTAATCATGATATGGATATTGAATCAATTGACAACGAGAAAATTCATGATATATTATCATTAAAATTTTCATCAACTTATCGTGTTGAAGTTTCATATTTTGAAATCTACAATGAAAAAGTACGAGATTTACTAAATCCGAATAAGTAAGTGATTACAATGTTGTTGTTTGAATTATTTTTATTTTGACTTTTATTTAGTAATCATCATGCATTAAAAGTACGAGAGAATAAAATTCTTGGGCCTTATGTTGATGGACTTTCTCAACTTGTCGTCACATCGTACCAGGTAATTTGTTTTGTTGAAGAATATCGGTTTCATGTAGAAAAAAAGCTAATCTTCATGTTTACGAATAAAAATTGATCTTGTGAGTCATAAATAGTACTTCGTGATGTTCTTCTTAAAACAATGAGCTCGATAGATTAGAAAGCGGCATGTATCTATTTCATCAATAGTTTGCGAAAGTGTTTTGTTTGATGCTATAGAATATTTATTGCGTATAATTGTTTTGACACTCGAACGCTCAAAAATGGATCGTCTATCAGGTATATGATATTTTCAAACTTATTCTATGATGTTCTCGGAAAACATTCCTAAAAGACGATTAATAAAATAACTTGTGAACGAAATCGACATTTCGTCTATTAATTATTTTTTTGTTCTCTATGTGAAAGATCAGTCCAGACTGCCTTAATCTGTACGCATAGCTTACAGTCATATAAACATAGATATTTTTTTCACTTTAGGAAATCGAAACTTTGTTGATCGAAGGTAATAATTTTCGAACAGTAGCATCAACAAATATGAATAATGAAAGTTCACGATCACATGCTGTATTTACTCTTAAATTAACTCAAACATTATCAACAGATGCGTCAGAAGTAAAATAAAAATTTTCTTCTCTTCATGGAACTCTTAATTTTATCGTTTAGACTCAAAGTGTGAAAGTAAGCAAAATAAGTTTAGTTGATTTAGCCGGTTCGGAACGTGTATCAAAAAGTGGTGTTCAAATCGAACAAACTCGTTTTCGTGAAGGATGCAATATTAACAAGTAGAATTCTCACCTGAAATTCTTCTAGCTAAATTCTATTTCGTTTTTAGATCTCTATCAACATTAGGCCTTGTTATTTCAACCTTAGCTACACGTCCGTCACACGACAATCATTCGAAATCAACCAAGAAAACATTTGTTCCCTATCGAGATTCTGTATTAACTTGGCTATTGAAAGTCAGTTATTATCCAACGTTTTTTCTGTTTATTGGAAAACAAAATTTTCTTTTAGGATAGTCTTGGTGGCAATTCTTTTACAATTATGTTAGCAACAATATCGCCGGCATACGATAATTACGAAGAAACAATCTCAACATTGCGCTATGCTGATCAAGCAAAGAGGATTGTTAATCATGCTGTTATTAATGAAGATGAACCAGGAAAAATAATACGAGAATTAAGAAATGAAATAGATATATTAAGAAAAGAATTGGCTGATGCGAAAGCGGAAAAATCAGCTGAAAAACTCAATGCAGAAATAAAAGAAAACGAAAATTTGATGCGAACAATAAGCAAAGATTGGCAGGAACGTATTGCTGAAACAGATAAAATAAGCAAAGTAAGTGTGTAATGCTTCCAGCAGATTGTTTCTTTAGATTTGTTTTCATAGGAACGCCATGAATTACTTGAAAAAAGTGGTATTTCTGTGTATAGCTCTGGCATTGGTCTTGAAAAAGATCGATTGTATCTCGTTAATTTAAATCCAGATCCAGCACTCAACGAATTATTAGTTTACTATTTAAAAGTAAAAATTGAAATAGTGACGAGAAGTTTTGGTATATCTAGTTTTGATTATAGACAACAACATCAATCGGTAGACCAGATGCATCAGTAAAGCAAGACATTGAATTGATTGGAGTTGGTATTTCGCCGGAACATTGTATTATTGAAATCAGAAATTCAATTCAAGTATTTCTTCTACCTATAAATAACTCAAGGTTTGAATCAGGACTCCAAAGAAAATGTTTTATTCATTTATTGCTATAGAACATATGTCAATGGTCAATTGATTGACAATGAAAGACAACTGAGACATGGAGATCGAATTCTTTTGGGTTGTTCACATTTCTTTCGTTTAAATGCACCTGGAGATAAAAGTAAGTTCTATTAATAACAGATGTGTCACATCTTAAATATTTTCGATAAGAATGCCGTACAAGTTTTTCTGAAAATTGTTTAATATCTTTTTATGGTTGTGCATCGAATGAATTTTTTTATCAAGAGTTCTTTAGAATGACTTTCCAAGAAGGTGTTCGAGAATAAAAATCGATCCATGTGGTATGCATCTTTAAGAAAAAGTGCTCGCTACTCTGAACACCACACCAGATACTCCATAGATGCTGAATTTGAATGATAATTTAGCCGTCGATATGATGTACCTGACTACCTCTATTTGTCTAAGAAAGAAAAGTTGGTTTGGAGAAGTAAGATAACTGAAGTGGTGCATAGATAAATAGATAAACCTGTTTACTTGTTGATATGTAACCTACAGGTTACTATTTTTAGCCAACGCAAGTGTCGATATTAGGTAACCTGTTGTGGTTATAATAAGTAAGATTGCAGTTATATTATCACACGAATTTGTCATCCAATCCCCGAACTAGGACTAACAAATTTCCGTATGATTAACTTTCACCAACAAAAATCAATCGATTTTCACGTCTACTGATCGAAGATAACAATCTCGTATCAGTTCTATTCGAGTTCATTGCACAAAAATGCTTTTTTGAACCAATTGTCATTGTACATCATGAGAAAGAGCATTCTCAGTTAGCAGCTGTTCGATCATGTTGTTGTGTTTATATAAGGGTAGAAAATGTTACGTTGTTCTGTAAAAACAATCAGTCGAAATTCGATATGCAACAGCCTCATAGTATTATTTATCTGATATTTCTCCGTAACATTTTGTAGCAAAAGTCACGGTATATTCTGATGAATCTTATAGAACGCCTGTGACATAGCAATGAGCAAATTCGCTTCATTATTGAAAACATATTTACTATCAATGTTTGTAGAGCACTTATTGGTAAAAACATGATAATAAAATAGCTCTCTATCGAATCGAAGTCTCTCAAATGTATCAATACTGGTGAAAATGAAAGTGTTTGATTGTTGATTAGCTATTAGTTATAGTTTATGAAAGGGAAATGAGTCAATCGTTCCAATTTAAAGTGAATTACCTCGGAGTAAACATGAAAGAAAAAGCAGGAAATTGTTTCTATTCAATCGAGTGCAGACTTTTGAAATCTATGTAATTATGTATTGGTTCGCTGATCACAAATTATATCGAGATCTTTTTACCGAGACAATGAGAGAAAACGTCCAGAGTAGTCTATTTCATCCTATCAAACAGATTAGCTTATCGCTCGTGTTATCTGAACTCGGGTAAATAATTAGAAAGTAAACAGTCGCCCGAAATAATAACATGAGTATAATCGATCGTTTGTTCTCAGAACACTATGACGATTGTTTCTCATTGCAAAATTTATCGCACACGATGAAAAAATAACTTCAAAATCTTTTCAAGGGCGGCAAGCACTAGACATGAAAGTACATACAAATGTTTAGTGAACTCTTCTATAAATTATCATGAAGTCTTACACGAGCGTAAATAGTAGTTGTTTTGAAAATTAAACATAATCTTCCTTTTGGGGTCATTGAACAGTAAATAGAGCTTTCGTATGATACATTTAACGACATGATATCGCATACAAGTATCAAAGAAAACGAAGCCCACGGCTATCTGAACCATATCTTATTGATTGAATAAAAACTGCTTAACTCAATAACTTTCTATATAATCAATAATAAAATTTATTAGACAAGATCTGTTGTTTCATGAAATATTTATTTTTTATAGATGCAACCAATAGCAGTTCTGTTCTAACATCAATAATGAATACATCATCGCATTTATCATTTACTGATGCTCAAAACGAGTTCTTATTAAATCAATTAGCAACCGATCCAATGACGAAAGAACTAAGACTCTTCTTAAAACAAGATGACAACAATCAAGAATCTAATCGTAAATTTTACTAATAATAAGAATTTCATTATCTAGGGTTTTCTTTGCAATACTATGTAGATATTATTCCAAAGAAAACTTCCGATGTGTACGAACGAGAAATCGAATATCTTAAATCTCAACTAATGCGTAGTGAAAGTCGTTCATCGATAATCAATGCTCGAACTTGTGCTTTTGAAGAGTCACTGTCAAAATGGCGCTTTTCAAATAAACTTCTCACTGAGTATAAAATCAAAAGGAAAATTAATTTTTAATTAACACACTGTTTTCTCTCTCTCGTTGATTAGATCCGAAGAAAGTCGATCGTTTTTTAATCGTCTTAAACAAGAACTCATACGTGTTAATGCTCTTGTATCTGAAGCAAATACAATTGCAAGTGAAATGCAATTACAAACAACCTACAGTGTTATGCTACAGATTCCTGCTTCATATTTAAAGCCAAGTGAACGCGTATGTAGATTTAACAAGATAAATTTTGTTCTTATTCGAGATGTTTTTTTTTCAAGGCTGCTACCAATCTGTGTGAACCAGCTGTTCAAATAAAACGAAGAAATCTGTCACCACAGATATGGAATATTGAAAAATTCGAGTCGAAACTAAATGATATGAGAGACGTTTATTATGAATGGCAAATGTCAGAGAATAAAGTAAAGGAAAATTGCAATTGTTTTTATTGGTTTGTTTATTTTTCATTTTCAAGACACAGTTATTATCACAACAGCAAAAACGGAATGATCCATTTTTTGATGTCGAAGAATATAATAGTTTAATTGGTGTTGCAAATATTTTTTTAAAAGCATTATTTTATGATTCAAAACTTGATTATCCTGTACCTATTATAAATACACAAGGAGAGGTAATTTAACGGCGGATAGATTACTACATGTAATTTATTTGAAGATCGTATAATTATGTTAATATGTCTTTTATTTCTTTTTGCATGAGAAAAAAAGTCATGTTCATTTATTTTAAACTTAGAAGATGTTCGAAAAGGTTGCCGGAAATGAGACTATGAATAAATCAAGCGATATGTTCGTGTGTTTGTTTCCGTGTAATTTATTTTTCTAAGTATTTGAGAAAATAGTTATTTTTGGGCTTTGTTTCATAATCTTTCGTAGTTTGAAGTTCAGTCAGGAATAGAATCGTTCTTATTTCAACAATGCCCAAGGAAAATAAAGGATTAACAGAAGATGGAAATTAATCGCAGTACCGAATATCGAAAGTGAAATTTTGAAATATCCTGTTTACATAATGCAGATACAGGAAATAATCAGAATTTTTATTATTTTAAGACGAAGGTCATAATCATATCCTGTTTAGAAAAGTCTTGCGGTTACGCCCATGAAATATAAACGTCGCAATAGAACTCGAGATCATATGTTAGATTAGCGACGAAGAAGTTTATACCAATTTGAATTTAATCACCACCACGAAAAATCGAACTGGTTCATAATTTCTGAAGCACAAATAAATGAATTAATTTAAAACTATGCGTAGGATTCCAGAGAGAATTATCTAAATTCGTTAAATCTACACTTCATATGATGAAGAAAGAAAGCATGTGCTGTGATTCCATGATAACGATACAGTAATTAGCTCTTTAATACAGCCTTCTATGAACATCCTTGACATTTGGAACCCACAATTTTCGAGAGAATAATTAGTTACTATGTATTGAATACTTCCGGAACGAGAAAAGATGAGCCTGATCTAGAAAAGAATTAAGAGAAATAGTCAACGTGAATTCTATTTATTTTGCTACAATTTCTATTTTCGGATTATTTATTTCAATCTTCAATATATATTGAAAAAAATATTGTTTAATCTAATCTTATCTACAGATCAGGCCAAGATGTTCTCCAAGATTTTGAGTAGACATCAAAATCAGATGTCGATTCATATATTCTGTCTCCAAACGGAGACTATAATTCCATAGAACTTTATGAATACATAGCATTTCAATCAATTCTAAATATTTTGAAATTTCTTTCTTCTTACAGATATCTGGCTCACTTCATGTTGTTCTTCTTCAAGTGGGCACATCTTCCATGAAGAAATTAAGTGATTTTCAACAACATAATGTTCCACGAGCCAGTATTAGTGAAGGAATAATTATTGATAATAATGACAACAGTTTAAGTGAGCACAGTGACAGCCAAAACAGTTTTGATGATGAAAGTATTGATGATTCAGCCAGTCTATCGAATAATACAACCGATCAAATCACAGTTAAAGTATGCATTGAAATCAATGTTTAGACTCAAGATAAATATTCAAATATTTTCCATGTTGATTTAGTTTATTATTAAAGAAGCTCGAGATTTACCTCCGTCTGAAGCTGAATATGCCATGTGTCGATATAGATTTGTAAACCAAAAAGAAGATCAAACCGTTCTTTCAATAAAACAAGTGCCTAATAATCAAGATGATGCTGAGAAAAAGCCCCGGATATTTTTGTTCAATCATGAAAAAGTAAAAATAATAAACAAATGATTTTTATCTTAATTTTTTTCGCTTTATTTCAAGGAGTTCATATTAACAATAACTGGTAATTTTATTTCGACCTGTTTTGAAAGTGCTATATCAATTGAAGTTTGGTATCGTTATAATTCAATACCATTGTCCATTAATACTGCAGCCAACAATGAACGTAGCCGACGTGATGCAGAAATTCGAGCATTGAGCAATCGGTGGAAAGAAGTTAAAAGGCATATACAATATGCTGTTGAAATTCACGAATTGGATGCGTCTGGCAGATGGGAACCTGTCGAAGTTGATTCGCAGCAATCGCAAATTGTTAGTGGTGGCGTTTATCGATTGAGACAAGTAAATAAGAACTCCAAATGAGATGTCTTCTATTTTTGTTGTTTGTTCGCTGATGAATAGGGTCAATCAAAACGTTTAGTAGCACGTTTACGTGTTTTGCCGCAGTCTGGCGCCATGCCACTTGTTCTTCATGCTATTCGATCAGTTGAAATCGGTTCGATTAGTACACGAAAAATAAATGCACCACGTCAATTAGATTCCTATCAAGATGAAGAATTACAATGTTTAAGGCATGAATGGCTAGATTTAATTGAAAAACGCAAACTTTATCTTGAATCTGAAGTTAAAATGTTAAGCGAACAGACGAGTAAATATTTCCAGAGCAAAACAAAAAAAAGTTTTCTACTGTTTATTTTCCAGATAAAACATCGAATGATCTTGAACGAGAAACTACGTTACTCGAACAACTTGTTCGTTTAGCAGAAGAAAGAAATTTTGCAGAATTTCCACCGCCTGGAAGTGGTATACCTGGTAATGAGACTTGGCAGAAAAGAGTTTCATAGGGAACATGTTTTTTATTTCTAATAGGTTCACCGCCGTGTTGGACACCACCGCAAACGATTGAAGAACATCGTCCATTGATATTTCTCAATCTAGATCCTGTGAATATGAATACAGAAGATGATACAGCTGGTCTTAAAGCTACTCTAAGTGAAGAAAACAAAAATGATATGTTTAGATTACCATTACTACATCATGCATCAGATGAGGTTTGATTGTAGATTTTGCCTAATGAAAAATATCCGTTTGCTATTTCTAGGTTCGTGCTGTTGCTCAATGGGATCCATCAATACATGAAGCAACTGAAATGTAAGGATTATTTTAGTTTTGTCCCATTACGAAATCGTGTGAAGAGATTGTTTGAACTGACACATCTTTGTTTGTTTTCTCCATGAGAGAAGACACAAAATCGCTATTCGATATCACGATGATTCAACTGTGCGAGAATTATTAGATTTCCGTTGAAATATTGTTACAAAAATATTTTTTGTTTCTAAGCAATTTATTTTTCTTTTGAAACTTTGATACGAAGTTCCGTTCGCTTCACATATGAATGATTTTCAAGTGACAATACGTGTTTAGACAATTTCACAAGGTTCTCTTCACATTGAAGATCTTCTTGGCATTTATATTCTATTTCTCTTACAAGCAAATAAGATCTCAAGAGCCCTACAACTCATCAGACACTTCCATCCTAAAATACGAGCATACAATCTGTTAGATTCTATAAGTGATGCACGTTTTTTTCTCTATGCAAAATTCTACTATTATCTTCTCTGAAAAAAACTATACTTTTCATGTCAAAACTAAAATATATGAATTATTTTCAAACGATTCATAATCTTGTCTAAAACACGACTTATCATATAAAAGATGTGCCTAGACAGACAATTCAACTGTATCACAGTTATTAAAAGCTCAACGAAAATTTAGTTGAAAGCGCTCGTGCATCAGAATAACTCAATTTTCATGGATTCTTGATTATCACGGAATCTGGCTTGTTTCAAGCTCATCTCTTTCGTCGTATATACTATCGGAAAACTGAACCGATTCGAAATTTCTCTAATCTCACAAATGAGAAATCTAGTTTCATAACACGAGCTCAACTTCTGTATTATCATTTTTTTTAAATTTTCATTTCTTCAGGAATCGAGTTACTCCAAGTAATACGATTATTTACATGGTTGTGAAGATAATTGTGCTGATATCTCAGCCTGTTCGAATGGAACTTATTCTACGCAAACGTATTGCCACCACGATCGGCAAAACCGAAGGTTGGTGGTCTGGGAAAGCAATGAAATATCTTCTGGGTTATGTAAGATTTATTCGAATTCGTTTAGCATTAAAATCATAGGCTCATTTGTTTTCTTGCTTCTTCTAATTATTCAGAAACCATTCAAAAGAACAAGTGTTGTTTATGAAATTGTTTCAAGTATACCAAAGTATATTCATGAAATTGAAGATCGACAAAGTCTTGCACTGATTGCTGGCTCTGAATGTCATTCACAAAATTATGTGCAAAAATATATTCAATATGCATCAGCTGTTGATTCACTACTTTTACTTGATAAGCTTAGACAAGTGAGATAGTTATTTAGACCTAGAGAAAAAAAGCATTTCCTTGATTTGATTTCTTTAGGAAGTTTCATTAGCAGAAACATCTACGAAACAACAGCAAACCATTCGAAAAGCAACAAGCGTACCCAACATTGCTAACCAACAAGGAAATACGGTAGATTTCATTTATATTTTAGCTCTCGACTCAGAACGATACAATCAATAAATTCTTAGTTTCACAAATGATTCGCTCTAATCACGAGTTAGATAAGGGTAGATAAATTTAATGCATGAAAACATAGCATGAAACATCAGCTGAACTATAAACTGAACTAAACTAGTAATAGACATTCATGAGAGTCGTCTAACTTTTTGACTGATGGTTATTACTTATTAATCAGTCACCTCCCGCTGATCAACTTCAAAGAATCCGATTGCTTACTATTTTTAATATTAATACACAGTCAACACTGTTGTCGTTCTTCGTCAGTAGCACTCATGTTACTTAATATCTTTGACCTTGCATGTATGCATGTGCTGATGAGGAATATCATCGAACCGAATAAATATTGGACTATGTATTTGTCGGTTGAATGATACTGATAAAATGTTGGCATAATAACGAATCCTAATTGTTATCAGCTGCGAGGTGTGCATAAACCGTAATGAAATGTTAGACTTTTTCTTTAATTTAGCGTGAAAAAAATGTGAATTTAGAATCGAGCAAACCTGTAAGGTGATTGTTTTGAATCTGACCCGGGTAAATTATGATGAGGTCTTCTATTGCTTGCTAATTATTTTTCATCTGCTAAACTTTGAGATTCATATTTAATATTGAATGCAAAGCAAAACAAAAAGTTTAGAATATCAATCTATTTGTTTATTTATCGTATACAGAGTTTATCGATTGCACCTGTAAATTCTCGTCGAGAAACCGATGACGAACAATCGCCATTAAAAAAATCTCCGTCAATACAAAATGAATCACCTAATCGTCAAAATCCATTTTATGAAGATAATAAAGCATTGAAATCATCATTTCTCTATCCACATGTGCATAATGAAACAACAACTCCGGCACAAATAAAAACAATCAATACACCATTTTCAGCATTTAGTCGGTCTGAGCTCAATGTTTCAACGCCGATGTCTACACGTATTGATAATATCAAACATAATGAAACTCAACATTCTTATTTTGAATCAACAACACCAAGCAAGTTATCACGTTCGTTGTTTATTGAACAAGAACAATTGCAACCTATTCAAACATCAAGTATTCGAATGCGGCAAGCGTTCGATATCGATGATCATGAAACAGAAAATAATAAAAAGCAAGATAATGATCAAGCATTATTATCTGTAAGTACACTCGAAGAAAAATATTCTATAGCAACGACTCCTCAACGTATTGAATCTTCGTCAGCATCAAAGTCCGATCAAATAACGGAACCAACAATAAAAAAAATTGTGGACATTAACGATGATGCATACCCTATTGCATGTCGAGTTATTGTTAACACTGATCATCATATTTTTAATAAAATTGGTACCATTCGTTTTGTCGGAAAAACATATTTCAAAGAAGGAACATGGTATGGCATTGAACTTGAAGAACCCGTTGGTAAATAATAGTTTTATCTTTTTTTATTCGATTGCTAGGTGTTTATCTTAATCAAATTTGAGTCTATTAACACTAATGATTATGATCCTATTCTGTCGAATAACATCGATCAAACATATATATATATATAGTCCCCATAGGATTTGTTTTTAACAATTTTTATATTGATTTATTTTTTGTTGTTTAGGAAAAAATAACGGTTCATTTGCTGGACATAGTTATTTTCAATGTCCTGATAAACATGGTATCTTTGTTCGTCGGGATAAGATTCGACGAATGGTAGACAAATGAATTTAATTAATTTTCCTTTTCTTTCAATTACGTTTGTTATTTATTACTTAAACGATCTCTAGTCGTTCTAAGCACGAAACACTTTTCAATATTTATTTCATGATTTGCAACTCATCCATTAACATTGAATTATAGGCGCACACATACACATAAAAAAAACACTCTCCTCTGTCAGATTATAATCATTCTCGCACGTGTATGCCCTTCATTATTCTTATTCTTATCGTGTTAATTGTTTCATTAATATATTTAACATAAAATAAAATTTCTGTGTGTATGTGTGTGCGTATATGTAATTTCATTTATTCTCGTTTATCTTTTTTTCTCTCTCCCTCTGCTGGTTTTCGGTGATATCTGTTGACTTCCACCCTCCTTATACAACGGTATATCTGTTTGTTTTTCATGTAATTTGAATGTGTCTAATATGATTTTTTTTGCATATTTATTATACAGAAATAATATTAAAAAAGAAAAGAAATTTTGATATTCAAATAAATCCTAGCATAATTATATAGAATTCGACTATCTGCATTTCTATATATATATACATATGTTTCGGTCAAGGACAATATTATGGAACTATCTTGATCTAATGAGAATGTCGAACATAGATATAAATATATATATATATATATTTATTTATTTATATTATATTCGGTTAAAAGTATCATTTTTTTTCATTGATGATATTTCCGACAGCATGCGGTTACATACATAGAGATATTAATACATAAAGAAACTGGAAATAGAACATCTTTTCTTTCTTTCTCGATGATGTTCTATTAAGCTAAGTGTTGAAAGAGTGGGAGGGATGGTGCTAGAACACCCGTTCACATATATATATGAATCAATCAATGGGGAATGAAGTAGAAAATTAGATAATGGACTATTGCAAATACTCGCTTACCATGTCTCTTGTTATTGAGGCCTACCATCAATCTCTTAGACTATATCACGATTAAAATGGTGGTGTGTCGTTGTTGTTGTTGTTATTATTATTATTATTATTATTATTATTGTTGTTGTCATTGTTATTATGAATGCGATTGAATAGCTTAAGGCTTAAATCAGCTTTGAGATAGTATTAGAAAGAA